TATTTAGTATTAATACTACTCTATCTATAATCTTATAGCGACTAGATAAACTAGCCTTACTATTAATCGTCTATACCGATTTACTCTCGCTTTACGAATATATAGTTAAGCTTAGTACTACTAAGGAGAAACGCTTAATAATCGATATTATAGCACTAAGGCAGATATACGAGGCTAGAGAGGTTTGTAAGGTACGCTGGATTGACGGTACCACCAACCCTGCTAACTCCATAACCAAATCAACACCGAACAAGGCATTGACGACGCTTATTAATCAAGGAACGATATTATGCAACGTCCAAGGATGGGTTGAAAGGTGAACCAACCAGGTTCTGAACGATTCATGCGAGAAAGAGAGATTGCCAGTGTCGGTTTGGCCATGGCAGCCACCTCGCATGAACCGGAATCAGCCCTGACTGCCGGTTCTTCCGTTCCGGCAGTGGTATATAGAGCCAGCTCGTTCGCTACCTTCTATAGAATTAGACATCTTTATTATACCGACTTTGACACTTGATCGAATACCCTCTGCAGAGGAGCCTACCCACAGAGAATCAATCAATTGCAAGATGCGACCCTCTTTGATCGCTATATTGTTCATGGCAGGGTAAATAAGGCTTCCACAATTCTCCTCACACCTCCGCATTCGAGCTAACAATCTATTTGGCTAAACAGGATTGCCCACGCCTGGCAATGCCAATATAAATATCATTCCACACGGAAGAATAACGTAGCTCTTATGGACAAGTGCACTGCTGAGGCCCACGACAAGTTTCAACACTCGCGCAAAAAGTCTGTCCTCTTCCATCGTGAAAGCAAGCATCTAATGACCTGTATCGATACGAGCTGCATTGATCATGGCTTGGAAGACCTTACGGAGTATTGCATGAAGAAGTGCGGAGAAGAGGGCTCTTATTTTGTTACGGTTGCTAGTTGTGGGCCAGATCAGCCATGTGGGCCTTATAAGTAAGGAGCAATGTTATATAATGGGTGACAAAGACGACTAGCTTAGGAGATTTGGAGGAACAAAAGATGTAGTGCTTGGTTCTTATCACTCTGCTATTCGACTTAACTTTCAAGCCATCAAGATGACAAGAGACGTCTGACAGGGCGTTGAAATACAACTGGAGAGGATGCTTTGCTGTGATAGTGGCACAAGAAGCAGGTAACAACTCACCGCATCAACCCGGCATGGCAGGAAGCTATCTCTGAGGTTGTTACGCAGAGTGTGCCACTATGTCAACAAAAAGTCTGGGAACGTACGGCTCAATTCCACAAGAGTCGCATCTCTGCCAAACTGTGAAGTTCCTCCCTAGCTTCGTCCTCCTGGACCAAGAGAAAGTGATATTTGATTTCTCCGGTAAACTATGGAATATATTGACTGTGAAAAGTTCCCTCGTCGGGTTATTGTTAGAAAAGAAGTAACCACGAAAATGAGAAAGAAGAGGAAGTCGTGTACTTGTGATCTGCCTCTGTGAACCATAAGCTCCACCATGCCAACAGGAATGGATATGCGCCCCTTGACTGCCAACAGTGAGATTAGAGAATGGCGTTTAGTCGCCCAGTTCTCGCCGACGATGTTCGCAAGGTGCCGCCCTCTCCCTCTTCGGGAGCTGTCAATGCCTCGCCGAAGACTCCTTGCCCACAGCGCGCATTACCAAGAACAGCAGACGGAGGTGGAGCACCAATCCCCGTATCGAGAAACCACGGTGCGTCTTCCTGTCTTGCACTGCACATATTGCTCGAGCCGAACAGCAAGCAGCGAGTGGTGTCAGAAACAACGTCCCCATCCACAGAGACATCTCCAAATACCCACAACTCCACAGATTCGAGGAGGGCTCCCTCGCTGGCTGCGCGTGGGCTGAAAGCTGCGTTACAGCATGAGAAGGCGTCTTCGATTTCGAGCGCCTCCTCGAAAGCCAGACCGGGGCGCTCGGCCCTGTTCTGGACGATGGGGTTTCCGTCAATGTAATTGGCGTAGTTGGAAGGCGAAAGACATTCGCCATAGACGGTTGTCGATGCGATGACGCTTGTAGCTGTGGAGGTAGTGGTTGTCGAGGCGGTTGTTGTGATCTACATTGATGGTAGCATTGTGTTAGCAGCACAGCTTCGGGAATGGGAGAGCGGCTGGCGAGATATCACTTACAGTCGTGGTCTTTGCATCGTAGACGGTCGAAGTGATCGTCTTCTTTGCTTCAGGGCACTTGGTTTCAGTCTTGGTCTTGGTTGTCTGAGAGTATGAAAGGTCAGCATGCCTGCCATAGCTGTTTCAGCAGAAGGGTCGAGTTGCCACTTTACCTTTGCGTGGACTGTCTTGGTCTTCGCGTGGATGGTCTTCGTTGTGGTGACCTTCTTCGTGGCACACTTGCCGTCCTTTGTATATTTGTGGCATGTAACCTTCTTGGGGTACGACTTCTTGCAGCCTCCGTAGTCAGAACGCTCCTCAAGATCATCCGATGATCTCTTGGCTGCTGGCGCAGGTGGCCCACCAACCTCGCCATCAATAGTCGCGCCAGGCACAGACTCCTGGACTGCCGTGAAGTCTGCTCGAGCTGGCACCGTCGAGGTGGAAGTCACAGATGTTGTAGTGGTTGCAGTGGAAGTGTCCGTCTTGGTGTCGGTGACTGTCTTTGTGTCCTTGGTCTCAGTCACATATTTGGTGGAAGTGTACTTGTTGCGATCAGTGACATAGGTTGTGATGTATTTTGTTTCAACCTTGGTGTACGTTGGGGTCTTGGTCTTGGTCTCCGTGTGAGTCTGTTTGATAGTGCAAGGAGCTGATCCGCCAGTAAGCGTGCATTCCAGACATTTGAGCATGGTCATGGCTCACTCTTGTGTGTGACCCACGAAGTCACGGGCTGTCGACCAGGGCTCTTGTAGGTCATCTCGGTGTAGCAAGTGGTGCTATCTTTGTTGGCCAGAGCCTGGGCCGACAAGGCCGCCACGAGGGCGCAGACACTGTTGGAGAACAACATCTTGACTGGTTGGCTGGTGATGGTGGAGCTCGTGGGTTTGAGACATGTTTCTGAACATCGGCGGACTGCTTAAATACTGGTATGCTGTATGCAAAGACCACAAACTCGACGACCTGCGATCGCAAAGGAGAGTTGACGCCACCCATACAAAGCAAAGCCCAGAGATGGGGAGCAACATCTGGCCTAGCCAGAAACAGCGCGAATGTGGCACAATGTCGCCCATTCTGTCGACAAGGATCACCAAGAGACGGCTCGTGAGCTCATCGATTCATGTCGAAGCGATCCAGAGCATCTGCAGACCCCGAAGGAGTAAGGAGAGCAGCAGGGCTGAAGTGTGGAGATGCGTTTTGAATCCTTCAGCCTTGTCGTGGCTCGAGCACATGGCTGGCAATTGCCATGGAAAGCGGAGAACTTGCAGCTCATGCGGCAGGGAGATTGCGCTCTGCATCGACATGGGAGATTTTGAGTATGCAGACGCCCGCGAAGGGGACCACAGCGAATGTTAGAGTGTTAGTGCAAAGAAGAAGCAGGTGAAGTCGATGCGGGCAGCGGGACAGTTCGCGCCTCAAAACGCTCGTTGTTGGTCTTGGCATGCGCGCGCTCTTTCTTGCACCCAAGTCCAGAACGGGGAACCTCAAAACAACAACAACGTACATCGCCTCGCGGTACAGTCTAGCTTCCCGCCACTTTGGACCTATTTCGGAGCCGGAATCCACTGCAGCGTGATCCGGCAATCGCCACGAGCTGCCAGCCGCGATGACACCGCCTGATGGACACATTGCCTCGCGCTTCGGGAGGGTCTGTTCAGATATGTTCTAATCGAAAGCCTTCGTCGGCTCATCCTCGACTTCGTGGTGTGGCCTCATGCAATACACCATCTGAACGAACGGGAAACTCCGCCAAGACAGGCCTGCCACTGAGGCTGGACTTCCGGATGACGACGTGACTGGAGAAGAGCATGGCGTGTTCCGTAGTCACGATGAAGGCCCATGCTCCATAAACTTCAGACGACGGGTTAGGCTTCCGCACAGGCGACCAACGACAGCACTTGCACCCGTCGGTGACGGGTTCCTAGCGAGATTTTCACGATACCAGACTATGTCCCGAGCGGCGAAGCACGGGGGTAAGGCAGAGCACTCAGTATCGCCTTGCGAGTCGCAGCTATACCACTCCCTATCATACAGTCTTGAGGACGGACTTGGCAAAGGCTTCATTGTGGCTCAGTCCGGCCTCATTCTCACAGCATCCTCGCACAATGGAACAAGACATTGATCGATGGTTCGCTGAATTCATGACGACTATGCAAATTCGGCGACGTAGTGCTTGAGAAAGCCCTTCCAGGTCATGGATTGACGGCGGGAAGATGCGAAAGGCCTCAGACAACGGCAAATGCATGCATGCAAACGTGCTCCTGGTCTTTGCGAAGCAATACCAAACGGACGAGTGCTTTTGAGATTTTGGGGAGCCTTCTGCATAAGTATCGAAAGCATACTGTGGCACTCATGAGGTGCGGCAACGACTCAAAACAACAATACTCGGAAGCAGACCCGCGTCGATGACCTGTCCTGCCGCAGTGGAAAGCGCGGCATTTGACAATTAGTCAGGCAGTAAGCTGCTTTGATCAGTCGCCCACAGCCTCCACCGAGAACGGTTCCGCCGTCACTCCCTTCCTTCCTGCGTTCCTCCTCCAATTTTGACGCTTCAGATTTTGGCCAAGACTTTGACCGCCTCCGCCAGACTTGCCTCTTCCTTGGTTAGCCGTGCCCGATCTCTCTTCAGAGCTTGATCCTCGCCCGCAATACTTTCAAGCACATCAGCAGATAACTGGCTCACATAGAGAGGCGAGAAAAGTGCGAGCGGACTCAGATCACTCTCTAGAAGATAGTGGATCACCGATTGCCTGCAGACGTTGTCGACAAATGTCTTGCGACAGACCTTGTAGTACGACTTCAGGATGTCGTGGATGTCTTCAACGATGTGCTGCTCGTTGCTCATCGAGCGAAGAGGCTGTAAAGCATGTTCCAGTTGTACGACCTTGCCATGGTCGTAGGTTTCGATGGCCTTCTCCTCGACGCGCCCAGTGGCGTTCTCTTGGCGACTAGAATTGGTCAGTACAACAGAGGTTGTTGCTACGCAGTTCGAGTGTGCTTACCTTCGCTGCAGATTGTCGTTGAAGTAGTGATTGAGAGTCAGTGGAGTGTTGCTCTTTTCCACCTGCAGCAAGAATCCGAGACACCTCATCGCGAATCCATATCGCTCATGCAATTGATCGGACAGGTTGTTGGCCAAAGTATTCCGAACATTGCTGTCATCGCAAATCGATGCTAGAGCCGAACTGATGAAGCGGTGAACGATGACAATAGCATCACTTAACAAGCCAAGACTAATGTCGTCCCACTTGGAACACTGCTTCTTCATCACCGTGGCAAGGATTGAGGCGTTGAAGGTGCCCATTTCGAAGCCTCGATTGGCTTGGAAGACTTGGAGAAGCCAGTCTTCGATTTGGTCACGCAATGGTGGAGAGAGGCTTTGCTTCGTATACAGAATGTCCTCAAGATCGTCAAGGTCTTCTTCTCTTCTGGTCTCGAAGGTCTGCTTCACAGGAGGCCCGCCGAGATGCTCATCAGGGTTGTACTCGGAAGCATCGGTGTCGTCCACGGAACTACCAGTATGGTCACTGCTGAACGCATAAGTTGCGCCATACTTTGCCATCTCATCCGAGAAGATCTTCATGCGAGACATCAAGGCAGGAGCGATGCATAGCGCAGGAGTCGTCTCGAACGCATTATCGGCGCCATGGGTAGCACTAATTGACAGCGAAACAAGACGCTGGAACTTGGTGGCAAGCTGAATCAGATATGCTGTCTGCTGCGCCGGAGTGTTTCGTTCTGCTCCCAGCCCGCGAAGCTTTTTCTGACAGGTAGCGAGTCTGCCTTTGATCTCTGTTTGGACCTGGCGTAGATGTCAGCAAGAGCACAAACATCTGGAGCAAGCCGGACGCGTACCTTTGGAAATTCCTTCTTGACCAACGAAGACAGCACATCCTTGATGCGAAGCCTGAGAGACTCAATGCCGACCTTGTCCTTCTCGACGCCGTTCCACGGGGTAGAGGAGCGGAAGAATGTCGCCTCCAGATCGCTGCGAACCACATTGACATCTTTTAGTTCTTTCTGGCCAGGATTGCGAATGATGTGCCAACCCAGCTTCATCTGGCGCGCACGGCCCTCAACCAGATCCAATACTCCAGACTCAGCGCCTCTATCAACCAGATCCGGTTTGGTGAGCACACCGAGAGTGCGATCGCCATGAACGTCGGCCTCTGCAGCAAGCTCCAAGATCTCCTGCGTGGCGAGGTCGGTGTTGGCGGGCACAACAGCGAGCATAACCGATCGAGGATTCTCCATGTACCCTTTGACCATGTTTCTCACGAGGTCAATATCAGCCTTGGTAGTCACACCCTTGGTGGTGCTCTTGAAGATTCCTGGTACGTCGATGACGCTGAGATGCTCCTGCGCCGGACCGGAAATCTCCAGACGGAGAACATCGTTGGAGAACGTGGGCTTCTGGGTTGCGTTCTCGCCACTTCCAGAAAGGCCCATCACTTCATGTGCCTGGTAGGAAGTCAGTGTGGTTTACTCAACCTTAGACGGAGCACCAACCTCTTGCATGATTTCATTGAACGTATCAGACTCCAGCTTGCTTGTCGTCTTGCCCCATTCCTTCACGCGCGTAGTGTGCTCGGCAGATGCCTGCTGATCAGGAATGATGGAGACAAGGACTTGCTCCTGCGCTGCTCTGCGGAAAATGATCTGGGTAGCGAAACGAGTGCAAAGGCCGCTGTCTCTTGGTAGCGGCTTGTCGATCAAACCTTCGAGTACACTGCTCTTGCCGGAAGACTGGTCTCCAACCACGACGATTTGTGGCAGAGCAACTAGCTCACCAACACCGCAGGCGAACAGGCTGTCGATCTTCTCGAGCATGAGTGGCTCCGCAAGGCCATACTGCTCGGTGGTGTTGGAAGACATGATTTCCGAAGCTTTGATCAGTCACGAGTGGATGAACCTGTCGAGAAGGTCAAACGGAACCAGACACGGAGGCCGAATATATTCTTCAGGCTCGTTCCAGCCGGGTTTGACGTGCCCGTTCAAGACAAAAGAAGCTTCCGTCACTGTTTGTGCATTTTGCCTTTGTCTTTACTGCGCAGCAATCGCAGCGGCGGCGCCGACAAGACTCCAGAGTACACATGGGCTGCAGCGTAGATTCTGGAAACACCAAGACCAGCATGCACTTCTATGCACGACATTCAGCAGCCATAAGCTTTTTTTTCCATGAATGACATCCCAATTCGGGTGGGTGCTTCGGCACATCTGAATAGTCACTTCTGGCCGAACACTTAACGATGGAGACAGGCGCGCTCCTGCCACGAAGCTTAGATGTCGACTGCAGAGAAGCTCTTAAGCTGCTCGGTTGCTTTCCCTTTCCCATCGTCTCCCCGGGTCGTTCTGTCGCCCTACTTTCCTTCGATGGCTCGATGGGCCGGTGCAACTAAAGCAACAGTTGCTCTTCAATATGTATTCTTCGTTCTCAGTAGGATCCGCATACAGAAGGATCGGTTTTGCAGTAGGGTGGGGATTTTTCGATGGAGGCATCGTCGCTTCTCGATGTCTGGACCGCAGGGAATACATGCACAGATTCTCGCCACCCCGGCTGGGCTGCAGTCCCATCTGATCGTTTTCAGTTGGCGTCTTCCAGGCATGCTTGGCAGGTACGAAACGGGATCACTTGAGCTATCATGTATCTGCGGTGCGAATCACAGGAGGACATACAGCGGAACCCGACATCAGTGATGCGCCTCGGTCTGTCGCAGCGCTGTGCAATGAGCGATCTTGATGTGACGACGTGGTGGAGCAATAAGGCTATGTGACTAAGTTTCAAGTGACTAAGTTGCGTCCACGACAGGATTTTAGCACGAAGCCGTCGATCGGACCTACTCTACCTTGAGTGGCTGCAACCATGTAGCTACGGCCGAGAAATTTCGATGAATACAATACCATCACTCACCGGAGTGACCATCACTACCCTTCCGTGCAGTTTGCAATGCTCACACGGGCACTCCGAAGAACAAGAACCGCCGCTGCGCTCTCTAGCTCAAGCCCACAGAGTGTCTTTCGTACCTTCGGCCGTTATGAAGCTCGACAATGCCGAATTCAAGCTTAGTATTGGCTGAACATCGCAGAATGCCTACGGCTCATGCTCTATCCTCAGCCGGTACATTCGCCTTATGCCCTCCATCTTCCAGGAATGAGGCCAGCCTGTTAGAAGCCCTAATCAACAAGTTCCCTTTAAGCATAAGGGCGGTCCTTGCACAAATCGGCAGGGATCGCAGATATAGAACCAGGTCGTCTGCGCCCAAATGTCCGAGGAGACCTGCACACTAGACATCACTTCTCACGCACTCCACCACTTGCACCTCACAATGAGCAGAGAACAACACAAAGCGCCATCCCAATTCATCTCCGAACAGCATAGAAGATTGCTCCAGGGCTTGCCCTTCGGAGACAAGCTTGACTTCGTAAATGCTGAGAAAGGGTTCCTTGGTCGACTTGACCCCAACAAGCTGGAAAGCGCCAATGGGATTCCGATCTGGAACAACGACCAATACAAATTTCTGCAAGATGCTGCTCCCAAGACAGCGAATCCAAGTTTGTGGCGTCAATGCCAGCTCACTCGTATGGATGGTCTGTTCCAGGTCACTGAGTGCATCTATCAAGTCCGCGGCCTGGACATTTCGAACGTCACCTTCATCGAGGGCAGCGAAGGTCTTCTCGTCATAGACCCTCTCACATCGAAAGAGACAGCTGCAGCTGCACTTGGCCTGTATCGAAAGCATCGTGACCCCAAGAGACCTGTGAAGACGATCCTGTACACGCATTCCCATGTCGACCATTTTGGAGGAGTACGAGGAATCGTCACTGAGGACGATCTCAAGAACAATGATATCAAGATTGTGGCTCCAGAGGGCTTTCTGGAGCATGCAGTATCCGAGAATATCTACACAGGTGTTGCAATGGCCCGTCGGGCTGCATACATGTATGGAACTGCGCTTCCAGTGGGCCCGCAAGGTCAAATTGGTACTGGGCTGGGCCAAGCGGTTTCGAATGGCCAACTGACACTTCTCGCACCCAACGTGATGATCAAACGTACGAACGAGAAGTTGACTCTTGATGGAATCGATATGGTGTTCCAGATGACGCCAGACAGCGAAGCTCCGTCCGAAATGCTCATCTACTTTCCACAGTGGAAGGCGTTGTGTGCGGCAGAAAACGCAACACATACATTCCACAACATCTTGACACTGCGAGGCGCTCTGGTACGCGATGCTCGTTCTTGGGCCAAATATCTGACAGAAACGATCGACATGTTCGGGGACGAGCTCGAAGTGGTCTTTGCATCGCATCACTGGCCAACATGGGGTAATGCTGAGAGCATAGAGTTTCTCACTACCCAGCGTGATATCTATGCTTATGTACACGATCAAACTGTGCGACTGATCAATCAAGGCTATAATGGCGCAGAAATCGCAGAAATGATAAAGTTGCCGCCCGCTCTGGACAAGGCTTGGAATGCTCGTGGATACTACGGATCTATCAATCACAACGTGAAAGGCATATATCAGCGATACATGGGCTGGTTTGATGCCAATCCGGCCCATCTTTGGGAGCACATACCTGTCGAAAAAGCGAAGAGATACGCTCGGCTCGCCGGTGGTGTGCAGAATCTGATCAATGATGGACGAGAAGCATTCGAAGCCGGCGATTTCCGCTGGGCTGCTGAAGTCGTCAATCACGCAGTCTATGCTGATCCAAATCTTCCTGAGGCACGCAATTTGCTCGCAGACATCTACGAACAGCTAGGGTACGGGTCAGAGTGCGGAATCTGGAGGAACTTTTATCTGTCAGGTACCACCGAGCTGCGACAAGGGAATTTCGGAACACCACCCCGAAGTGCTGCGCAGGATATGATTCGACAACTGACACCTGAGATGCTGTTCGACTACCTTGCAGTTCAGATCAATGGTCCTCGGGCCTGGAACACAAAGCTTGACATCAAAATCATGTTGACTGACACGGATGTGAGCTATCGCCTGCGACTCTCGAATGGAGCTCTTATCTATTCTTCTGGCAGACATTGCTCGACAGAGCCACATGCAACTCTCAAGGCTACCGCTAAGACACTGCCAGCATTTCTAGCTTTTGGATCTGACCTTGTCAAGCTGAAGACAGCAGGCATTACTGTGGAGGGAGACTTGAGCGCTTTCGCTACACTCACCGGCTTACTTGATCAGGGAGACCGTAGTTTCAACATCGTAGTGCCACGAGGTGTATTGTCGCAACCCACTGGGGAAATGGATGCGGCTGGACCCGGCCAACGAAAATCCCCTACAAGGTCTGTTCTCTGAGGACGAAGAATTATGCTCGTTACTTTTTTGGTCGGCAGAGCACAGAAATTTGGTTATGTTCTCTTTCTTCGCCCACTATAGGACCAAAGTACATCTCGAATTTTCCATCACAACGCCATGGCGTTCATTCTCGCTCTCAGAACACCCAGCGCAATTCCTTGACATCCTAAGCACAGGCCTCGAACATTCCACGGTAATTGCCCGATTTGGCAATTCCCCACGAGCAGCCCTAACGGAGTACAAGTAAAGGGCGTTCTGACAAAACTTTGCTCAAGGCCAATTCTGCAGCACTACAGTTGAAGACATTTATAGAGGATCGTGCTTGCACGATCCGTGTATTACTTCTTTCGTCAAACCGCCTCCAGTCACATCCGCAACAATGACCACAATTCCGCTCGCCACCCAAGAATCCCTCCAAAGCTTTCTCTCCAAAGCCACCATCTCCAAAGAAGTCTTCAAACTGCGTCCGGACTATCGTGCACTTCTCATTGCAGTCTCAAATCTTTCATCTTCCAGCACTGGTCCCAGCGACGCCTTTTCCGAAAACGTCCTCCAAGAAGCCGAGACATCTGTCCGTTCCCACTTGTCCACGGGGAAATCCGTCAACGACATTCCCCACGTCGCAGCCTGGCGAGAAGCATACAAGTCCTTCGGAGCCAAACCCAACAAACATCGAAACTCCCTCGAAGCGTTGACTCGCAGGATCACTCTCGCAACAGACGGCAAGCCCGCTGCTGGTCTTCCTCGGATCAACAAGTTGACAGACATTTACAATGCCATTTGTGTAAAACATCAGATTCCTCTCGGAGGCGAGGATCTAGAGAAGTACGACGGTCCTCCACAGTTGAAAGTCTCCGATGGCACAGAACCTTTCCATGTGACCGAGAAGGGTGAAGCGAAAATTGAGTTCTCAGACAAAGGTGAAGTCGTATGGTGTGACGACGAGGGCGTGACATGTCGGAGATGGAACTGGCGGCAGGGTCCTCGAACGGGACTGAGCGAAAAGACAGAGAAGGTGCTCTTCATCTGCGATGCCTTGGACGCTATGAGTGATGCAGAGCTGGAGAAGGTGGGAGATGAGTTAGTGGAGGCTCTGAGAGAGGGCAGCCCGGAATTGGTGGTAGCGAGGAGACTCATCAAGTCTAATGAATAAAGGCTCGCCTCGCTTCTCTTCCTTCGAGCACAATTCGCGCCGTCTGCAGTCTCGACGGCACTGAGCTGTCACAGCAGACAGAGATAGCAGTACACCATTTCGTTCTCCTCAGTTTGGCACTTTGGCCATCTGCTTCATCTTCAGATCTGGTGGCTCTGAACGGAGATCAGCGGGTGGAGACAGAGTGGTGGGTCATTTCTTCCTTGAATCTCTCTCTGGCACAATTCGCGCCAGTCGCAGTCTCAGTGGCACTGAATGGAGACAGCAGGGTGGAGACAGCAGCGTACTGTTGCGTTTCTCCCCAATCTGTCCTGGGACCAATCCGCACCATTTCCAGATGCGGTGGCACTTGATATAGACCAGTGAATGAAGGCAGATCAGGCGGCGTTTTCTTCTCGAACCCTTCCAAGCACACTCTGATTCATCTGCACGACCGATGGCATTCATCTCAGACAAAGGGCCGAGATAGCTTGCTGTATAGTTTCTCACCCAAGTCGGTTCTCCCCCATTCTTCCAGACTCATTCTTTTTAAGCTGCAGCTTCGATGGCTCACAAGCGAGGCGGATGAGCAGAGAGTGCTGTAGCCGAGATTTCTTCGCGAGTCTGTCTGAGCACAACTCACGCCGTCTGCAGGTTCGGTGGCATTTCGTCTAGGTGCACGAGTAGGGCGCAAAGTCTTGGAATCTGGAATTCGCGGAGTTCGATTCCGTTGGCGGTGGCAGTCCTCCTTCCCTGCAGAGGGATAGGTGGCAGCCATCGTGTACTGTTGGATCCGCGGATGCAGCAGAATGAGTTCTGCGAGAAACGGCATAGCGAGTCATCTCTAAGGCTCGTGCTTACCTGAGTGCTTCCAGGAGTGCAGATAGAGACGATGAGGATAATGCTCTAATAGCTTCGAGGAGAAAGCACTGCTGGCCACTTCTCTCTGCTCGCTCGACTCGTTTCTGTGGAACGAGTCTGCAGATGGAGCGGATTGAGATTAGACAGTCTGGTGGAGAAAGCACTGCTACAAGTCTCTCTCTGCTAGCCCACCTTAGGTGTGTGTCTCCCAGAATGCAGATAGCGCGCAACGTGCTCAGAGAGGACCTTAGAGTCATTCAACGCTACAAGCACTCTCCGTGCCTCAGCCTCGTTCTGTGCCAATGAGTCTGCAGACGGCGAGAATAATGGTCTGATAATCTCGAGGGGAAAGCGCTGCTGCCCGCTTTCTCTCTGCTCGTTCGATTTGTTTCTGTGCCACTAAGTCTGTAGAGGAAGGGGATTGCGATCGGAGAGGTTCGAGGGGAAAGGAGATATCATGTTGTTTCTCCTGATCGGATGGGTGTTCTTTCTCGCGCTTTTCTGCCTCCGTTGCCCTTGAATTGCCTCTTCCCGGAGAGTTTGGCATATGGAGCAGGTGCAAGTGAAGCGCGACAACGATTGTGGAGTCAACGCGCGCGCGTGAGGAAGTGGCCCCTGCGTGCTGTTTGTTACTTCTTCGCGTCTCTAACTTCTTCCTTGTCTCGTCGCCGCCGGATCTCCAGACACGCCGCTTGTTACCTTTTGCCACGACGCCCGAGACCGCCGCCGCCATGTCCGCTCCCCCCGACCTCGAGAGCCCTTTTCCCGCCAAGGCGCTGCCTTCGGCATGCAGCAAAGAAGTTGGCTGGGCCCTCACGGGCGTTCAGATTTTCTCCGTGCTTCTCGCCCTCGCGACGATGACCGAGGTGCTCAAGATCCTTTGGGATCCGGATAAGAACGCGCGGCAAAAGAAGAGATACCGATGCGCCCTGATGGTGGGCTCAATTCTCGGCGCACTTTCTTTCGTCGTTTTGAACTGCATCAATTTGCGATGCCATATCTCTGCCGAGATGGCGCCGGTGCAGGTGTCTTCGTTCGTTCTGGGCCTGGTGCACCAGTCGGCTTCGGTTTCTTTCGCCGCGGTGGCATGGAGGAAGGCGTGTCAGCCTGAGAAGCCAGAAGTGGACGGAATTCCCCTGCGGCGTTTGGAGCAAAGTGGAGCGGAGTCGCGTACAGAAAACGCACTCGAAGATACCCGGCGAGAAGACAGAGGATCTCTCCGCCGTCGTCCGGGCCGCAGTGCCGACGAAACTCCCTCCCACGAGGAGGAGCGACAGGTCACAGTCGCAGAGGGCGTGAATCGAGGCGCGCCTCTCTAAAGATCAAGTCTGCTTTGTCCCTTAAGCTCGGTTGGGGCACTGTCAGCGGAGAGGCGGGCTTGGTCCACCCGTCTCTCAACTCCCACGCGGTTCGAACCTTGAGTCCCAAGTCAATGGGGACACGGTGTGCGGCGGTATCATGGCAACGAATTCAATCAATTCAGAGTCAGCAACAACATCAAAGATACCGTCAACGGAGCTCAGTAGCCGACCAAGTCAATGTCGGCGAAGCCAATCGAACCAGAGTCTTACATCCGGTGGTCATCATCATCATCAAAATCGGAACAAGACTCAGGACTGTCAGGAAGGCTCTCGTCAACGAGCCGGACTGCAAGGCAACACATCAAACGCCATACCTTATTCCATCCTCAGCAACGATACCGAAAATCAACACAACAGTCGCAACTCCTTCATGCTGAGCACATACCACCTTTGATGGATGCGCAACGACATCATCTTGCGACTACAACATGCGCGTACTGCGATCAATCAACGTCCATCGACGAGGTGACCTCAAAAATCTACGTTCTTTCTGGAGCAGCGGTCATCGCCATGCCAATCAAAATGCGTCTACCACTGGAGGAACGCATGGGCAACTTTTGCATGAAGCGGCCATTTTTGAGGTAATTGCAATTCACATGGCTTCCTTCATCTACTGTATCACTGCCGTCAATGGGTCCGCCTCCGGAACTTATCTTTTGCGGAAAGCCTATCAATGTCGACCAGCTGTCATCCTACAATGCATTCTCCAGTGGAAGCAAAAAGTATTTCAGAGATGCGTAGCTGGTTCAAGCCATCGAGTCTAGACGAGCTGGGGTTCCAGATTCAATGTCCAGTCGGAATTTTATCGGCTCTCCAACACTGGGCGTCCCATGAAGCCGACCGCTGTGGACAAGCCCAAGAGATGGGTTGACACTTCTATCGGAAACACATCATTTCTTCAATTCCGCACAGCTGTCAGGGTTGACTAACGTGGGCAAGCGGCAGGGCTGATGCGTTCCTTCTGCCAGAGACAGATTGTTTCTCTCCTACAATGCCCCCTTTCAAGCCCTCCAGAGTCGACAAGCCGTGGAAATGGAGCAGCTATCTTGCCGGAGAATGATGGTACCTCCACATATGTGTGTGTCCAACTTGAGCCAACGACTTTGCACACATTGACGAAGCGGAATGAACTTTCAACCGGAAACGCGTCCTCTCTCCGGTTTCAAGCTCGTTTTGAAGCCAACAAAGGCCAACGAGCTGATCAAAGCAAGTCATGGTTCTCTCTGAAACGGATCCAGTCTCCCAGACCCTCTGGCTTCTTCAGCCCACCCCATGGCGATATGTGGCAGCAATCAAGGGAGCCGATTGTCGAAAGCAGACAATGACTCTACGAGAGTGCGCATCTTCTGCGCAGCGTGCGTCCGCGAGCTATAGGAGCCGCCGGAAAATCGTTAAATTTCTCTCAAGGCCACATCCTACCTCTAGGCACGCTCGACCAGATCAGCATGTGGCAGAAGGCCGCCTTGCTTGGGCAATTTCTTTGCGAGAAGCAGTTTATGTCTCTTACGCACGAGCCATCACAATACCTGGTGGCTCGCATCAGAATCGGCCATCAAAGCACCGCAAGCAGACCACTCATGCCAATTACCTCAAGCACCTCAATCCCAGAGGTCCATGGGCGTGGCGATTTCTGTAGCGGAGTACAGATGCGACATCTGGAATTCCGCCGAGGCAACGTTCCAATCAATCATGCTGAGACTACACAATTCCAATGATGGAGGACAGGATAAGGCATTGAGAGCGAATTCAGACATTCAAGAGAGGTCAGCCTCAAGCGTAGTCCTGCGATTGAGTGGAATGCCAACAGGGTTCTGAATTACCCACAGCTTGAACCAAAGCTGCCGTGCCATCCGCATCCAATGCCGCTTGCGTTGAATCATAGAACTCAAAGTCGACTGCCGGATCGTTGCTACCAAGCATCCATTGCCAGAAATGTTCTCCGAGAGACGACACACCTCCAGGCGGAAGCCTCTATCGAAGAAGCTATGCTCAGCGCGACCAACGCGGACTCGTCGATGACGCTCGGCTACTGGCAAAGCGCATACCATGGCCAGATGCCCAGGAGGAAAGCTTGTGCAAGAGCAACGGAAGCACTCGATACACAATGCAGCAACGGAAGCACTCGATACACAATGCTTGGAAGTAAGTGCCACGAAGTGGCCTCTGACAACATCTGTCTCGGTGTAATGGGCGCTCTCTCTCTGCAATATGCTCTTCAAGATCGAAATGAGACCTTGCTCCGTAATCGCCAAACAGTGAAGGCAGACAAACTGTGGCTAAGTCTTCCTCAACCCGAAGCCACCATCCTCACAGCCCGAATGTACAACATGCTTCTGGCTGCTAGGACCATTCAGGGTATACAGAGGCGGATCGCACCAAATGTCGGACAAGACCATCGACAGAACAGCCTAGGATCGGGATGTCCTGGTTGATGTCGGTCGCGGTGACATCGTCGTACAGTATCGTCAAGGGACGTCTCGGCCATCGACAATTTGTACAAGCACCACTTCACAGCTGGTACCATAGACTGGCTCCTCCAGATGTTCAGACTGGAACCACGATGCCGGACGAACCTGCGAAACCATCATGAAGCTCTATTGACTCCATTACAGCGTTCAATCCATGGTAAGGCACAACGATGGGTCAAGTGTTATGCGCTTTGCGTGTTCAGCTCTAAAGTACCTGATGCAGGCCGAAAACCGCAAGGGAGTAGCATTGGGTGTTCCGGCACATTCCAATCGATAATTTCTGTGATCAAAGCAGCAAGCGAGTCACCAAATATCGAATCTGCATGTCTGCAACACCATCACCTGAGAATGTTCACTATTGAGAGCCCTCGTCCGAGATTCATTGTGGCTGTTGGAAGTGGGAGTATGACCGGTTCGCATGATATGCGGAGCAGATCCGATGGGGATATTCTCCGAATCAAAGGTCTGAAGTCCCCAGATCGAGCTGACGACGGATATGCGTGGATGATCGGATCGAACTCTCGACACGGTATAGACACGTTGCTCCGTCTCAGCCACAAATGCCAAACCATAGCCCAGTTGGTCATCGACGAAGGACTACAGAGATTGCAGTCTAATGCACGAGGACCACAATACGCCAAGCAACCACGATCAAGTGGTCCACGAGCCATACTGGGCTCCTCTTCTCGAAGTCAAAATAAGCTTGAGCCATGCCCAGAAGAATGCGAGGACTGATCGAACTTTGCTCCTCAACAGCATGTGGCGAGTCGATGTAGTCGTCGAGAGATTGTCAACCTGAGATCATCGCACCCCGAATGATGGGTGCAGTGCAAATTTATCAGCGTCGCGGAGTCGATTCGCTTGGCCAATACATTTTCAAGCCGATTTTGAGCTATCTCTGGCTCGGAGTACATTTTATCCTGATGGAACCGTGGAGATGCCTCTTCCAGAACCGTGGACCGAGGCTTGGCGATGCGCTCTCAAGCAAATTTTTGGGCATGCGTGCTCTTCGCATTCAAATTCATCACCGGCGACTTTCAATCCGTTCAATTTCGTCCCAGAACTCATCAGGTCGCCTACCATGCATTTTGCAAAAGCTCTACTGCTGCTTGCTTTCGGATCGCTATCTGCACACGGATACTGTCATTTCAATCTACAACTCCTGCTCAACCGATATCCAAACTCGATATGCAATGGTCAACCTTGGATGGATACTAACCCCACGCATGATGGGGTCCGAATGCACGAAGGCAAGTGCAAGGACTGGAAAGATGGCTTGGAATTTGGGTCCTTCGCTGTGCAGTGGATGCCTAACGTCGATGGCGAGGACATTAGCTGTCATGAGTCGTGCGACCTCTTGGTGTACAAAGAGAAGCACTGCGGGAGAAAGGAAAGATCGATGATCAAGGAGTGGCCGCAGCTTTTTCCGATCTACGCAATTCAACGGGTAAGGGTGCAACGTACGCTATTTTCCTATGGAAAACGACATTCTAACGTGTTGTGCAGGTAAATGACGAGCGACCACGGACGTTGTGTCACTCTTTCGAGCTGCACAACGTGACAGCGAAGGGCAAAAGCGTGGAGTTGCATTGTGGTCCAAAGTGGTTCGATTATCCGATAGTCGACAGACCTCTCAATTGAGCGCTCTGGACCATGCGCAAAAAAATCGTTAAAAGGCACACTCTTCTCTGGCGAGACTCTGCAATGCATCAAGGATCTTCTGGCCAAGCTCTTGCAAGGCCTGAAGTCAGCTTCGAAGGTGGACCAGTTGTAATGGCGCACGAGGGCGCTATGAATGCGCGTGAAAAGATCTTTGTCATGAAGACGCATAGCTACAGCCAGGTGTAGCTTGCTAAATTCAACGTCGTCCGTGTTGACGTTGGCTATGATGGTCTGCAGGGGATCAGGTACACGCACATTGCACTGATCAGTTTGATCAAGGTGCTTTCGGCTTTTCTGCAATGCTGGGATCTGGCGGCGACTTGTGTCACATCTTTATACTCCATGACAGAGTCAGACTGTGGTCCGCTTTTTCTGCACTTCTGGCGACAATTAAGGTAAGCAGATTGGCAGAAAGAACTCTTGTCCTCCTTCCTCACCCACCAGCTCTGAGCGCAGAACGCTCTATCTACAGACTCGTCGCCACAGCACCTAGGCGATCGAGCGGAGAAAAGTAAAAATCGGTTCACTCCCACCCAATCCTTCTAAGCACAGTCCGTACTGTATCCAGATTTGTTGAGTACATGCTCTGCGGAGTCCTTGAGTATCTGGCACTATGCCTGGGCGACCGTGTCGTTGGTTCCGAATCTCGTCGTTGTACTGAGCTCCTGGTTCTCAGCCTGTTCCGCGACTATCACACCAGTATAGGCCTCAAAGTCCATAGCATCTTCTTCTTCTACGTTACTGATGTTCGCGGCAAGGTGGGCATTGCCCTCTCCGAGTTCCTTGGTGGCGATACTCACCCATTGCTCGGGCATCTTGATCTTAGTTATCTGGTCGTAGTACTTCTGCTGAAAGTCCATCCTGTAGAAATTCGATGCTCGGGTCCAAGGAGCAAGTTGTTCTTGCTATCGTCGCGACCCTTCGAAGATGTTGGAGACGATTCCAAACAGAGAACATCTTGGCTCCATGCTCTGAGTGACCAATGCTTAGCATACACGCGTTGTGCGTCTCCAAGAAGATGGGCAGGTTGAGAAATTCTCTCTTTCTGGCCTTCTCTTCCGGATAGAATTCGCCTCGTTGCCACATTCTTTGGCATACACTCCAGGTGGACGAGCGGAGACAACGTAGCACAACAACGTTCTCTCGGACCTCTTCTGACAACTTCTTCCACGTTTCGAGCCTTGGTAGCACTGAGCCGACCAAGATAGGCAGAGAAACAGCTCACAGCAGTGACTTCTCACCAGCTCTCTCGGAAGATCACCGGCTACATTTGCACATCTGATAGCAGGACCTCAACACGATGGACAGGGAGACAGCAGATGACGATGCTCTCTCCAGAAGCCTCCTGATTCACCACTCAATCTTCTCTTCGTCTCCTGTTCTCGACCTGCCATAAGTCCCATCTCAAAGCAGCTGAACTCTTCATAGCTGTGGCAGCGGACCCATGCCATGGAAGAGAACAGCCATGCATTGTATCTCGAGCACACCTCGAGCTCGCTTTGTCCAATGCCATCAAGCTGCGTGAGAAAATCATAGACTACGATCTCCGAACGATTTGGTGAGGAGCGGAAACCAGCCGCTTCGACGTCGTGCTTCATCTGCCTCAGCACATCGGACATGAGATCGAAAAATGTACCAATGCGGTCTTGGTGGCCGGTAGTTTGCTGGCTAGCGAATTTGATCCCCTCCGCTGGAATACCAGAAACCATGTACACGTACAGGATTTTCGCGATACTGTAGAGAGTCATACCACTGAGACGGGAGAGCAAGATGGTAATGGTATGATGTCCGCCCGAATGGGTGCGAAGCGAAAGTCTGCTCCATCTGGGCGTCTGGCGGCAAGAAGCTAATACGATAGGCAGAGAGATAGCAGGTGAGGGCGCTCTCCCCAAACTTCCCCTGACAGCTCCTGTTCCGTTGATAAATCTGGTGGCACCGAGCCAGCGAAGATAGGCAGAGAGACTGTTTAGGCTATGGCTTCTCAGCGGATCCCTCTGAACAGCATCCGTTCCTGTTGCGCTTCAGGCGGCACGCAGCTAACGTGGATGAGCAGAGAAGCAGAATTCGGATGCAACCGAAACATGAAACCGTCAAGAGGAACGTTGGAGATCTGCAATGCAGCATCGTGCGTCCATAGGCGCACGTAGTCATCGCCGAATCGTGGGCCCGCAACTGCCTGTTGAGCAAGGATCAAATATCCATAGAAACGACCAATGCTAAGACGTTGGGCCCAGTCATATGCCCTCACGAACTCTTTGTGGATATCGCCTGTGTGCGTCGCAAGCGCACGCGGAACGTCAGTTGCTTCCTGCGTTGAAGGTCCGAGTACTGGTAACTCGGCGTCTATGCTCTGGCCTTGAATGATACGGCTTGGTGGCATTCGAAATCCATGGGCGAGAGACCGATTCAGCAGGTGCAAGTCCGCTTCGTGGCGCAGCACTGGCGAATCGGCATCTGCTCTCTGGGCCCGAGTGACACGGCTTGGTGGTATTCGATCTCCTCGAGTCGCCCTGAACACGGTCTTCTCCGTTTGCACGCCTGGCGGCGCTGGACCAATACAGACAGGCAGAACAACGGTTTGAAGTAAAGCCTTTTCACCGAGTCTTCCTGAACAGCGCCAGCTCTTTGTTCCTTCGACGCTGGTGTCGACCAGCTTCTCGTCGCACTCCTTGGTCTGTCTGGCTGGAGCCTTGGTCTGCGCGCCTGGGCCACGCCTTTCTCTATGAGCACAAGCAGCACCAGCTCCATCACAGCTTTGACGAACTGCGGGTTTCGTCAACTTCGTGTCCGGCATCAGCAAAACGGTAATGGGTATGTCTCAGCGCTAAATGACTGCCTATGCACAAAGTTCCAGCAAAGATTCGTCGCTGCACCGCAGAGATACTTTTCCTCTCTGTCGCGCCTTGATACGAAGGTTCCAATGCTGCCGTTGCTCGTTCGTCACGTTGGTCGTATACGATCATGACTTGCTCCGGTTTGCTCACTGCTGGTCTGGAGCGTTGATTAGAGCTCGGGTGCGGCAGCCTGAAGGGCGGGCACGGGAAGTCGCTCTGCCTCATGTCGAGAGCTCTTATTGCAAACGTCTCTCCTCGACCCTCTTCTTTTGCAGTACACCGTCAGTCCAAACTCCATTGGAAGCGCAGCGTCAAGGAAATCAATATCGCTCAACCAACCTTGTACGTTGTCGCGGGGGAAGAGGCCAAGATTAGGCATCTTGCCCGCAGATTGTTCGACTGTGAGAAGCAGAGTGTCCTCATGTTCACCAAGACGCCTCGCCTCTGGTCGAAATTGTTGCACCAATTTTTTCAGAAGTCATGTTTACCATATTCATCGCATCGTTCCAGCCTGAGAAGCTTTGTGATACATCCACTCCAACGGCGACAGCCGCACCTGAATCGTATCCTTCATCACGCAGTGTTCCGTGGCGAGGGGAGAAAACTTGGATATTAACCCCATCACAACGGCTCATGGCGTCCACTTCGTGCGAGTCGCAGTCAGAAATGGTTGTCTTCATGTTCTCATCGTACTGTTGAACCTCCTCGCTCGGTTTGCAGGGTGCTGCAAGCGCTTCTCAGGTGGGTTCTCCGTCCAGCACTGCAGGCCCGATCGTAATTGCCAACGACTGTGCTGAGGAGGTTACTGAGAGCACTTTACACCTCCCAAGTCATTGTCGATGCCAATGTTCCCGAGCCGATGTTCGGGGTTGGCATGGTCTGTCGTTTGCCCCGGGAGAAACGAACACGGCCACGCCCCGGGTGTTTTTCTCACGTTCACATAGTGCAGCGGCCAGATCCTCGTCAGAAGCCCCGGTCATTGTCAGGTTCATGCCACGCTGTATTTTCGCGGCTGTTGGTTAACTTGGCCGCAGATACGCTGCGCAGTCTCGCAGCAACGCCTGTTTGAGGTCGATGATGATTCCAAGCGATCTCACGTCCTTAGCGCCTCTATCCTGGTTTCTAGTGTTGGCGGTAGATCACCAGAAAAGCAGACGATAACATTGCCAGCGGTGTACTGATATCTCAGTGGCACACAGGTGATCGCCTGCGTACCGAGTAGCTTTCACCTGCCATCGGTAATGCCAGCTGGCGTGGCCGTCGCGTTGCTGTTGCAAGCAGAGACACTCCCAGGAAGACTCTCTCCAAGGTTGAGCTCTGCATTCGGCGCATGATCTTGGAGTGCTGTTCTACTCGCAATCCAGCGTGCTGTAGTCAAGGTTCGCGTCGGTTTGCGAGAGTGCTGATGAGTCCACGATCTTCATTTCCGAAGATGTAATCGCAATACTGAAGCCCATGTTGTTGGTCCTGTGGCTGACTCGACGACTCTGCACCGTCCTGTTCCGGCCTCTTCGGTAGTGCGTTGGCGAGAGGGAAGTGGAAGCGGAAGGTGGTATATATGCGCGCTACAAGGTTCAAGTGTCCTCAAATTTGGCCTTAGGTGAGGCCACCTTTGTGAAATTCCGGACCTGCGACTCCCTTCCACGAGCTCGAGATAAGCGGAGCGGAGATGTACGAATGTCCCCCTTTCGCCACGACACCGAGACCGCCGCCACCATGCCTTCCGTAGTGCGATACAACGCGACGCACTGGCTCACAGACATCGACCCGTCCGAGCTGCCGACTTGCCTGCCGCCAAAGGCGCTGCCGTCCACGTGCAGCGGAGATCGTCGCCTAGCGACTACGGTTCTCCAAATGTTTTGCACTCTCGTCGCCATCGCGACTGTGCTTTTGCGCCCGGAGGAGACGATGCTTTTGCGCGCGGAGGAGACACTCCGTCGAAACAGAAAGTATAAGCTCGTCCTGGCGTTGTCGGCGTTCTCTGGCCAGTGCGAGATTCGTCGGCACAGTGGCCTAAACGGAGGCGGAGAGAGCCCATGTCTTGTCGCCAAATTCTTCCAAGTGCGTTATCTCTACGCAACTTATGTCCTTCGTCAAGGCTCTGCAGGGCAATATAATCAGCTTCCTGCTTCTCAGCACAATGCGCTCTGCAACACGCCACGTAGGCGAACCCAGCTGTGCATAGCTGGCCCGCGGTCGACGAGGAGATTTACGCCGACTCCAGCGCGCGGGAGAGATTGTACCGCAACGAGGTTACGCTAAAGACAACAGAAACCACCCGACGAGTCTCGCTCCAACAAGGAGTAGCGACAGGTCACAGTCGCCGCCAGGTCCGTTGATAATTGGTTGGAGATAGTTGAGAGACAGCTGATGCCCTTGTTCCCCGAAGTGCTCGCCATTCTCTGCCGTTGTCTGAGACTATCGGTCCTGAGTCCACGATCTTCATTTCCGGAGATATCATGGTGAAGCCCCATTGTTGCTCTTGAGGGTTGGTCGACGAGTTTTTGGCGTCGTGGCTTGGTTCGTTGTGTGATGCACAAGCGACAAGGGAAAATAGAGGATGAGGTGGCTTATATGGCTGCAAGGTCCAAGTGTCCTTAAATCTGGCCTTGGGTGAGGCCACCACGCCAAAATTTCAAACCTGCAAATCCTTCCACGGAGTCAAGGTAAGCGGAGCGCATGGATGTGAATGCGTATTCCGTCCTTCGATTGCCGCCGCGTTGAGAGGGTATCGTCCGGGAGGCTGTCCAAAGTACTGGAGACACGTCCGGTCTCGCCGATAAGAATTTCCAGAAGCAAATGTGAAAGGGAGAGCCGCCAGAAAGCGGCCAAGATTGCAAACATCCTGCCTCGAGGCAAGCATATCATTCATCTAAATCAAATACGCTCGCTTGTTTCGCTCAGTCATCTCATTTCAGAACCGGAAGCCATTCCGTGTACCCAAATATGCTGTCCATGTCTTGCTCGTTTCCTGAAGTTCCCAAGCCTATACCGTCATGCCAAATTCAATCCTCAACCGTGATCAATTATTTCCCACCGCCTCTTCTCCCTTTCACGAACCCAACCAGGTTCTCTATCACACCCTCCAAAGCTTCCTTCTCTTTCAAGCCCTCATCTTTCCGGAGTAGCCAGTACTCCAGAACGGAACTCGCCTCGTGATTCAACTCTTCGAGCGTCTTGACGTGTTGTCGCAACTCATCATCTTCCATATTCTTCATCGCCTCTTCCGTTGTCCGACATACCAACGCCGCACGATTCGAGTCGAACTCCGGCGGCGGAGGCGGCCCTTTGACAGTGCCTGTCCGTTTATGTTGCGAGGACTTTTTGGGCGCGCCAGTTTTGCTATCGAGGCTTGTAGTCGAGTCGTTCGCGCCATCTGAAGATCTGAGACGGTCAAGTTTGGAGTCGGAAGAGGCGAGATTGATGTTCGGTAGCACGAGGCGTTTTTGTTTTGAGGGTGGAAGGATCTCGTCGAGGTCTACGGGCACGCCTAGAGAGACGAGGAAGAGGCGGCGGATCTTGCTGCGTGTCCAGTTCGGAGGTTGCATGGGCGGAGGTTGCACGAGTTGTTGCCAGAGAGAGAGGGAGCGATCGGAGAGGAAGGGTGAGCTGTTGGACATGTCGAGTGGTGGGATCGCTGAGGCCGGCGGTGGTACGGGCTGATCGGGGAAGATGAGGTCGAGGTAGGGTGAAATGGCATCTTGGAGATCGGAGGCAGATATGTCGGGCTGGAGGTCTAGTTTGGGCTGAATTGATGGTCAGTACGTGGTTCGCATGAATGCGGTATTGGAGTGCACTCACCAACCCAGCTAATGAGTCTGGCAAGGAATATGTTTGTGTTTCGGGTACAGGTGCTGGTGTTGCGGGTTCGTCAAAATCACCAAAGTCATCGTCCTCGCCGCCTTCCGCAAAGTCGTCAAAATCATCTCCAAAGTCATCTTCGTCATCCGGCACATCCTCAGCCGCATCTTCTTGTAGATTGGCATCCATCTTTGTCGAGGCTTGTGTAGGTGTCTCTTGCTGATCCTGATTCCCTTCCCACATGCTACGAAACCACGCCTGTCGATTTTCAGGATCCTGCTCTACTTGGTCGCTGTGAACGGAGTCAGTCAACACCAGATCCAGCAGCCAGCACTTCATGAAGACTTACTGACCATTCTCGCCGCTTGCGGCAATGGGAGACGCCGCCCGCACCTCGTCAGGTGTAGCGTCGGCCAGTCTCTTTGCGTGCGCTTCTGTGCCCTCCACTTCGCCATGCGCAGGCTTGTTGTCCACTCGCTCGACGATCAGCTTGGGCACGGGAGTGCCTCCGGGAGTCATGGGCCTGCTGCCTGTGGAGCTGTTGCTGGCGGCGCTGTTCCCTCTGCTCCTCCCTCCTGCGATCTGCAATGTGGCACTTCTTGATCTCCGTCCTTCGGGCACGATTTCTATTTCATCCGGTACAGCATCCTGTGTGCGAAGGGAGTAGGCGGGAGTACCGGGAACCTCGCCGTGCGCTGGAGTATCGTCTACTCTTTCGACTCGCGTGATGGGAATGGGCGATTGCGGAGGGTAGTCTTGGCCGGGAGTGTTATCTGCGCCTTCCGAGGCAGAGGAGAAGTGGTCGTCGGAGGAGTCTACACACTGTCAGCATGCAGCATTGTGCGAGTGATGGAGATGCATACTGGAGACGACGTCTTGGCCTTGAATGTCCTGCGTGTTGATGCGGGGGATCTGAGGGCCCGACATGGTGAGGGTGAGGGAGTAGACGGACACGCAAGCAGCAGACGACGGACAGCAGGAGGAAGTGGTGAGTTGATGTCTCGCCCGTGTGCTGCGCACCAAACCATGGAATCGAGATCCCTGTCGCGCTGCGCAGCTCCACAAGCGGCTAGAACGTCGGCGGCGTGCCTGAAGTCAAACCCGCCCAAAACAGGCCACCTGGTACCACTTCTCTGCAACATCCGCTCTCCGTCCATATTGTCCTCTTCCTCTCGGGCTCATCCACGGCCGTCTTCAACACCAGCTCCCATCGCACGTTCGAGAACAAGGTCGCCAGATTGCGCATCGTATTCCCATCCATGAACCTCGATCGGCTGATGGAATGTCTCATCCGATTTCTCCCTCCCCACCGGGCCCAGCTAGTCAGCGCTCCACTTCCGCATATGCACTCCAGGAGCAGCTGTCGTCCGGAGCCAACGCGGCATCGCCGTTGCGCGGGGGTCGAGACTCTTCCATTCCGTGATCGTGAAAGACATTTGCAGCTCAATGCAGCGATACTCATGTCTTCTCCCATGGCCTGCCATACCGATGCAATAGCAACATCACTGTTTCTCGCACGCTTGAGAACCTCATTCTCAAAGCATACGCCAAGAAGCATGCGGAGAACAACTCCTCCACTTGCCATCACTCCCGGCCACTTTCTCTGAAGATCGCCCTGAAGAGCGCAATCGCAGATATAAACAGTCCGGCATGACTACCTGCATGCAAGCTAACGACCCGCCATTGTGCAACACGCGTCGGAGCTACCTCCTCTGCGCTGGAGCTTGCGCTTATAGGCGGCAAACTTTGCACTGATGAGAAATCTCACAAGCGAGCGGCAGTGTTTGCAGTATACAATTGACACGTGAGACACAAGACGCGTCTCTACATGCGATCGCGGCGATGCAGATTGAGAAAACGGGATTTTGCTTAGGCGAGTATTGGCTGATCTTCAACGTGTCGCACCATCCGAAACGATCGTGCGATGAATGCTCAGCGTCTACAGAACGTCATTTGGAGGTTTCTCGAAGACGACCGCTCTCGCTCCATCGTTCGAGCGAAGAATCCAAGCTCGCTGCCTGTCAGATTGCTTGGCAACAGACACGACGTTGTCTGACGAGAGTGGAGTGGAACCTCTCGAACCGGAGTCAACTTCACCACGGTGCTCCCTGTCACCTACCCAATGCTGCTTGACCCAGGGTTACATTTTACCGAGTCACTTGCTCAGAACAGCAAGCTACACAACAGCGATCAGTTCCTGTGCTGATGCCGCTCCGTACATGGCGCTCGTAGCAACCGCCGCGCCGCATGCTCACATTCAAGCATACGCAACATCTTTCAGCTTGCTAATCTGTCCAGGCAGTAGCTTCGGCATACGCAGGAAGCTAATCAACTTCGCACTCTATCGCCCAAATGTGAGGCTGCAGGTCCCGCCTTTCGATATATTGCAGACGTCCCAGGCTCCACTTGTACGCGCAACTCCCCCGCAAGCTGCTGGGCCTGTAGCGATCCACAGTGTGGACAGGACATCAGTGCTCTCAATTCATGGAGCGATAGCCGACGAGGGGAAGTCGCTTCTGAGAGTTCTGGCTTTCAAGATGCCAATGAGATGTCATAATGTGGAGAGGAATCTTGCGTCCCAAAAACATGTAGAGTTGGAACTACAAAGGCCAGGGCCACTTTCCGCATTGCGCAACTTACGAGAGCTGCCAACTCAAAGCAGGTCATGCTGACGACCCAGCAGAAAGAACCGCGGCCTTACCGAGCTCTCTGCGAATTGTGAGAATGGAAGAAAACCACCATTTCGGGAAATCAAGGCCCCAGTGTGACAGGTAAAACACAAGACTCGTCCATAACAATTCTATCTCTGTCAAGAAGCAACTCGAGGGCATTTCCATTTCCAATTGTTGAATGAACAGACCCCATCCGCGCGAGGTCGTGTACAGAGCAGGCGCTATACACTATCACTACAAGACGCAACTCATAATCAGTCCTCAACATCCGCTTGCCGAACGACTCTTGTCATCACGCTCTGCCTCTCTATCTCTTCTTCTTCTCGATCCTTCGCAGTGCCTTTTCCATCTCCTCCCACATCTGATCTTCCGTCAGCGGAGATCGATCATCTGGGTCCGATTCCGGCTCCTGCTCTTGTTCTGCTTCTGCCTTCTTCTTCCCCTCAGAAGACGACGTGGTTTTCGTGGTCTGTCCTTTGCCTTTGGCAAACGCGACGGCTTTGGAATATGGAGGTTGCGTCTTCCCCGTCGAGACTGGACCGAAGGACGGAGTATAGTTCGAGTGATTGGCGAATGGAGTGCCGAGAACGGGACCTTCAATTCCGTGGCTGGTGGGAGCAGGGGATGGTTTTGCTCCAAAATGGAAGGCGATTGGATCTGCTCGTGTCACCACGGTGGCGGTTCCGGGGGTGTGAACAGGGGAGTGCTTTCGCTTGGCATGGAGGGCGAGCGGAGCTGGAGGCATCATGGTGGTCGTTGTGGGTGCAGGAGTGAGTGAGGAATATGAATCCATGCTGTTGTTCTCGCCCTTCTGCAGTCTGTTCTTTCGATTCACTTTAACCTGCTTACCTTCATTTTCAATTTCATCACCCTGCTTCTCACTGTCCTGGGCCGTATGGTTGACCCCTTGCTCCAGATCTTCCTTCGATTGTTGGCCGACTTGGAAGACCTTCATCAGTGGCGGCTCACCGTCATCATCACTTGCAGAGCTTTGCGCCGAAGAGAAGAAAGCGGCAGGCATCGATTGGTGAACGACTGAATATGAAGGGAAGCATGCTGCAGGCGTCGGGCGGTAGGCCACCGGACTTGTTGGCGGCGTATCCGGCAGAGGCACTGGGGATAAGTCTTTGGCTTGCTGGCTCTTTTCGTCCGGAACTTCGACGTTCTGCTGCAAAGTATCTTGTTCATCCTGCTCGTCGTTTGCTTTCTTGTGAACTTCATCCGAGGTGTCTTTCGCAGGTTCCGTGGGTTCGGTCACTGCTTTGCCTCCTCTCCACCAAATATGCAGCTTGGTGACCGTAGACGCAGCACGTGCAAGCAACCCGCGACCGCTCGCTGAATCTTCGATTTCGAACTCGTTGGTTTGAGTCTTGGATTTCTGACTGTCACCTTCTGGTCTGTCGATCTTCCGATTCTGATTATTCGTATCGTGGTCGTTGTCACTCGCGTCGCTGTGATTCTCCTCTTCGTGGGTTGGCTTGCCGTCAACATCAGCCTTCTCATGTTGGTCGGGCTGGGACTCGACTTTCTGATTTTTGTCGTTCTCATCCTCTTTGACTGCAGCTTCAGCTTCCTTCTTCTCTTTGCTCGCTTTGGCGCCCTTTCGATGCTGCTCAGCCTGATCGTCGTTGGACTTGCTGATCTCTTGCTGTTCGATGCCTTTTTCATCTTGTCTCTTCTGCAACGTTTTCCTCGTTCTCGGGACAAGTCTCCTTCTGTTCGCGATTTCAACGTGTTCTTGTTCATGCTGGTCTTGCTCCCTGCTCCCCTTCCTCTTCTTTGAAGTTTCTTCGAGCGCGAGTGGGAGGACTTTGACCAGCGTTGGCTCGAGTTCGTCGTCGCTGTCCGCCATCTTGATGTTGAATCTTCTCAATTGATGTCGCGTTGGCACTGGAGTTGAAAGAGGAAGTCTGCTTTGTGTGGGAGAAGGCGCTGGTGGGAAAAGTCAGTTTTCACTGCCATATTAGAAAGTGAATCGCCGATGTTGCATTGCATATATTCACCGACGGTCACGAATTACGCCGAACCTCAGCGCTGGCACTCGAAGTGACCGTAGCATTAGAAGAGACCAGAATTGTCCGATGATGAGGTCACTGAGTGAACAGAGGACTCGAAATCACCGATGTCCGTTGTTGGTGGTCATTAGGGTCAGGAAGATGTCGCGACCATTCCCTACGAATACTTGCTACGAACGATCAGTCATCAATTTCCACCATTGCCAAACCCATAGTATGAGTTAACTGACCTTCTTCGTGTGACTTTTCTACCTGCGTTTCCCCTTGAATACTGCTTACTTGCTTGCACAACTCAGTCCCACCACACTCCAACGAGCAGACACTTGCCTTTCAGCCCACCCAATCCAGCTACTTTGCGCTCATCTTGGATACATTCTTCCATTAACAGAGACCTATCCTCCGGATTCGACCCCTACCCATTCATGCACCGAAGCTTGCTCCTCCCGTCTTCTCCTTGGCGAACGCGGGGAATTATGTTCCTTTCTGTTCAGGCAATATGCCACCCGGGATGTCTGCCATCTCCGTCTTCGCTGTCCAGAGTAGCTTGAGGGTCTGGAGATTTCCCGCGGGAACGGCGAATGGAGTGGTGAAGATGGGACGCGTGGTCGACTTCTTATCGGGAGTAGATATGGGTTGATCCTGGTTCTCGTCACCCTGGGTCATATTCTCATCGTTGTGAGCCTCGTCGTTGTGATCTTTGCCGCTGGTGGCCTTGTTGGTCGCAACTTCGTCGCATACATTACTACCATTCGGCGTCTCGTTTTGCTCTTTCGCGTGCTTCGGATGCTCTTCGGACTGATTCTCGTTGGCCTTGCTGTGCTCTTGCTTCTCGATCTTTGACACCGGTCTTCTTGACTTCGGGACCAACTTCTTTCTGGACTCGATCTGCTTGTGCTCCGTTCCTCGATGATTCTGGTTTTGGTTCTGCTCTCTCTCCTCCTGGTCTTCTTCGAGTGCTAGTTGGAGTGCTTTGACGAGCATTTGCTCGTATTCGTCTTCAGTGTCCGACATCTTACTGTTGACGAAGTCTCTGTCAGTTGATCCTGGATAGTGGATGGAGACTAGTGGGGAAATCAACTTTGTGTGAGAGGATGTGCTGGCGGGAGAAGTGACTTGCCATTGCGATCATGGAAAGTGAATCAGCGTGTGCTTTCAAGGTATGTTCACCACTGGTGAACCGCCTAATGAGTCATCCAGCCTTCGTCGTGTAGACGGTGAATGATGATCCACTTCTTTTCCTGCGTCTCTCCCTTAAGTCCTGCTTGCTTGATTGCACAATTAGTCCCACCACAGCAGACACCTACCGTTCAGCCCTGGCGATCTAGACATTCTGCACTCGTCTACCATCCACTTTACCATCTCACACCATCACCGACACAATGGACGCAGACACGTACAAGGAGGTGAAGAAGGAGCTGGAGGCTCGTCGCGAAGCTCGGCGCGCCAAACTCGAGCGCGCTGAGCTCGAGGCGGCTGATGAACTCGCTGAAATCGAGCGTCTTGAGATGATCAACCAGACTCGTAAGTATTCCACCATTGGTCAGTGGAGTAGAGTCCCGCAGCAGCTAATGTCATGCACTAGGCGCACCCTCAGGACTCTTCGAGAGACTTCCACAAGAACTTCGCGACCAAATTTGGGGGTATTGTGTCGCACCGGGGAAGATCTTCTTCAGCAAGACGAAGATCCAGAACGACAATCGCTTCCATGACTTTGACATTTACGAGAAACCACATTATTCTCTCTTGGCTGTAAGCAGATCGATTCGCAAGCAGGCCGCCAAAGTACTCTTCGAAGAAAACCAGATGATCTTCGCCCACACTACTACGGGTTTCCACATTCTCCTAGGTGGTTCCGATGACGAAGACGATATACGTTTGAACAGCTTCGGGCAGAGATACCTGAGATCCGCTAGCTTTACCTTCGACGTGCGCTCCCTACCGATCGAGGATGCGCTGAGAGACGCTGCCGACATACGTCGACTCCATGCGGCGCATACGCCACACACACCATGGTCAAGCCTCGCCGACGAAGAACGTGCCCATGAGGCTCACTATCCGGGCGTCCAGCGAGTTTACGATCATGCTCAGGCGCTGATGGAAGCCCTGATCTGGCATTCTGAAGGTTTGAAATCCATCGAGTTCAATCTGGCGAATTGCTATTGTCGATTTGGTTGCTGTCGTGCAGTGAACAGTGCGTTCGGCATGATTTTCGAAACAGGACGCTACCGGTGGCCTGACCATGTAAGAGTCTTGGGAACGAAGAACAGAAAGGAGAGAGATTATGTCCACGCGATTGTTGGCTGCAGATATGTGTACGAGAGTGATAACGAGATCGTGTTTGAGAAGTTCGAAGCGGGGGAGCAGATGGTCGACCCGCCTGATGCAGGTCGCAAGTTCTGGGGACATTTGATTGAGGACGACTTAGAAGTGGAGCTCGAGAGGGAAGTGTTCAAAGAATGAATGGAAAATACCCGCAAGATTGGATGGAAGATGTAAGAATGAATGGAAGATGGAGAATTGAAAGAGAAGAGCAAGTAGTAATGGTGGGCTGTAGCTACCTAAACTACAGGAGAGGCACTGTTCACCTGTCGAGCCTTTCATTCCTTGTCGCTCATCACGCCAGTGTGTTCGAAAGTCAAGAGTCAAGGCACATGCACTACTAGACGTTATCGGAACGCATTGTGTGATGGTCATTGTAGCACTGACCAGCGTTCTCAATGTTTGCGCCAAACAAGTGCGCTTCAGGGGCAAGGAAAGACTACTAGGTGCTACTGCTGTCCGTTGCAGATCGAAGAATTGCTCTCCATCTTGAAGCCACAGATAATGCTCGTGCAGATCAATCTTTGCGGCGTCTCTCCTGTCGTTCGAGATGCCTAAAAGGTGATGCTATCAGAGGGAGGCAACAGCCGTTGAACCGATTGATGACCTTGCACATCGTATAAAGCCGAGCAAGTCCGCAAGCAACCGCACTTATGCGTACGTTGCTAGCCTCAGGCTCGAGTCAACTTTTCGAAAGACGTGGAAATTGCTGGAATCAAGACGCGCATAGGAGAGGAGACGCGAGCGCGAGCGGAGTTTGTTTGGTTGCCTGAGGTGACCATAACAACAAAATCGACGCGACTCCGCTTCCCTCCCGCCTTTCTGAACATTACAGTCACTTCGTATCACACTCGACGCCACCTCCGTCGCGCTTCCAACGCGATGCATTCTCTCACGCCAAAAGAGCTCGAGGACCAACTCGCAGCTTCAGAGGCTAGACTCAAGCGCCTCGAGTCGGATGCTGCTGAAGAACGAGCGGCCATTGACGCCCTCAAGCAGTTGAAGCAACCAAGTACGTCCATGTTCGCTTTGAAGAGAACAATGTCGCACCTCTACCTTACGCATTCTCGCAGGCACGCCGCTCGGCCTCTTCGAAAAGCTTCCGCGAGAGATGCGTGGCAAGATCTGGGGTTACTGTGTTGCTCCTGGCAAGGTTTTCCTCAGTGAGCATGCGTGCACCTATGACACGCGTTTCGACGACTACAGCGACTACGGAAAACCCCATTTGAGCCTCCTCGCTGTCAGCAAGTCTGTTCGTCCCGAGGCCGCGGAGATGCTGTTCAAACAAAACCAATTCATCTTCACAGATGTCTCGCCGCGGGGCCGGTGGATTCTTCATGACGATTCGCTTAGGGACGACCATTACGGCGAAGACCCTGATGCCCGTAAAGATCCTCTAGGTCGGCTCGCGCGAACTCACCTACGGTCTGCAAGTATCGCATTCGACATGCGCTCTCCAAGATATGAAAATGTCATTAGGGACGCGGGCTGGCTGCGCGATCCTGGTCTGCTACGACCGCGACCTTGGTCGACTCTTACTGAGCAGCAAAAGATAACCCGCGCACATGAATTTGCAATCGTACAGACATACAGTGGAATCATGGCAGAGCTGGAGATCCTTCTGTATAAGTGCGACTCGTTGACGACTCTGGAGCTCGATTTCACCAACTCCTATTGCCCAATCGGATGCTGTCGGGTGGTATCCTACTTGACAGATCTATTAGTCAGGCACGACCACTGGTGGCCGGAGCGTCTGAGAGTCCTGGGCTTAAAGAATCAGGAAGAGAGGGACCGTTTCATGATTTCGGTGTGCGCTGTCAGTCGTGACGATAAGATTGAGGTGGTTTTCGAGAAGTTCGTGGCTCCGAAGAAAAGTTTTCTCGAATACAACTGTCTCCACGAAGAAAGACTTGATAAAGAATTGGAGCAGGAGCACTTCGAGATCCTCAACGGCACGGTCAGCGAGTGAAGATGTGCGCACAGGGCATAGTAAGATAGGGCTTGGTTCAAGTGTGTCAGGCCTTGGCGAGGCGGCAACCCATGTGCCGCTAATATCAAAAAGGAGTAATGCTGTAAAGTAGATACGAAGATGCAGCGAAGGAAGCTGCTGCCATGCTAGACTTTCACTTGCTGCTATTCGTTCCAAATCGAGCTTAGAGCTTGCATCGTCGCCCAATGACAGTGCCGGAGTTGACACGCAATGGAATGATCGGCAGAGACTTGAGTTGAATGTTTCGTGGTGAACAAGTGAACCAGAGACCCACTTTTCACCTGACTGCCTGCATCAAAGTTGCCCACTAAGGCAGCCGGCTTCGTTCGCTGAATGATACACGACGCGCTCTCCGACTTTCACTCAATTCCGCGACTCGTCACCTCTCACCTGCAACACCGCCTTTCAGCATCAGCGACGCAATGGAGTCGCTCAAGGAACAGGATGTGGAGGCCGAACTGACTGCTCGCCGTGCGCGCCTCCAACGCCTCGAGCTGGAAGTCGCTGAAGAGCGCGCCGCCATAGCACTACTTGAACAGACACAGACCCGTAAGTATCGCCTTCCCGGGCGCGAAGCACGTTTCGAAATGCTTACTTCTTCTCACAGGTACATTGCCCAATCTTCTCGACACTCTCCCCCAGGAATTGCGCGATGAGATCTGGGGCTACTGCGTCGCCCCCGGCAAGGTGTTTCTCAGTAAGAATCGAATCGCGTGCGATGTACGCTTTGACGACTTCGACGAATACGAAAAGCCACACTGGCAGCTGCTCGCCGTTAGTAAGGTTATCCGACACGAGGCCGCCAAAGTCATGTTCGAACAGAATCAGTTCATTTGGCCGCACATGATTTCAGGCTTTGGAATGCTCATCAAGGGGATTCCGAGCCGGCTCCTTTCCACTCCGAACGACATAGATCTCAACGTCTTCGCGCAAAGATATCTTCGATCCGTCAGTATGACATTCGACCTCCGTTCTCACAATCGAAATAATCCTCTTATGGATGTGGCTTACATGCGCGTGGATGCGAGCAAATACATTGCGCCATGGTCTGGCTTGGACATCAATGTACGCCGATCGTCCGCACATGATCATCTGCGAGTCGTTGCGTATGGGGAAGTGCAAAACCTACTGGACGCTGTGTTGGACTGCAAGGCTTTGACCAGTCTTGAGTTGGATTTCACCAACTGTTATTGTCCAATGGGGTGTTGTCGGACAATGTACTCGGTAATGGACATGTTTATTGACGGAAAGTGGCCTTGGCCTGCATACGTCAGAGTGCTGGGATCGAAGAATCAGCGGGAGAGGAGCGCCGTCGTGGAATCAATCGGTTGCCTACCTGGAAGACCAGGGCAGACTACGGTTGTTTTCGAGAAGTTCGTGGTCGGCCGAGAGATGCAGGATCCCTTCTACGGTGTTTCGCCCTTTTGGAGCCATCTGACTGAGGAAGATCTAAATGTGGAGCTTGGTAGGCAAGAGATGAAGGTGGAGAGAGTATGGGAGCCGGACGAGGATGAGGAGTGAAGAAAGGGTGCGATTCGAAGCCCACTGCGATGCAGCGTGATAAGGAAGGTGCTGCATTCGGAAACTTCGAACCCTCTCGACCTATGCCAACGTCTAAGCCTGGAGACTTGACCGCCACTGCAAGATGATGCGCAGATCATGATGCACAATGGACTTGTCGACTGAGAAAGGGGAAAGTGACGTTGCTGGTCTACCAATAGCAATAGTGCTTGAGCAGACGACGTGCAGAACAAAGAATCAAGTGGTGCTACTATATTGTCTATTTGATCACGCTTGAGAGACAAAGAGAATGTCCCATATTGCCCAAGAGAGTTGCTCTCGAAGAAAGTGAAGGGTCATAGGTCTCTGCCATTGTGTATGTAACGAACGGGTAATGGATAGTGACACGACTCTAACCCGCAGTGATTATGGCACGGTGCGAACAATGTCACTGTCGCGGTCGTTGGCCTACGCACATAGGTTCGCCTATCGCCTCTCTCTTCTGTTCAACTGACTACAGTCAGAAGAAATCCCAAAACACCCGCAAACTTATCACAAACAGCATTCAAATCAACTACCTTACTACAAGCAACACTCCGTCAACATGAGGTTCCGCAAGAGAGCCAATCCCACGCAAAACACTGCACCACAGCTTCCTGACGAAGTTCTGGGGAGCAACGAGTCTTCCCTCTTGATCGCTCCCATCACAGAAGACGAGCATCCTCCAACTTCCGGTCGTGGGTCCGCTCGGGAACACTTCAGACACCCTCACATCACCCTCAAAGTCTCAATGGCCGATCCCCACAGCGCAAGAATTGCAGACATGGATCGTCTCGATCGCTTCGACCTCCGACACGCTCTCGTAATGTCCACAGGCCCCAAGCACTACATCGAGGAACTCACCTTCAAGACCGAGGAGAATCATCAGAAACTTCCAAAACTCGACCAGAATGACGGGGAAACAGCAGAGATCCTAGCAGACTTCTTCTCCCAGCTACCGAATCTCCGCCGAGTAAACTTGCAAATGTCGTGGCCCCCAGCACAAGCTTTTTTCCTCGATGTCCTCGCCACCCAACCTCAACTCCAACTCACCCAACTCGTCATCCACGCTCCGACGTACAAGCCCGCGCAGCAGATGATCCAAGCCTTGGATACCTTCGCCTCAACTCTCCGCTGGCTGAACATAAGCTGTCAGAAATTCACCGCAGACGACTGGCAACTTCTCTTCACCCACATTCGCGATAAGATGCAGCTTCAGATTCTCGACGGGAAGCTCTGGTACGTCTCAATTGGTCCTGGGCCACAAGATTACAGACCACTGGTAAAATCGAAGTCTGTTTGGACAAGCCCGGATCATGAGCCCATGAGAGAGGAGTTCTATGTCATTGATAACGTGGAGGCTTCGAGAATGCGCGGAGAGCTTGGGGTGAGAGCGGGCGCTGATCGCATGATTAGGTTGCTGGAGGGGGTGAAGGAGTCGGAGGAGATGGAGGAGTAAGGTGTTTGCTGAACGTCGAATCCTTGGTCGGCTTGTGTGTTATTGTGGCCTGATTTCATGGCGTTGGGAGTTGTATTGTGAAACGTAGATAAGAAATGCAGATTGTCAGCGACAAAACCAGTTGATTTCTTCGTTTTCTGTTCGATAGGCGATCCAGCGTGAGCCCATACGTGAAGTCCGCTAAGTTCCCAACTCATGGCGAGCAAGTTGCGCGACCTGTTGCTTTACGGGGCGTGATGTGTCGCTGAACCCTGCGGTGTTCCTGTTGCTTCCAGCCCGATGTATCTGGAGGAATTGAGCACCAGAGAATGAGTTTGATACACGGTGAGACCTGTCTTGACTTCACTTCACCATCTTCAGAACTTGCCGAGCGAACCGAGCGCTCCTTCCTGCATTGTTTGCTCTTGCTTTAGCTTGCAACGTTCGCACCTGCCGTGCTGCCTAATGCTAGTTAGCCATGCATCAACGTTTCCATTCATCTCTGCGCCTTTTCTCCTTCTCCTCCAACTCGGGTTTTCTTCAGAGAGCAACTTCCCCTCCCTTTCCCCTTCACCTGGTTGATTGTTGTCACGCGCCGCCAACGCGTGAGATCAAAAATGGCGTCTTCATATGCAAACCACAAGCAGCAAAGTCGAAACCCGGCTAACCAGTTCCAGCACCAGCGACACAGTTGGACAGCATCAATTTTCAGATCTGATCCTCGACTTCGTACGCAAGATCTCGACTCCGGCAACAGCGCTGCGGCAAGTGCGGCTACGCGTCACGTCGACGCGACTTCCCGCATTCTTGCAAGAGCATTCGGCATCGCGTCCTCGATCGCAAAGGGCTCAGGGCAAGTCAAGGAGAATAAGAGCTTGCCTGGTGTCTTCGCGACAAATACTGCTCCAAGAAAAGTGGTTGTCGGGCTTGAGAAGACTGGTCGCGTCGCGACTTCGACGCCGCTGCCTGACCCATTTCGGCAAAACCCCGGCACCCAACCTCAATCTCGTCGCTTCAATCAGATCGGTCCCCTCGCAACACCCGTTCAAAAGCTGAGAGCGAACCTCGAGCTGTGGAAGAACGAGCATCCTGTCTCATCCGCAATACACGCACTTGCCTCGGAGATGGTTGCGGACATTGACATGGAGAACATGCCGCCCGGCCACGACTTCCGCGCGTTTGGTGGGGCCGACAACTTGGACCTCATGTCCATGGACGAGTTTGAGAAAGCAAACCCGTACACACCTCCACCTCCGAGACGAACTGCCAACCCATTGCGAGCATCTACTAAGCATGGCGAGTTCACAACTGCGTTCAATCTGGCTTGTGACGCTCGAGGCATCGCCCGCGACTTTGCTTACTTCGAAGTAGCGATACAGTGCTTTGAGGTCGAGCTGAAGTTGAATGGCAAACTCGTCGATCGTATTGGCCCGTATGCGTCTCACAAAGATGGCAAAGAGGAGATGTGCAAGAAGCATCTTCCGACAGTCGAGGCAATGCCTAACCAGAAGAAGCGCAAAGTCAGCGACGTAGCATTCACACCAGTACCGGCAGGGCTCGAAGATGAGCCGTGGATCAACCTGATCTATCGTAAGTGCCTTGTGCATGGAATCATTTGTCTCGTACTGATGCAGCACAGAGTACCTTCAGAAGAACCAGCTGCCATTTCCCGACTTCGAACTCAAAAGCCAGAATGAGCAGAATGAAAATGTTGGGCCGTGGACCTGTACCTTGCGAATCAAAGGCTCGCCGCATACTCCATTTGGTGGCGATGACAAGCGGTATGCGAATAAGATGAATGCCAAGAAAGCAGCTGCGATGGAGGCGGTTCAATGGTTGCGCTCACAGACCAAGATGGCAGCAGCGCCGGAAAAGCGACGGAAGTCCTCGGTATCCGTCTTGGAATCTCCTGACCCGGCAAACTCATCTTCCCAGTCGGAAGATCCTGGTCACACTGGGCTCACGCAGACACTACGATCCGCAGACGTCAATGCCAATCTTGCCAAACCATCGGAGCAAGTTCATCAGCTGGCTCTGGACCTTGGCTTCTGTCAGCCAGCATACAGACATGTGCCAGTGCCAATGAGCGAATCGTTCTACAATACGCATGCTGAGTTTCTGCCTGGAGACGTGCGGAAGGAACCACGACTTGCTGGGCATGTTGGTCAGACGAGCCATGTCTTTGGCAAGAAGCATGCGCAGCAAGCTTGCGCGACGGAAGTGCTGAAGGTGTTGGAGGACATTCGGAGAAGCAGGTTGATGCGATGAGAAAGCAATGGTCGCATCCTGCCGAATCGGGTGAACAAGCTGCAGCAAACACAGCTATGCTGATCAAGCTGCTCGCCAGCAGCTGCTGAACAGGCTGCCGCTATAGATGTGGGGAAGATGACCTTCATGACTTCAATTGATTAACCTTGGTCTACGGGCGTCACCACAAAGAGTCAAATTTGGCCTATTGGGCATAGAGCATTGTGCCAGGAGAGGTTAGTCCTGAGCTGTGACACTCGAGGGCGAAAGAGCCTTGGTCGATTGTCACAACGAGCACATCCACAAGACAGCGATCTGTGACAGGTGAGCTCCGATAGCGATGGTTAATGAAAGAAACAAATTTCCTAATCCGGAAGAACCATTCATGCCTCCCATGAAGAAGCGGAGGGGAACAAAGAAATTGGTCGCTGAAGGCATGCGGCCATGTATCTGGCCCATTGCAAGTCCAATGATCGCTCAAGACGCAACTGCTTGCAATCCGACTACTCGCAGCTTACGCCCGCTCCGCAGACAGATTCGTGTTCCTGGGCACGAGATACCTTTTCCCGTTAGTAACACGCCAAAATCATGCAAGATGGAGCAGCGCAGCGATTGGGAAGTTTTCAAAGAGCATCGGAGATTGCGCGCGAGGGCAAAGCCCGGATACATTTCACAGAAGACTAGTGCTGACAGCAAGAAGATATGGAATAACTGGTCTCAGGAGGAGAAAGATGAAGCGGTGCAGAGGTTGAGAGATGCTGCTGAGGCGGGTATCGACTTGAAAGATGTGCCTACGGATGCGGAAGCAGAGGATGAGATCGATGATGAGGAGGAGAGTGATGATGCAGGAGCGGCAGATCTGGAATATCTTCCTGACGCAGCGGATGAGGAAGCGGGTGATGACTACGAGGTTTCTTCGGACGGCGGTGACATTGCCATGGGTGGACCGCGTAAGGACATGTTTCGCGCATATGATGATCCGGAAGGCAAGATGAGGGGGGAGAGACAAGTAGCCCGCAAGAAATATGGCCAGGGGAAGGCTCCTGTCCACGGAGATGTTGAATGGGCCTACCAGAAACATCTTGGCTCAGGTGGAAACGGCTCTGCGCACCTCTGGGTTCGGGTCGATGAGGAAGACATCATCCAAGACCGCATCGCCGTCAAAGATTGTTGGACTGATGGGCCATTCCATTGGGGAAGCATCAAATTCTGGGATGGAGATCCTCGTAACATGGCTCCTGAGGATCGGCTACCCGTCGAAGTCAAGGCTATGTTAGCTTGTCAAGATAAGCCAGGCAGCCATCGAATTGCTGGTATTCGCGACCGCAGCGTCGACTTCGACCGTATGGCTTATCGCATCATCATGCCATTCTACGCACGGGGAGACTTCATCACAATCATCGACAAAGCAGATGACAACTATCATGTCCCAGAGCCCTTCATCTGGTGCGCCTTCGAAGCATTGACAGACGCTTGTCTCGTCATGGAACGCGCCAGCACACGTAAAGCCGACCAAGCACCAGATGGCTGGAAAGAGATCGTCCACAGAGATATCAAACCCGACAACGTCTTTCTCAGCGCACGAAACCCAAGATCTTTCCCTTCATACCCCCAACCCGTCCTCGCAGACTTCGGCGGCTGCATCATGACCTCCAAAGACGACATCTTCAACCCAACCGCCTACGCCGACAGTACAGGCACTGCAGGCTACTTCGCCCCCGAACAACACGCCTACGAAGACAAAACGACCTACGAAGCAGTCTTTATCGCCCGCCAACAAAGCTGGACGAACATTTATCAGATCGGTCGCGTGATAATGTCTCTCATGAACGCACCTGCACCCGAGACCTTATCCGAGGCCGAAATCAAAAAAGGTGCCGTGCAAGAATATCTCTCTACAGACCCGGATTATGATGACCCGGATGGTTGGAAAGATCACGAGTGGTTCAAGCCGGAAACTCAAGGGAGGTATTCGAAGGAATTGCAGAATTTGGCGAAGAGTTGTGTAAGGTATAAGCCCGATGAGAGGATTACGGCTCTGAAATTGAAGGGAAAGATTTTGAGGAGGACTGGTGGGGTTCGTGGTGGGAAGGGGAAGGATTTTGCGAAGGGGTTGAGGAGTGAAAAGGTTAAGAAGGGTGGAGAGGGAGATTTGAGAGGGTGGAGGAGGAAGGATAAGTATGCTGTGGGATTGGTGAGGCCGGAGAAGTAGGGGGTTTGGGGAAGGATGGTGCAAGAGGCCTAGTTTGTGAGGGTGATATGGATGGCCATGAAGAACGAATATTGTGCTTCGGATACTATAAACTATGGCAGTGCATCAGGCATTAGCGAGGTCTTTTGTTCCCCTTCGCGTAAGACGATTTCCATCCGCATGTTGGATAGTGTGCGATTGGTGGTTCCGGGTACGGAATTACATGTACCTTGTTTAGAATGCAATCAATTTTGCAGCTTCAGACGGAGAGAGCACAAATTCTGTAGCGTTGTTGTATGTGAAAGTGGCTTGTATCGATCATAGCCTAGGCCTAGGAAAAGTAATGTCAAAAGAGTGTACTGTTTGCCATGGCTGAGGCTGTGTTCATGCTGGTCCGGAAATGCAAGCACTCCGGGGAGTCACTGTGGTCGTCCTGTATTGCTTGTAAAGAAATGCTGCGGCAAGCCCCTATAACCATGGCCCAAAGGTTGTTCGCATTCGAAAGTTGGTGGGCGGATAGTAGATTCCTTGGCTACCCTAAGGTAGCGCAAAGTGAGTGAATATTCAGCCCTTATTCCGGTTTTCCTTTCGATTCCATAACAGCACTGTGCAAGCGAATGTGTTTCCAATCAATCGTGCTTGATTTCCAATCGTTCTCATAACTCAAACGCCTTCCTTACAATCAAACCCTCCTTACAAATCAACAACATGGACGCGCAAGGGAACCACATCGGTGTAGGGAGTGTGAACGAATGAACGGGCTGACCGGACCGCACCCTCCATCGAACAGCACCGTTCGTCCTCCTTGACAGTGTATAGCCGAAAGCCTCACTTGATCCTTAGATCTATGAGTTACATTCTGCGTGAGCACTACCTTTTATATGATGGCAATGGTAGTTATTGGTGCTACTGATTTTGCAAGGGTGTTCCTACAAGTTCTCTATTAGCAAAAGCAGATGCAATCTCGTAAACTACACTACTTACAGGCGTGCAATCGTAGTACCGCAACTTGAATTTACCTGGGTGATCGGGGTCACGATACCAAAGTTTACAGTATCCAGTAGAGCCTTGTGCGCCTGGATTGCAAGTCTATTTCATGTTAGCGATAGTTGCTAGAATGGGATATGACTCCTTCACTCCGGCCAAAGCTACAGATGCATAGATAATGCTTGCGAAAATCTTGAGGTGCATGTTCAGATTTCTGATTGATAAATGCGTTCGAATAGTTGCTGAGGTCTTTTTCTTAGATACGAAAGAAGGGGATACCGAATTGTTTAAAGAATATGTGTTGCGTTGTTTGTATGGGGATCTATATACTTTCCTGTAGATATTTGTTCATACAGTCCTTTACTAAGAATAGTTCCCAATCATTATAGTTCTGCTCCCTAACATATCACCGCACGTTGGATTTATTTTAGCAGATCCTAAACGAGCGGATTTGCAGGTGTATGCATAAGGGTTAAATACGAGAGCATAGGGTATTAGGGCTCTGCTCCCCAAACTACCGCTGCACGTGAGACTTATTTTAGCAGATCCCAAACAAGTAAATTTGCAGGTATGAGCATAAGGTTCAAGTACGAGAGCACAGGGCAAAGCATTAGGGCTCTGTGCTGTAAGCTGTTGCTCTGATTAAGGGTCATGCCCGTGATGTTACAAGAGCCAGTCCGGAGGATGCGGTACCCATTCCAGGTTGGGGTCCAGATGGTTTCGTAGGACTATCGTAGGCTGCGTGTCGCGCTGGAAGCCCGAAATGCGGGTCATGGTTTGCATGTCGAATGACATTGGCTTCGGGTGGAGATGTATGAGTTGATACTTTTTTGGCGCGAAAGTGGCTGGATATCTGCGAGCTCACTCCGCGCAGATCTCGTACGCTCTCTTCAGCTGGGAGTCTTCGAGTCGAGAATTTCGACTGGGTACTTCTCGCCACGATAGATGTCTTAGATGTAATGTCTAATTGGTTTGGAGGTTGTGACCTAATCGCGATGGTCGCTATGTGAAGGTTGGCGTTGTTGCTTCACATTCGATGAAGGAAGACGGTGGTTGCCATCTCACCGGGCCGTCTTGAGATCGTAAAAGGGTATCTGTAAAGAGCGAGGACGTCGATCAGATTGCGGAAGGAATGGAACGAAGACTGCAAGAGGATGGGCAAGCAGGATTTCTGTTTGCGACTTTCCTTCGGCATCGATTTACAACGTTCCCGAACAGTTGCGAAAGATCAACGATTATGGTGAATAGAAGGAACACATATCAACCATCGCGTGTTACACAACGAACGTTAAGAACGTTGAACCCGACAGATCCGCAGCCAGCCGAGTCTAGCCTATGTGGAACTCATCGCAAATCGACTGTTCGTGCGTGGAACTACCTCCCAAGTTAGGCGCGTGGCCCCGTCCGTTCCAGTCTAAGTAGTGGTCTCGAAGGTAGATTAATGCCATAAGTTTGGTAATTCTCTCGCGAAGCAAGAGTTTTGTAGAAGGGTTGAGGAGCAAGAAAGTTCCCAAGGGGGAGGAGGAACATTGGAAAAGGTGGAAGAAGAGCGATAAGTATATATACTGCGGGACTGGTGAGGCTAGCGAAGTAAGCCTAGGAACAACAGATGTTACAGGCTGCGCAGATCGCGCAAGGCATGATGTTGAGGTCTGCGAGTAAAACTAGGTTGTGCTATCGTACGTCTGATGATAAAGCCAGATGTCTAGTGTGAATTTTGAACAATATGATCGCTGCTGCCCCAGACAGAACAGACGCAATCGCAAAAGGCAACCCATACCAAGGCACGCCTAAATGAAAGCCTGTTCGTAGAGCGAGCGACATTACCAAAGCCGAGAGGATTCTACCCACGCCTTCCACGACTGATATGACAGCATACAGACTACCGATCCTATCCCTGGAGAGGTTCCTGTTCGAATCGACGAGTGCAGTCACTGTACTGCGGGCAGCAGGTTCAAATCCGCTTCCCAGTGAGAAGATGATAAGACCTGCGATTGTAAGCATACAAAGTGGACGGAATTTTACTCAAGACATGAATATCATTACCCAGGATCATCAGCGCTGAAGTGCTTGATATCGAAAAGACCATAGTTCCAAGCATGAGGAGGATAATACTTCCCTTGGACAGGAGGAGATCCTTCATCGCTGGGCGGGAGATATATGGTGATACCAGCTTCGTGATTCCTGGCAAGATCACCGTAAATAGCACTAGAGTGATGGCTGAGCGGAGCGAAGGTAGCAATGCGGCCTTTGTCATCCATAAATGATCAGCATCGTAACCAAATTGGCAAGACATATTGGCAGCTTGACTCACTTGTGCTAGGGTCCATCCGTAGCGCTTCGAAGCGTACTGAAATAGGACTTGCTTCGACTGTAGCCCGACTTCGAACAACAGAAAAGTCCATATGAAAGCAGCAACTGCCTTGTCGTGGAGCACAAATCCTATTGAACTCTTCGCTTCTCGAAGCCAGATCTTGTAGCGTCTTCGAGCGAATGAGCCAAGACCATCGCCATGGGCAACTAGATCGTTGGAAATGTCTTGGTCATCCATTTCGTGTTCTTTTGTCACTGATGCAGGAGCGGATTCCGGGATGGCTAGGACCATGATCACACTGACGACTTGGAACAATGGACCGCCGAGGAGTGGTATCCAGATGTTTCTGGACATGAGAAAAGATGCGACTGGTGGTATTGCCAGATTGGCAGCAAAGTAGGTGCAGAAGCGATAGAAGAATACGGTGCTCCTGCGGAAGGAAATGAAGCATTAGCCACGATCAACGAGAAGGTAGTGAGTTTCGCACCTTGACTCTGCTGGCACGACATCAGCCACAATTGTGGTCAAGAGATTTGATACGACTATTGGTCCTCCTCCGCAAAGATAGAAGGCTGGAGATAACCACACCCACTGCGTTGGCCAATTTGTTGCTCCGACCTGCAAGTTTAATGAAGCAGTAAGTTGTCTTATACGACCATGATAGTAACAGATGGCCAAATACTCACCACGAACAAAATCCACAAATACGACAGGGCTGAACCTGTCAATGCACTCGCCAAGACCCATCTCCTTCCCAGCTGATCTGCAAGATATCCGAAAGGAACCGGCAGCAGAATGGCAGGAATACCTTCGAAGAACAATTGCATACCAAGTAGTTCGGCCAGAGAATCTTGGATGGGATCCAACTTACACATATGTTCTGGTATATCAAGTTTTCCGGTTCTCAGTCCATGAGGGTCGACGTCGGCGTAGTAGCGAGCACAAAGCGCTGATTCGAAAAGCCGGACTTTTGGTACAGAGAACAGCGCTTCCCCCACGTCCGAGACGACAGCAACGGCAATGACTAGCAGAACTACCACCAACCATGGCCAATCTTGAGCTCTCCGGACGGGAAATCTTGGTGCTTCTTGGGCACGTCTGTACAAGGAAGTTCCGTCGAGAAATGGTGTCAGCTCCTCTCTGTGTCCATCGCTGCGCGCAGCTACGTCTGCCATGAGCAAGGATCCTGAGTGCAGGTAACGGTATATGGAGGGTCAAATAGGACAAGGTAGCTGAGCGAAGTGGACGAGGTACCTCTTCGGCGAAGGAACGATTTGGAAGCACAAACAACCAAGCCACGCGGCCAGCGGTGGCAGCCATCAGGTTCGGATGACCACTGAGCATCTGACACAGATTGACAGTGGCTCGTGCAGCTGCCGGGCAGTAACGGAAGCCTTGTGATACACCTCTTTCGCAGTGGTGTGCGAATACACTGTACCGTACGGTGAGGATCACTGTAGGCCGCTTCTGGTAACAGTCGCTTCCGTTATCTTTTCGCCGCGCAGTGCAGCAAGTTTTGCCGCAGGTGTGCTTAGGCGAGGGTAGAGAATTCTTGAGCCGAGATGTAGAGATGCAGCAGTGTCGGTCGGCGGAAATGCGGATTATGCAAGTCTTCGGCTGGCTGACATGCAGAACTCCACGGCGTCAACCATGAGGATCCACCGCTGTGCAGAACAACCAGCCGAGTATTTGCTCTGCGTTTACTTCTGTGGGATTGTCGCGTGACGACAGCGCTCCCACCACGCCTACTTTGTAAGCACCCCACATCCGTACAGTAGTCTGACTGCTTCGTGCAGCTTCGACTCCATCACAGATGCACATGCAACGCATGCAAGTTTCGTTGAGTTTGAAGCCTCTGCACAATTGAATGCACGTCTGCATGTACATTTGCGACAGAGCAATGCATATGCGAGACCAACGGAACAGCGATCTATCTCCCCGGCTTTACGGTGGGCGACACAGTGGATCCGCAAAGACACCCGTGGAACGACTGCAGATGAATGAGGGCAAGGACTTAGACATAATCGGTCCCGGGCAATGCACTCACCGACTCGACAGTTGTCATTATTGAGTACCATGATCTGTGCACGGGATTACAACGCTCTCAGCTTGGCTCAACCTACGGATTTTCGGGCTATGCTGAAATCTGGAGAGTTGCTCTTGGGCACACAATGTCGAATTCCGCATGAGGAGGCCGCTCGGGTGGTTGCTGCGACGCCATTCCAATTTTGTCTGATCGATGCTGTACGTGTTTAAAAAAGCGAAGTTGACTGAGACTGATCATTCCACAAAGGAGCATACTCCCCTCAACGCCACTTTGCTGGCCAGCTTGATCCGGACCGTTCAATATCATTCGAATGGTTCAATGGTGCCTTTCGTGCGAATCCCAGGCTCAAATCCAGACCTGGTAAACCATGCACTGAACGCAGGCGCTGGTGGTGTTGTCATGCCCCATATTCAAAATGCCCAACAAGCATCTCGACTAGCAGATCTTGCAAGATTCCCTCCCAGAGGCAATCGTAGCTTTCCTCCCGCCGCCCTTGTCGGGGAGAATCAGTTCGCAACGCCGGAGGGGACATCAGTCTTTGACGTGTGGAACGAGAACGTCGCAGTGTTCTGTCAGATTGAGGACGTTGAGGGTGTCAAGAACATTGAAGAGATCTGCCAAGTTCCCGGGAGTGAGTAGATGATTGGGATCGTCACGAATGCGGATGTATCGCTGACGCACCTGTGTTAGTCGATGGCATTCTAGTTGGGACTGGTGATCTGAGAATGTCACTGGGCCTGGAATCTGGCAGTCTGGATGGAGACGAAGAGATCTTCACTCAAGCACTTCAGCAGATACGCCAAGCCACGTCTATGCATGGCCTACCAGTCATGGGCTTCGGCTCTAACCCTCAACTTATTGAAAGGAGAATACAAATTGGTTGGCAGGCACTAATTGTTCACGCGGACTTTTCCAGCATTTACAGTTCTGCTGTTGCAACGATTTCATCTTGCGAGGGTATTTTGGCTCGTGTCAAAGACACTTCGCATGGAAGTGTACGGACAAAGCTCGACAGCCGCAACGGTACCACGAATGGACATTAGCCAGCTACATACTAGAGGACTTGCATGTGCAATTCAGTGTGACGGCCTACTAGCTGGCCGCCAAACGCCATTGCTTTCCCTATTCCTCGTACGGACGCTCAGCCGCTGGTGTGATTCTATGCGAGCAGATCAGCAGTCAGATTGCGCCTCACGACAATGCGTCACATACCTTCCAATATGTCTTCGCCTACCATCGGTCCAATCCGTGATGGCTGAGTGGATGGTATTGCGATTCTGCGAGTGTTAATGTTAGCAGGCGCCCTGTATGGCACAAGGAGGGGGCTTGACAAACATCGAACACAACAACAGCACCAGCCTTCCACTTGACTCGACACTGAAGATCATGACTGGAGGTCATATGATCATACAAGAACTTAAGTATGATGTCGCTTTCCTCTTTCTTGAAGTCGACAATTTGCCTCGTGAACTGCGGGTTGACGAAGATAGCCTTCTTTCCGGTAGCCGGATGAGTTCGCACCACAGGGTGAAGGGTGTCGATGGGATCTCTACGAACATAACCGTCGTTCGCTTGGGCCCTTGCCGCTTGATCTTTTGCGGTATGCAGTGCTTTTAGTCCTCGAAGTCTTTCTTGGAAAGCGGGACTCAATCTCTCGAACGCTTTCTCCGTATCGGTAAAGATGGTATCGCCACCATCCTCTGGCACTTCCAAGGCATAGAGGAAGGTAATTCCCGGTGGCTGAACCTCATAGGTGTTGTCACTATGCCAAGCCATCGAATGCGTATGGGACTTGAAGTAGTCCGAGGCGATGGTGTTACCTGCCCGACGATGCACGATATGTATCTCGGGATGATCTTTAGGGGCTCCTGAGTGTGGGTGCAAGAAGAGGCGTCCGAAATATCGACAGAAATCAACACTCTGGCCAATGGGCAATGAAGCGAAGTCTTGATCGTGGAAGACGACTAGCTTCTTCTGAGCCACGAGCAAAGCCAATTGATCTTTACCTTGGTCACTCAATCGACTCAGCTGCACTCCGGTCACCTCAGCTCCCATCGCTGCTGTTATATTTTGCAATTTGCTTCCAGCGCACAACAGATCTGGAAAACCTTTGTTTGCTCCAAGAGCGTGCTCGACGTAATCAAATGGCTCTAGAGGCGGATATCTATGCAACATCAGACAGTGGTCTTCTCTTGTTGTGACTGAGAGACGTTTACTTTGCCTGTGGTGATTCCCATACAGGGAGATATTGCGGAAACAAAGCTGCAGGATATCCATTCGTTCCATTGAGCTCTTCTTGATCAGGCGTCGTGCGTGGCTTGTGCTGAGAAGGCACACCCAAGCTGATCTTCGCTGCTTGGACTGCCTTCGTGGTGGTTATGGTTTCAGTAGTCGACATTGATATCGCCGTGGTATGCAGCAGAGAAACTCTGGTGTTCAGTACGACATAGACGATATCGGCTCGACAGCCTGATATACACATGGATATTTGAGTCGATAGCCAGGGCCCAAATGTTGCAGCCGGAGCTCCGTAGACGAGCGTAGAGCGATGTGCATATTTTTGTGGGGTTTGGCCGTGTTGGCATGCTAATGCGGAGCAGAGAGCTTCCTGAGTTCACCGCAGTGCTGACCGATCTCATGCAAAGGGGCCTGCAAAGTCTGTGAGTGAGTGGAGCACGCATGTATCCCGAACAGGCTCCAGGTGGGCTGCATTTACCCTTTCAGTCTCAATTGCTCGGCGCTCCACAACATGCTTCGCCCAGTTCCAGATTGAAGACATGTCTTTATGTACTCTCCCGTGAGCCCTCTAAGTCGAGGCGACCTACAAACTCAACGATGAAGGATCAAGTCAATACTAAACTGGGAACCCCTGTTCCGTCAAGGAAGCACGCAGTGTCTGTGCAACTTCCAACCTGGCAAGATATGGTGGCATTGGGCAATGGAGATCTCACTGTGATTAACGCCTTGAGAAATGGCTATCCGCGGTCCATTCTGCATCGACACGTTCAGAGCGTAAGACCATGTGTTCCACTTCGATCTTCACAGAAAGTCAATTGCTAACAGTCAGATCTTCCGCTTAGCTTGCTTCAAAATGCAACGCCATCTTGGCCGCCAGTTTCGAAGGAAAAGGGGGACTATCATTATTCCCTGATGCTGATAGTGCTGAAGCGTGCCGAGCATATCTTGGCAACTCTCAGATACATGGAAGTAACGCAACGCCTGACAGCTTGGTTCGAACACTCTTTCTCGCTTTCGAAGGCAGACCTAATTTGGACGACGACTGTGGCGGCCAAGGACTGGCCCCGTTGTGGGCAGTCGCATATCCAGAGAGCTCCGCAACTGTTGCTGCATCTTTTTGGCGCTTGACGGGCGTAGGGATATCATCTCGACGGGCTGAGGCATATCTCTTAGAGCACTCTCAGATTCAGATCAGGCCCATCGAATCACTTCCGCTGCGCTTACAGCCACACACGCACTGCGATGCTCCTGTCCATGAACAGCTTCGTCGGCGGATCTCGAAGATTATGGGGCTATCAATACCACGCTCAAGCGGTATGACGTGTCCAGATAGCTCCGACGTCTTTCTGTTTCCGTCTGGAATGTCCGCCATATTCAACGTGCATCGCATGCTACTGAAGTGGCGTCACGCGGAGAGTGTGGTCCTCGGTTTTCCATATGAGCTTACGCTGAAAATGCTTCAGACATATGGACCCTCGTGCAAGTTTCTAAGCGCTGGAACCAAGGAAGATCTCGATGAGCTAGAGCTTTATCTCCATCAAAGGTTGCAAGATGGGTCCACGAACGTCAGCGTGCAAGCGATATGGTGCGAATGTCCCTCGAATCCCTTGCTGTGGACTCCGGATCTCCAACGTGTTCGAAATCTGGCAGACAAGTACGACTTGGCAGTAGTGGTGGATGACACAATTGGGACATTCGCCAATGTGGATGTGATGGATGTTGCGGACATTGTAGTCTCCTCTTTGACAAAGGCATTCAACGGCTTCGCCGATGTGCTCGCTGGCAGGTACGTTCAAATTGAAGTCCTGCGCTGCATGGCTGCTATCCGATCGAGTATCATGCACTGACGTTCAGATCAGCGCTGTGTTCAATCCCAATTCCCGCCACTACCATGTCTTGAGGACCATGTTCGAAGCATCGTATGCCAACAATCTCTACGTAGACGATGCCACTCAACTCGAACTCAATAGCCGTACGTTCTTGGATCGGGTGTCACGCATGAACCAGACTGCTGAGTACCTGGTTGATTATCTTCGAGCACTCATAAGTCGGGCGTCCCGGATGTCAAGCCTGATTCAATCATACAATCGTTGGAACCATGTCATACGCGCGGTACACTTCCCCAAAGGCAGCGCCTCAATGGAAAATTATGTGCGGCAGATGCGACCCGCGACAACTATGTTCAAGCCTGGATACGGTTGTCTGTTCACAGTCGACTTTCAAACGGTCGACATAGCGGCCGCGTTCTTCGATGCACTCGAACTACACAAGGGCCCTTCACTGGGTGCAGATGTGACGTTGGCTCAGCCATATGTCCAGATGGTATTACAGCGAGAAAAAGAGTGGGCCGCAAGTCACGGCGTACGTGAGACTATCGTGCGCATCTCGGTGGGAATGGAAGACAAGGAATCGCTTCTTCGCCGACTCCAACACGCCCTTACGGTAGCAAGTGCATCGGTAGCCGACATCGCAGTAGCTGCAGTGCTATGAAAGAACCGCTTAGTATTACCTAGCATCAGCCACGAAATTGACCCACTTGCTCCCAGCCAAGCTCCGTTTCAATGACTACCCAAGAAGACTCGCTATAGGTCATGAGGTTTTGAGAGAAAGTTGTTATTTTCGCCATTCGGCGAGTGACTATTTCAAGACGAAACTGTTGGTTTCCCACCAAGAAACATGACCGCCAGCAGTAAATCATACACCAATTTCACTGTTCCTGCGAGCACAAATGAAACGCCCAGACTTGAATTCTGAGCCATAGCACCCGTCACAATGGGGCCTGCACTCTGGGCAAGTGTACGCACAACATTGATAATGCCCAGTGTAGCTGTCCGTTCAGAAGGCGGTATCGATTGTGCGATGAAAGTTTGGCGCGTGGCTTGGTCAAAATCGAGAAATGTGGCCCTTGCTACAAGAAGTCCCACGGCTGATCCAAAATTCTGTGCCAATGGTAGAGCCGTAAGAAACATCGAGGCGAGCGCATGACCGAGAATCATGGTTGGCAGGATACCGATCTGGGACACAATTGGGATAGCCAGCACATTGGAGATGGAGGCTATGATAGCAGCGATCGAGAATACAGAGCCCAGAATGCCGTCTGATACCGATGAGAAGGTCCGCCTGATGAAGTAGGTGAGCCATGAATCCATGGAAAGCCCAGAACCAAAATTGTCCAAGACCAATATGGGACAGAATCGTACTAAGAATCTTCGCGTCTGCGTGCCACTCCTGGATATTAGCGTTTCGTCGTCTTTAATGTCGTGGAGCAATGGTTCTGTTTCTCCTGCTGAGTACGATGGCCTCTTGACAGGCTCTGCTGCTTCCCGTTCACCAAGCTCGCAAGCTTTGCTAAGAAACGCGGTGAGGGATGCCTTGAACAAACCAAGGGCAGCGTACAGCCAGAATATGATTCTATAGGCAGCAATCATGGTCATTTCATGACTTTGGAGCAACTGCAAGAGCCAGCCGGTACCTGAGAGTCCTGCAGAGGCTCCGAAAGTTCCCAAGGTATAGTACCACGCCAGTATGCCGTTCAAATTCTCCGACGGTATCAAATGTGAGATCGTAGATTCCTCAATACACTTGAACGGTCCCACATCCCCTCCACTAGACTAACAATCAGCAAATTTACAGGCATCCCATATATCACAAGAACTGACCTAGGACTAATGACTCCCAAAATGCTTGCAATCAGGAGAACCCAAAAGTTGTTGCATGTTGCAAAAGCTACCCCACTGCCAGCCATGAGTAGCGAGCCAACAGCGAGCATCCATCGACGCCCGATTCTGTCTGCAACTAGAGCAGTGACGATGCTGATGATCATGTCTCCAAAAAGGGTCGCAGTCATGAAGACACCGATCCTGGCGTCCGAGAATCCTATCTCGGAGAGGAAGAAGGACAGAATCAGTGTCGAGCCTCCGAAGGCCAGCAGTCGTACTAGTCTGAGAAGGAAGAGTACTGTAACATCCTTGGAAGTCATCGTGGAGAGAGGTCTCAAGGTCGGCACTCCGACCGAGCATGGAAACTCCTCGCTGCCAGCTGCGACACAGTGAACAGCAGATTCGAGATGCTCGCGGTCGTTGTCTTGTGTGAGAGAAATCCTCTTCCAGCAGGTGACTGATATGATGTACCCAGCTTGAAATCTTCTAGTCACCTTCAGCAAGTGAACCTCGTGCGCTGTAACAGCATCGACTGACAATTAGTTGATTGGAACAAATTTGTGTTGAGAAACGACAAGCAAACGGCTGACATTTCGAGCTCGATGATGCGTTACGCGCATCTCTTCCCCTCTCTCCAAGTTTAAACTTTTCACTTCGATCGTCGTTGAATCCGTGCACAAAGTATTTTGGATCGGCCACCTCAGAGTCTCCGCTACAATCTCCCTCAACGAGACCGTTTGACTGTCATAATTATCACCAGGACTACGTACGAGGCTCAAACTCGATGTGTGACACGCAAACACGGCTGGGTGGCTGGCTTGCTCCGTTCGCCCGCGCAGACCGGAGACGATTCCATTGACGATCAGTCACGGGGAAGACTCGCTGACGATCCGAGCCTGGTATCCGACGCAGCACAGCACTTTTGAGGCAGATGTCTTTCTCAAATTCTTGCAGAGCAGATGTTGATAGCGATTTCCGGTTCAGGGCGCGTCCGAAATCGCACGAGTCTGGGCGATTTGGGCTTTCGGTATGTTCCAAAATGGGCTGAACATGCTCAACTCTTAGCAGGATTCGGCGATGAGTCCGCGGATGGCTCCCGTGTTACCGTCCAAAATTTGCTAGTCCCGCTCATTTCAACTCATTGAATCCGTCTAACTTCTGTAGGACGAGCTAGCAGCCACCCCATCTGTGTCTGTCCTTCAGCCAACGAAGTCTGGATCATACTCTCAGGTTATCGCAGGACGGGGTCACTGAGGACAATCGCATACGGAGCAATAGCCCGACCGGCCAACGTAACGTAATTTTCCAGGTTTTGTGCCTCTGCGTGTTCAGGAACGATACAACTCGTTGGAGACTAGACCCGGTCGAAGGTCGTGGTGTCAGGTCCTTGACAAGCCTATACATGGAGATGCTTTCGAGTCATCAATCTTTCCGCTAGATCTCATCAGAAACATCACATTCATAGCGTGAGAGACCCATGATCAGACCCATGCAGCTTGGCGAATTCTGCCCGATTGTCCCCGGCTGGCGCAAATTTACGGGGTCTTACTTACCAAGTGATAACGAAGCTCCACAAACGAACTTATCAGTCGCAAAGTAAAGCTTCCGACTACTGGCGAGCATTCTGCACCTACCTTTCTAGGCAAATGCGATGGCGGTGTGCGGATGGCACATGAAGTCCGAACAAATCATCCAGCTCATCTGCAGCTGAATCCTGCACAGTCCATCCTGATCAAGCTCTATGTCACTCGTTGAATCATCGGTCGAGATGCTAGTGTCTAGAACGCTCACAGTTTCTTGTTGAGGGTGTCAGCCACCGCGATACCTTGCAGCATGGCATTTATCTACTGCATAGCGGACACAGGTTTCCACAATGCTGCAGATCAATGTCCACACATCATCCAATGTACCGAATCGATGGTCATTGTGGCCAAATGAGTCGTGATGGAATCCTGCACTCTGCAACGGGCGGCAAAGCTCAAGGCCTGCAGGTACATTGCTTTAGTTGTGATCATGTGGTAAGTAGAACTGACATCTTGCTCTCCCCTGGAACGAAGCGTACAGTGCTCCAAGCAACTTCCACCATGGCGATCGACAGTTTCTGGACACCGGTCGAAACGAATTATCAAAAGCATGTCCCGCTGGAAGAGCAGTCCCTTGAAGCCAGTGTAACATTCCCACTGGTCGTCAGAACAGCAAGAAAGTGCACCAAAGAGGCGTTGCTTCGTGAAATCAGTACCCTAGCAAGTCGGCATCATGACGAAAACGCGGTCTCGCCATTGAGGAAACTGCTGGATGCTCATGGTGGAGCAATACAGTTTCGAGAGCTGCCTTTGCATTCTCCTGAGGACTTTTCCGAGTTTCTGGAAGTCCTAGCAGGTGATGGCCCTTATGCCTGGAAACCCCATACCCATAGAGGATCAGAAGTTCTCAGGAAGCCATTGGCGAAGCACGTCATGACAGCAAACGAGTGAGTGATTGACAGCTCGATTACTTCTCGATTCCACCATCGCTTATTTGCAAATTCCAGAGGACCTCCTAGCCATTATATTGGCTGGCATAACGAATATTCGATGTCGCCAGCTCATCCTGCCTATGTTGTTCTGTACTGTCAAGAAGCTCCTACTTCCGGTGGTGAAACTTCACTTGTCAATGGGATTGCATTGCATGATCGCATGCGGAATGCAGAACCAGAATTTGTGCAGAAATCGATTGATAGTGGGATCGCTTACAAGGTTCCTCACACAGCTGTCCAGCGAGATGGAACACTTGGTGGTGCTGGCGTCTACAAGTCTGGTGCTTTTGGACCACCGGACGATGCTCAGAACGAGAGCTGGAAATGTGATATGCAAGATACTCCGGAGAATAGAAAGGGTGTCGAAGATCGCATTCGTCAACTTGCTAGAGAAGGTGGCTGGGATCAGGACCATAGTCAGACAAGTGGAAATGTTCCAGCATGGCAGCAGAAGGGATTCGATTGGACCTGGAATGAAGACGGTGGTCTTGAAGTTTTACACCGAATGCCGGGTGAGTACTCTGATCGTCCCGATAGACATCATGCTCATCAAGTAGGGCGCAAAGCACTGATATGGCCGATGTAGGTGTTCGCGTCCACCCGACGCAGAATGTGCCCGCACTTTTCAACGCAAGTGACTATGACTTCATCTTCTCTCCCTCGTACAATGCGCAGAGTGACGCTGATACTTGTCTCAGTCTCTGTCCACGCGCTATCACAATGCCAAAAAGTACAATACTTTCGAGCCTCCTTTCACATATCGTGATGATGACGGCGTGGAGAAATCTTTCTGGCCACCGCACGTACGGTCGACCTTGCTCTTAATTTTCACCCCAAAACTATCTGCTTCTGACGCTTCTCTTTAGTTTGCCGGACACGAGAAGGACGAACCGATCCCGAGAACATGGCTAGCAACGTTGGACAAGTATCAGAAAGAGTTAGCCAGTGATGTACAATGGCATACTGGCGACGTGTTGATCGTTGATGTGAGTCGGCTTCGGGCTTCGGCGATGCCGTGACTGACACATGAGCAGAATTTTGCAGTGCAACATGCTCGGTGGTCTTGGACTGGGAGCAGGAAAGTGCTTGCAAGTTTCTGGGATCAGCCCAGCCTGAAGGCCTTACCTGTAGTTCAGTGACGGGACGTAGGCAGTCCGAGATATCTTCATGTAGTCTGGTCTCTCAGATACCAGTAATTTAATCATCGTTTCTCCGTCTACAAGGAACCACTCGATTTGGTGAGCATCTCAGGTCTTGACAGAACATGGCATGCAGTGCTCAACATGAGTACAACTTTGCAATACCGCTTGTAACGAAGTGATCAAATGCGTATCGTGATGGCTCTGCAATATCCCTCAATGGTGTGCGTCTACGCTCCGGGGCGTCCACGTCATCGGCGGACTCAGCAACGTCTCTCGACGTGTTGACCTGGGCCAAAGCGAATGCCATTAGTAAGTTGGGGTCCAAAACTCCAGGGAGGATCAGCTCCAAGCTCCCCAATTGCACAACACCAGCCACCAGGAACTCGGCCTGCCATGAGGTAAGTCGGAACGCCTCTTCGCATGCCTGTCGAGTTGTGACTGTCATGTCATGTCACCCGTTGATGCGTCCCAGTGGATTAGACAATCCCAGTTGGGAGAATGCCAAGCTCGTTGATCAGTCTCATCAAGTCGATCGCCAAGATGTCGAGCCCGGTGGCTGATGCAGAGGAATCCGCTTTCACAGCGGACTCGGATCTGCTCAGCGCACCTTGCCAAATGAGCATTCATGCTGCACCGCTGGGGCATCCCGGGGAATGCAGTCATTCTTCGCCTCGGGGAACAGGCACCAACATCACTCGTCTTGGACGTTGCCGCTGCAGGGTCCAATATGGTGAGAAGCATGCAAGTTGGCGAAAGGGCATGACTCCGAAGTGAAGTCAGTCGGATCTGCCTTACACGCGGGCTGGCAATTGTGTGGCAGACGAAGTCACATCCGCCATCACTTTCATTGGCTCTTCGGGGAAGCCAGAAGATCCATCCGGTGATAGCGTGCTGGGGCTATGATGCGATTTCTGCATTGACCAAGTGACCCATCTCATCTTCAACTTCGGCGATCGCCTGCTGGTGCTTCACGTAGACCACTGGAGAAACATCGTGTGCAACGAAAGTCCAACATTCCTACTCCTATGGTGGCCCGCGTTACTGTTGATCCGGTCTGCAGATCACCCTGAGCAATATGTGCAGGTCACAAAAACAAGCACCTGCTTGGAAGCATTCGATACAATCGAGTATATTTGAGGCTTATGGACACACAATCCTGCTGGATCGCTGAATCAGATCCGCCGCTCAGGAGCTGCTTAGTACTGTACAAGGTGTAACTAGCCTGCGAGCTCGTCCAATTATCTGCAGGATTGACCAAGAATAGGCGGTCGGAAGGGATCCTTGTGCAACAACAATACCGAGATTATTCATGATGCCGTCTGATAGCAATGGCGATTCTATGTAGACTATCGATTGATACTGCGCTACTATGCTCTTCAAAGCCTATCATTTTTGAAGCCAGCAATCTTCTTCTCAGTTCTGATATTATGCCAATCTGCTGCAGTCATGACATTTCCGTTGCTGTCCTGATACTCAGCATCGTCAGCGGGCCGCAAAAAGAAAGCGAAAGAGTATTTGTCCTCCTGAGTTCCATCGTTGATCCGTTCTACCCGATGCAGAGCAGATGTGTACGTCCCCTGGGAGATGAAGCTCAATGAGTCGCCGACGTTCACTATCGCCCCGGTTTTCGAAGGTGGCACATATCTCCAGACTGATTCCACTGGATCTCGAATCTGTAGGCCCCATTGCTCTGTGAGCAGAAGTGTCAAGGTGCCCATGTCTTTGTGCTCGTTGTGCCCGGATGATTGGAATGGTGCATCGTGAGGATAGCGAAGAACAACCGCATTTGTCCGTGAAGCCTTCTCAGAGATATGCATGGCTCTCACGCGGTCGTCTGTAAGGCACGAGAGGACCTGCATGAGGACATTGTACGAGCTCTCCTGGAACTTTCTCACAACCGGCATCGCAGTGTCGATGATCTCTCCTGTCAAGCCAGCCTTGGGTCCATCCGTGGGGCGGAAAGCGAACTGGTTGCGAAACGTTCAGATGCGAACACTGCGAACACACTACGGATTCGCGTCTTCAATGTTGGGATTGCGCACCTTCAGGGACTCATATCCGTTCGAAAAGCCACGAGATAGCCCTTCCGATGTTCCCACAGGCTCATATCCTGACTGAATCAGTGCCAAAAACAGCTTGTCCATATGGGGCAGAAGGTCATACCATACACCTCATTCTTGCAGTCTCCCAGCTTGGTGCGTAGATCTTGCGCAAAGTATTCTTTCGCAAAGTGAAGTAGCTGCTCTCGGAGCCATGAATGGTCAGAGCCTACATCCAGATCGAGATGGAAGATGCCAGTCTCCGAGCACGTTTTTCTCAATCTCTGGAGTTCTTGGTGGTCGCCGTCGTGAAGTTTGCGAAAGCTGATACTTGGCAGTTGTGTGCGCGGCTGGAAAGTCTCTGCATGCGGCATCTCTGCTTGCTCTTGTCGCAAGGTTGCAGTCCAGAGTTCGGTGATCTTGTAGCTTCGTAGAAGTAGTGTTGATGACAGAAATACGGAAGTCTGTAGGATAAACTTTCGTCGAGGGTCTCAACGAACGTCGCTGTCGATATCATCATCATATTTCGATACCAGTCAGTAAAATACCAGATTTCAGATGCGTAGCGTGAAAATTGGATCAGTTGGCCAAATACACTATGAATCTCAAGCCAACATGATTGCAACACGAGCGAAAGTAATCAAGTTCTACTTCACCATTGGTACTTGAAACAGTACCTGTCTTCCTCCTGATATTCAACGAGCACATGATGCCGAACTAAAGAAAGCTGTTTCCATTTACACGTTGACTACAGCTTCTCACAACACTGTCTATGCTCTTCGCCACCCGGTCGATATTCGCATTCGTGATACCCCTGTGGATCGTTAGTTCTCATCTTGTTCCTTGAACACCATCGCGAGCCAACTTACGAGATCGAAAGCCGACCATTGTCTTGTAGATAAACATGATGCTGCTTCCTCAGCATAGTCAACTCAGATTGACTTAGATTCATAAGGCTGCAGACATTCTGAGATTAGTAAAACCCTTTCTCTGCAACCATTTTAGCTCCAACAAGCTTACCAAAACATTCCTTTTTGCTTTGTAATGAGTCCCCAATTGCCCGGAGTTTGGAGTTGCCCAAAGAGTGCCCGCAACCTCTCTCTTCGATGTTGCAACTGAGACGCCATTTTCTTGACGTCTAATTCCCACTGGGCTCGCAGATCCGGGCTGGTCAAGATGAGCTCAACGATGTTAGCACCAAAAGCCGGATAGCCGCCAGTCTCATATCTCGTCATCAACCGTAGTTGCATCTCAAGACGATGACAAACTTCCGGGTTCGGAGCCGTAAGGCAAAGAACTCCCACACGCTCGCTGTACAATCCAAATGCTTTACTGAAAGTTGCACAAAGCATGATGGACACATTGGCCTCTGCACATATTCGAATGCATTCAGTGTCTTGTTCGATAGAACCACTGGCCATTCCATAGTATGCTGCATCAAATATGATGAGGTGGCCTCGCATGGCACACGTAGCGGCGATTTGAGTCCACTGCTTGGCTGTGGGATCACAACCTGTGGGATTTTGACCTGCGGTTTGTAGCACAAGGACGGATTCAGGTAGAAGCTGGTCTACGGCCGCATGAAAAGCATCGAAATCGAGAGTCGCGTCTTTCGTGTCAAAGTAGGGTATTTCTTCGACTCGCAGCCCTGCATGTTCGAAGATGTTGGCGTGATTTGCTGTCGTTGTCAACGCCTCGATCAGGAAATGGTTTTCCACTAGCGATGCTTGTCTTGTGATTGATAACTTACACCATGTTTCTCGCGGCAGGTAGACAGTTGGTTGTGCAACGTGATGCCTCTTTAGTAGGCACGCGGCCATGTAGCATGCACCACTTGCTCCCAGGCATTGGGCGGTCGCTACTCTACAGCGATAGTTTCAGACATGTCTGCAATCGCTATCAATAGAACCAGATCTCACCTTTTCTCTTCCATGATCGCACTGTTCTCTCCGAAGAATAGACTTGCACTGACTTGGAGAAAGGTTGCTGATCCGATCTGAGACGATCGATAGCCATGATGCCAATGGGGCTCCCTGAACAGTCTCCTCCTCGCCTGAACCATTTCTACATTAGTTTCACATCAATTGCAAGAATAAGTACAGACCTCGATGACCGATGGTAAAGTGTAAATTTCTCCCTCATCGTCTTGATACACTCCTACCATCAAGTCCGTCTTCTCAGGAGCAGGGTCTTTCCTGTACTCTGCAATCAACTGATATACAGTCTCATTGTACTGGGCAGCAGGGACTGCACTGAAAGGATGTCGTTGCTTGGAGGCCATCTCGAAATATGATCGTGTTCATCTATTCGCCCTGTTGGCCTCCTAAACGAGTGCAAAGCTTAGGGTTAAATCAAGCGTTCGAATAGTGCGCTCCTTACGACCGATTCCAACAACTATCCTACTTAACGAAACGTGGATACGTAGTAGAACGAAACGAGCTTCTAATTTCGACACTCGCGTGGGGAGCGAGCATTTGCATCCGCTGTCTGATGCGAGATAGCGGGACCTACCCCATCGAGCGACCCACTTGAAGATGCATGGAGCTCGAGCGATCCGCAGCTCTAGCGACGGGTACTCACATCTCCACCATTCCCGATCGAAGTCAACTCATTGACCAGATTGAGGCAATGCAGAGACACAAACTCTTGTGGTTGATGTTCCGCAATCATGTATGCACTATGCAGCAGGCGTACCTAGCACGTACAGAAGTGTCCCTCAACGAAAGACCGATTGCAAGGTCCAAGAAACGTTTCAACCCTGCCTGAGTTTATGCCGCTGAGGGCCGTAGAGTCCATCGCCGCGGGTATGGGAAATCTGCCATCTCACCGCAAGTCTACCCCGTGACCGGAACTGATACCGGGAGGAAAGACGAAGCAAAGTGCAGACGTTTGTCAGAAATGCTGGAAGGTGGCAGTCTGAGTGTGTGAGTATTGCGTCTTTTCCTCGCTGCGCTGATTCATCCAAGTGTCTATCTGCTGAGACTTTCGAAAACGCTGCAAGAAACGAGACCCGCTATTGAAGAAGGCCTTGAAGCGGCGAAATATGTCATGGCCAGCTACATGCACGTTTTTCAGCTCTATGAAACCAGATCTATGCGACAGGCTGATGACGAGACGCTGCCTAAGATCTGCATCTCACGGTGATACAGCTGGAATACGGAACTGAGGCCTACAAGAATCGGGAAAGCAAGGCAAATTCAAGTCTTGAGAAGATCGAGCAGCTTCTTGTATTTCATGTCCTTCGCGTCTTGTCCTACTAGTCATCTTCTCATACAACAAGACGTGTCAAAGCGTCCACAGACGCAAAGACTCCCGAGAGACCATAGATTTCGACCGTGATGACAAGAACGGGACCCTTCAGGAACCAAGACAATGTTCTCCCATCGCATAGCAGTGGGTACACATCCAATTGCAACGAACTGCTCGATTTGACACCTGCTGCCCGTCTTTGGGCATGACACCTTTACCACCTCCGGATCACGTCTGTATAGCAGGCCTCAGCCCTGATTGCGCATCCATCGCGCAACCTGCATTGCTTCCCTGTAATCCTCGTCATCCCAAAGTCTCAATCCCATAGCCTACATGGAATTGCGAGTGTTGGCGTAGTTCTCATTGAGCCAGTCGAGTTGCGCCTTGGTGAACTGGTAGGGAGCACCATGGGAAGCTGATCCAGCCTCAGGATCAGCCAAGAAGTCGTTTTCCTCTTCGCCAGTTTGGTTCTCCTCCTCGCCACTGTCCTTTTCTTCTTCCTCCATTTCCCTATCTGCCTTCGATGTCTCGCGTTCCTCAGCACGTTGCTCGTCATTCTCCAACTTGAAGCCCCACGATATGTTGAATGTATTGCCGTACCACACCTCGAACCACGCCTTGAGTTCTTCAGTCACACCCGATCGAGGCTTCTCTGGTTCCTCCGATCTCTTCGATCCTTCTGAATTCGTCTGCGGCATCCACTTGGCTCGCTTCTCATCGTTCCAGTCTACACTGATCAAGTAGAGCGTGTACGGATTCGGATCCAAGCTCGTCTGTGTCGCACTCAGTCCGACGAGACGCAAGCGCTGGAGGTCCATGCTGAGGCCAGGACAGTCGAATATACCTGCTGCCGCTCCAGTAGCCTTGTGGCGAAGCTCGCCACGCTTCTTGTCGGAATCCGTATTGACATCGTACTCGTCCAGGATGGGGCGCCCAATAATGTTGCAGATCATCTTTGGCACGTACAAGACGTCCTTCAGCACAAGGGTGCGCTTGGACTTTGGTCCAGTGCGGTTCTCGCGGACTTTGACGCTCAATTCGACATCGCCGATACCAAGGACTTCGTTCTCGCCACGGTAAGTGTCTCCTATGTATGATTTGATGGGTTTGAAAGTGGTGAACCAGTCGCGGTGGTTGGCAACGTGAGCGTCAGCTTTGCTGATCCAGAGCCAGTCGACTTGATAGTCAGATCCGGTTGGTGCCATCTTGCGGAGGAACCAAGGCGCGCTTGATGGTTGCTGACTGCGGAAGAGTACTCCTGGACAGCGAGAGTAATGGACGTGCGAGTGGGCGGTCGAGTCGTGCGGATGGGATGAAGCGAGAGCAGGAAGAGGTGCAAGTTGAATTATTGTCTGCGAATTCCCTTTGGCATCGAGTCATAAGTAGTTCGAGCGGCCGCGAAAGCGTCACAATCATGGTTAAAGGAGAAAACCGTCTAACAAACGCCAAGCGGTACACAGCAAACATTTAATGACGTCGAACTCGGCATGTCTGCAGTCTGCCGATGCTAGCTCATACTGTTGGAACTCGTTCAAATCGACTGTTCATACGCGGCGAATGATGGTGCGCGCTTTTCTCGTGATCGAACGTCGAATCGCGCGGATTTGATGCAGAGGATGCTCTGAAAGAGCCAGCGGGGAACCAGTAAACGACCCCATGATATGCTGGAATGGCCTTGCACCGTTATCATATACTTGCACACAACTGAGCGAGCCGAATCGCTGGTTCGCTATTCTCAGGACCTGTAGCCTTCGATGCACCGGGACGCAGAAACCCCAAATACACATCTCTTTCGTATCGCCGGAATCGTCATCGGGTTGCCGTTTGCTGTGAGAATCTTCGGCAACTAACTGCTTCGCAATCTCACGACCTTTAGCACGCTGCTCAGTAATGTCGATATCCAACCCTTGTAGAACAAGAGATTCCCATTGATTTTGGTGAACATGATTTCTCCCTGTCCAGCTCTCCGAGTCTCGGTTTGTGGAAACGCGAACGATGAGTAGCTCAGACAAGCCGAGACAACTCTACCTCTCCTTATTGCGGTCCAAGCTGAACGAGTTCTGCACAAGCTGTACAAAGGTAGATGCGCCTGAATGATGTCTCTTGTCGTGAACGATTCTCGAGTACTGTCAATTCTGCGGCCCGTGAGTGCTGTATCTGTCAGAGAGACCGCGATCGAGACAAAATTTCAGTTGCAAGACCTCATGTGAAGACCGTATGCAGTGAAGACCATCTGCATATGACGATGCCTCCTGGTTGTGACTGCTGAAGTGAGGGAGGGCGACTAGCGCGCGGCTGTAGCCGAGCAGCCGAACTACTTAAAGCGGGCTGTTGCAACACAGCCAAAGACACCAACGTGCTGTGCAGGGCGAAACAGCGAACAGGCCGGCGACACCACCTCCGACACACTGGAAGGTGGCAGGGGACGATAGCACTGAATAATAGACCACATATTTCCTACCGCCACGACCTTTGCGCCGCACACGAAGCGCTCGCGCTCCTCCGAACGCCGCATCTCCAGGCGGTAACGCCAGGCCTTTGTTGCGCCAGCGGATTGACCAGCGACAATATATCCAGCAGGCCACGACGATATCCTTCCGCCGTTGATCCCTCGATCTCCGCGTCTGCTACCGCACTCTGACCGCCAACATGACCAATACGCTCGTGGTGAGTGGTGGAACGCGGCCGAAGCGTAGTCCTGGCAGCAGCGCAGCAAGGCTAACCCGAAGAATAGGGCGACGTCTACCTCAAGATCATTGAGGAGGTCGTAGCAGCGTCGCAGGCCGACTTCGAGGAGAGCGGCGTGGGTTCGCAGACATTGGGCGAGTTGCAGCAGGTATGTGTGTTTTCTCCTCTCTCTCCTGGACAACGGCGGCCATCACCACGGGACTGCGTCGCAGCGCATGACGATCGCATCAAGAAAGAGACGTCGGGATCTGCAGCGACACGGCAACATCGTCGACGGCAGCGGAAATGCTGGTTTGGCCGCGGCGGAGGAGCGCAGGGCGGCGAGCGCTTTCGGCGGGCGAGGGGCGGGGCTGGCTTTGAGGATCGCAGATTTGCTGGGCCCGCCCTCTCTTTTGCTGTTCCAGCTTTATACGCTCTCCTTTCCGCTAAGCCCCACTCTGCGCCATGACACTAACCCTTTTCGCTCGCATCACGTGCAATACACCTCTCAGCACCCCAGTCGACCTCACTTATACACCAACAGATGGGATGCAAGACACTCGCTGACATGCACAAAGGAATGGCAGAACAAGCTGTCACAGCGTGGTGTTGCGCAGATGCCATGGGACCCGAAGCCGCAACCTCCGCAGCCGCCGCAGCAACAAATCGCACCAACTAATCCCAGCGGCAATGTGAATGGCATGCCTGCCAATCCTTATGCCAGCTATGACGCCTCTCAGGCTGCCTCAAACGGTCAGCGAGTCAAAACTGAACCCGGTATGGAGCACCAATACCATGGCCTTCCAAATGGCAACTACGGCCAAAACAACGGCCAGCCGATCCCTGTGCAAGGTGGCGCTGCTCGAGCACAGCAATTGGTTCAGCAGCAGTTTGGAAATGCAGCAGCACCGTCTTTGGCTGCCATGCAACGTGGTGGTCTCGCATTGCCAGGCCAGCAACAACAGCAGCCGAAACCACAACCGATGCAGCTGCCACAAGGTAGTCCAGCACAGCAACAGTTCCAACAAGCGCAACAAGCTGCAATGGCGCAACAGCAGCAGCGGCTGCACCAGCAACAAGCTCAACCTCGCATCAAGGTCGAAAATGATAGTCCACAGCTTCAGCAGGGCCAGTTCCAGCATCCAAACTACCCCCAGACCGATGGAGCTACTGAAGAGGACGATCTTGCGCAATGGCGCGCTGTGCTCGCCGAGAGACGAGCTGCTCACGCACAGCAGGCACATCAAGCCGATCGCATGATGCGAGACCAAGTCCTGAGCCTTACAGCTGACCTGTCGAGCGGCTTGATGGTGCCTCTTGGCGAGCAGCCTTCGTTGCGGATCAAGAATAAGAAGCGGTCCACCACCACTTCTGCCGCTGGACCTTCGATCCCACAGCTCGATGGAGATGAAGACGAGGACGAGGATAAGGGCGTCAAGGATGAGGACGATCCCGATGCCATCAACTCCGACCTCGATGACGACGACGATGATGGTCAAGGCGCTATGGGCGACGAAGACGATGATCTCGGCGACAGCATCCTGTGTACGTACGACAAGGTTCAACGCGTCAAGAACAAGTGGAAGTGCACACTCAAGGACGGTGTCATGAGTGTCTCTGGGAAAGAATGGGTCTTCCACAAGGGTATGGGAGAGTTTGAGTGGTAATTGAATCACGTCGAATACCCGAACACCTGAGCACACAATGGCCGTGCAGTAAGCAGATCTCTGGATCGCGCTGCTCTACCTCTATCAGGTCTCCCAGCCATCCTGAGGACCAACACAGCTTATCGGCCAATATTGTTTCACACAATGATACCCTACCAACAGACCCCAGGGCCAGGGAGGGATGGAGGGATGGAGAGGATTTCTACGTGACGCGACACCGCGTTAATTTTCATTAAGGGTTGGCATAGATTGAGCACCACAGCCACTACCACTGTTATCTGCTTGTTTTGTTTTGCTTGCGGCCCCGCGAGATTCCAGGCACCACCGCGAGGAAACTACGTTTGATGTACAAATAGAATAAGACAAGGCACGGAAAATGAGAATGACACTGATGATGAATTATGCTTCAGTGCTCACAAACTTCGGACGAGATCTCGTGCTTTGGGAATGCTCGCGTCGTTATGTCATAGCGCGCACTTCTCCTCTTCTTCTGCTTGCTGACTGACTAGATCTATCTCTTGCCTGGATGCGATCCCCCCCTGCCGTAGTCCCGGCCACTCCTCAATCTCCTTCGCAATAGCGAACCTGACAAGCCATCGCGAACCGCCTGTATGGCGCCGTCTTGCGTCCTGAGCTCTGTGCTCGTGCAATCAATGGCGATTGGAGCATCCTTCTCATGCCATCCCTCTTCGCTTGTCGCTGCGTTCGTTTGTCAGGCGCCCTCAAGCACTGGCAATGCCTCGACATGCGCGGCGGGTAGCGATGCAGCGAACAGGCTGCTCGGAGGCTCGCCCAGTCCGACTCTTGCCCATGCCGCTTTTTGCCTCGAGACCATGCTCTGCTCATCGCACTTGCAATGGCAGAACCCCGTCTCGAATCGTACCATACTTCTTTCCTCACGAAGATTTCTGGCTTTAGTGCATGCAACGATTTCAAGTCACAAACCAACCACCTCTGATATCCGCCTCATCCATGCCAAAGCCGAACACGATTCGGAATAAATCTCTCATCCAAGCCCACTGCTCACTATTGCCCAGCCACCTTACACTCTTGGCGACTTCGACTGCAGTTACGCGTTTCGAGGACATCGCATGTGCATTTTTCAAACTCTGATCATTGACTACAAGTTTCTTGTAGAAGCTCAAGACTTTCATTTGCCAGGGTAGAGTTCCAAATGCTGTGTCGGGAAGTGCTTGAACGTATGCAGGAAGAGGTTGCGACGAAGTACGAGAGTAGCCAGTGTTCAATCCGGCTTTGAGGAGGAGACAGCGGAGACGGGCGAGATGAGTTTCTTCGCCGCCGGCTGTGGCGGTGGAGCTTGTGCGTTGAGAGGAAGTTGCGGACGCCGCGGATTCGGAATAGTCGCTCAGAACGGAGGCGTTGGAGGTCCAACGATCGTGATGGGGAGCATTGCCGCCGCCGCGGGAACCGCTCGACTTGGAAGGGCCGAGAACGAGGATGTTGGGAACATTGGCGGAATCTGGAGAGGAGTGCGCTGTAGAAGTGTCGTCAAAGACCGTCACCGGAGTTTCGGGTGGAAAGGTCGGGGCTTCGTGGTATTTGCGGTTGCTGACTGTGCTTGAGGTGGAACGACCAGCGGAACCGCGAGTGGAGGTGGATTTGAGTGATGTTTGTGATTGTGCGCCGAAGGAGGTCTGATGTGGCCGCGGAGTGCCTCTATCGGGTCTTATTTGTGTCCAGCCTTCGCGGAAGAGGTCGCATAGATCCCAGCATGCTTGGACAGCAGAGCCTAAGAGTTCTTCATCTGCTTGCTTGCATTCGCGACTGCTTTGGCGGAGGTTGAAGAGCATTTCTGCCAATGACCAGCACGCACGCAAAAGTGAGTCCGTCTCTCGTGGCAAAGATGTTGGCATCTTCATGAGTCGGTGGCAAAGCGTGATGTAGAAGTCCAGTGTGCGCTCAACGAAGGCATCAGGAAGCTCGTGGTGATTGATGTTGTAAAGGTGGTTGTTGAGCTCGAAACTGACCCGCAGCACTGAGTCAGTGGCTTCGTCGACTCTTGCTCGCGCGTCAAAGAGGGATTGACAGAAGTCACGACACAACTCCAGTGTAGGTATGACTTGTGCCGTGTGGTCCTCATCTTTGTTGTCGTATAGTTGCTGGCACAACCTCCAACAGCTCTGCCATGCATGCTGTTGTACTTCCTGTTGGCCTCGGAATTTGAACGTGCGCTGGCGATGGCTGGAGGATAAGTTTGCAAGCGTATTGCAAAGCGTCCAGCATTCGCTCAAGGCGGTGCGCAATGCCTCAATCTCCTCGTTGGTCTGATCGAGTTGCTGCATAGCTTCTTGCATACTCCCATCTCCAACGAGTCCGGCAGTGCTGGGACGCTTCTCATCGTCGGCCTCTGCAGCGACGTGGTCATCGGCAAGTCCTTCGGGAATGTCTGCAGGCACTGTCAGATATCGCTGGAAGTATAGGTCGAAGCCTTCAAGCAGACCTTCGAGACTCGATGTTCGCCGACTTTTGCGCTTCCACTCGTCCTCCAATTCTTGCCGTGTCTGTGCGCGTGGGGTAGGCTTCTCATTGGATCGAGGGATGTCAGTGTTGACGGGTGCGACAGGTGAGGGCTGTTTCTCGAAGATGTTGGCTTATGTTGTCAATGTAACGCACTCAAGCCAAGCTTACCTTCTGCGTCGGAATCATGGTCGCGGCTTCCGGTGTGCTCGGCGAGGCGACACGGGCAGTCGATCCGGAAACATCAGTCGGCGATGCATATTGTTTCTGTCCTCCTTCGAAGTCCTTGAAGCCAGTGGGAATATGTATCACGGATTGGGGGTCGTTGTCGGCCGAGTCTGATCGCAATCGCGCTGGAAGGGAAGTCACAATCTTGGGTGGAGGATCCTGCCACAGTCAGTACCCGAACGCAATTGCCCATAACAAGAGTCGTACTTTCGGACTCGCTGGACTGTTGATATCGACATCGGGAGAGTGTACATCAAACGCATCGCCATTGGACGCCGACTCCGGCGATCTTATATCGGTGTCTTCATCCTCTTGCGCGTCTTCATCAATTTCTGTTCCCTCTGTACCATTCGAGTCTACTGGAGACGGTTCGATCTGCTGCGGATATGGACTGGGCGGTGGTGCGAGCGAATCGGTGGGAGCGGAGGAGCTACGATGGGAGTCAGCGATATAACTTTACAGGTCGCGGCCCAACGCTGGACGAACCGATTGCTATGCGTATTGCCGCCAGAAAATGCGCTGAAGCGAGCGGGAGAATTGGGAGAGTCGGAGTAGGGACTGAAGGCAGACACCAGTCCGCCGCCAGTTGGAGAAGCCATCGGCATTATCGGGTTCTTCAAAGCCATAACAAAACAGTCGCAAGATCGTCCAGCGTTTCGCAGCCAGTCGAGCTATAATACGTCCGTGGTCCAGCACAAGGTCCGCCTGCAGCTCACTGAAGCTGCATTATTATGCTGCGGGCAATCGTAAAGAACACGGCGCGGAACACACCAGGCGAGTCTTCAGAGGCCGCCGCTCACAGCCTCGCGCGCTGCCCAGGCAATGACCGGTTTTGTGGTCCCACCACAGCTGCAACAAGAATGTCGACGCGCGCAATCCGGGCTCGCCGAAGAATAAGATTGAGAGCAGGCTGCTGCGCCGGCAGGACAGTGGTATACTTCCAGAGAAGGGGGGTTCTGCGGCACAGCCAGCGCGCCTCAGATCGCCTATCTTTCCAGACGTCCTGCGCCGTAAGAGTTACAATAACCAACAGAAGGATCCACGAAGCTATGGCCCGCAAGAGGACGAAGTTGCATCTGCATGCAACCGAAACAGACGCGGTCAGCTTGCTCGCCGCCCGCACGAGCGTGGGTCAGCTTCGGGAGGCGTCGCCCTGCTGCCTCTTCCAAGACGGTGGAGCCCTCTCTGCTGCCAATGTGTGCGTGCCGGCCAACCACGAACCAGCTGCTGTCTGCCAACACAGGGACGCCGCAGCCACCTTTCTGGCTTGGGTGTAGAAGAGCAACAAAATAGCCGCCGAAGGCGTTTTTAGGTCTGCGGCCCATGCCGACCTGGGTCCAATCACATCGCCACAACGGTCGCTAAGTTGTGCAAGCGTGTGATTGTTTTTGACATCACTTGCGTCTTCTCATCTTCTCTCTTGCTGGAGCCTCTCGCCTTCGGACAGGAACCCTCCGCTTTTCGTGTGAGAGCTGACAGTGCCGTCCGATTGCTTGGACATTTACTGAGATGAGCTCGGAAAACGTCCCGAAGGTAGACAGTGCCGGGCACCACAGCCTGCTGCCATCAGCATTCCGCTGACCAATAGCGGAGGCTCACTGCAATGCCGAGCGCGAGGGGAGAACGGTAGGAACGTGCTCACACGTGGAACATGGCGATCGACAACGCCAGAATTTCCATGGAATCGCATGACCCAACATCTCTCTTCATCTACTGGCTACCAAATGTTGTGGCAAGGATCCTCTACCACACTCAGCTCAGGACAAGGCTGAGGTGGACGCTGACGATATGCCATTCGCCATTCGTGCGGGAACTGAGAGCATCTCGTCACAGAACATCACTCAAATGCAACAATACTTGCTAATGTTACACGGAGATTCGATCTTCGTTTAGCTGTGCCTCCGCCGTTCGTGCCGCATTCGCTTACCTGCAATCGGGTACGGCACCTACAATGGCGAAGTGCACAAGTGCTCCCCAAGTGGGTGGATCGGGTAACGCGCTAACAGCCGCTTGGTAAAAAGGCGAAGTCTCGCTGAACGACATCTCTTGACAAGGGTGCTCTATCAGATGACGTGGACACCAACCAGACACCACAAACCCCACTGAACTATGCCATATCGCTGCACGCGTGGGCTCAGACCAAGCGAACGCAGGATAACAAAGCAAAAATGCGGCGTGCTGGCATATACGACCGGTGAGAGCCCTGTTCAGATATGCAATCCTTCTTCCTTCGACCGCGTGCCGGAAAGGTCCCGGGCGCCTACGCGAGTCACGCATGTCACGGTATTCTGCTCACGGACTTTCGGGTGATTGTGTGGCTTGACGGCATGCAACTGCTTCTCTTCCGGTTCATCTCGATGGACAATCGCAGCATGCCGACTTGAAGATCAATCAAGAGCATCGGCTTGCGCGGCACAGCAAGGTCCTCGAACATCGAGAATAAACGAGAGCGAAAACAGTTGAGAAGTGAAAATGATCCCATCGTACGTTCGCCAACACTTCTACCTAAGCATACACATCCCGACTCGCTCAATCGGCAGGTCATCAAGAAACCCCTCTCCCAATCGTCGACGCAGCCCAGCTGTATCTGAGCCCTCGAAGCAATCAACCAAATCCCAGACTGAACTCCACAAAATGCAGTACAACAGGCTTTACGTCCGACTAGTATGCGTTTAAGTTGCCGTGTCGATGGACTTGCCGACAAGCTTCGCAATATCTGCAAGGAATGGGTCGGCTGCGGCCTCACGCTTGCCAACAGCCTTGTCGATACCCATTCCAACCACCTTCGCAATATCCGCAAGGAAAGGATCAGCCGCAGCATCGCGCTTGGTAGCCTTGTCGATACCCATTCCGATCAGCTTCCCAATGTCTGCCAGGAAAGGCTCGGCCTCAGCATTACGCTTCGTAGCCAAGCCGAGAAGATTGTTCAAATCCCGCTGCCATCGTTCCTTTCCTCCGCGGTAGCCGCCCGAGTAAATGGGAGCGTCTGCTGGTGGGTGTTGAAATTGAAAGCCTTCGGGGACGGGGACGGGGACTGGGGGAAACCCATTCCGCAACACCGCTTCTCTCTGCTGCAGCTGAAATGGCCCTCGTCGGTTGTACACAACATCCTCGAAGTTCTTGTCGTAAACGACCTTTGGCTGGTTGTCGAAGAATGCGTTCGCCTCTCTCTGCTGGAGAGGTTTCCCTCTGACGTTTCGGAGTCTCAAGTACTCCTGGAGATTGAAATTCGGATCGTGAACGACCTTTGGCATGGTGTCGACGAAGGGATTTGCTGATCTCTTCTTTCCGAAGGTTCCTGTGTTGCCAAAGTTGGGATTTACCGAGGTGTCCGGGAGACCCAAGAAGTCTTCCAGACCCCAGGGCTCGAGATTTCGCTGGTAGATCTCGGGATACAGCCTACGAGCTTCCTCTATCGCTCCCTCGATACCGCCGGGATGTGGGATGACCTTTGGCATGTTGTCGACGAATGCATTCCGCTTCTCTTCACTGGGATAGAGATTAGGGTACAGCTTCTTGTACTCCCTCAACCGAACATCAATGGGACGCGTATCGGGAATGACTTTTGGCTGGTTGTCGATGAATGCTTCTCGCTTTGCGTTGCCGCTGGCTTGCAGGTAGAGCTGCTCACGCACCCGAGCTAGTTGTTCGGCTGTCCCGACTTGGGCTTCTCCGAAGAATGCTGGCCATGCATCTCTCTTGGCAGGCCCAGTTCGTCCCACAAAATCTTTGGGGTCTGCGTAATATGCTGGATTGCCAGTATAAGGCAAGATGCCGAAGCTTGGGTTGTTGAAGAGTTTGTTATTTTGTGATGGCGCTGCTTGGGCACCGGTGGCGGAGAGGGCAGCCACCAGGGCTGCTGTTTCTGCGATGTACTTCATGCTGGATTGACTTGTGTATGCTTGAGTTGTGTTGCTGCCAGCAGCTATTGATAAGGAAAAGAAGAAGTCAAGTGGATTGAGTGTTGGAGAAGAGGCAAGGGGAACATGTTGGGCTTATATGCACTCAGGACATTGAGCTCTCGGATCGTACAATCTGTGCCACTTCGGCATCGTCGTGTACCAACCGTGCTGGGTCTGGTTCGGTCTTTCGAGCCGGCATCAAGCACGCGAGTGAATGCCAAGTCTCCGGCGTTGATGGACCACGCCGGGCCAAAGTTCAGTACTATTGATTCAGGATTGAGCAGCGACGGTATTCCCCAAGACTTCTCTCAGCTCATTGGAACTGAAGGGCTATTCTTTCAACTTCACTGCTCATTTCACTCTCTCTGCTTACCTGCTCTGTTTTCCGGAATTCCCGCTCATAAATTTCCAGGATATGATTCATCGAATGTGATATCTGACGACTTCGCCAAGACCTCTTTTGCATTATCTCACCACCTAAGAAACGCCGAAGCAGTGAAGTAAGCGAAACCAAGAAATATCTCTTGTCTATAGTATTACACCACTGTGATACGGCAACATTTGTTGGGAGGGAGGGGCCTATAGCGGGCGTGAAAATTCTGCCAAGACAAAAATGTGTGGAGATGAATTCGCCGGGGTATGGAAGCCGGAGAGTTGGGGTATATATACAGTCGGTACGTTGACGACATCTTGTTTACTGATCATTGAAGGACTGTTTAGTGAACTTGAGAAGTCGGATTCGCCGCTTTGCTCTTGGGGAGGTTGTGTGGGTGAGGTGAGGTAAAATGACAGAAGGGGAGTTTGAAGAGATGCGTGTGGCTGACAATGAGCGACGGAGGCATGAAATCAGGGAGGACATTGCATTGTGATGCGATTGATCTGAGAAGACGAAATGATGGATGCCTGGCAGAGATGTAGGTGAGTTTGTGGAAGACGCTGATTGAGTATTAGACACGAGACTTCTCTTTTTGTCTCTTCTGGTTCGCCGCAAGACCTACTACTGTATAGCCGATCCTCTCTGCATGTTACTCCAAACTCCGAGTCAACGTCATCCCATCGAATTGGCTTCATTACAGCTTCAAGTCAATGTGATCTTGACTAGAACCTCGCTCGCTTCATCCCATTTACTGCGTTGGCAAATATCCCTTCGCCCTCTCGACGAACTCGTCCACACTCTCCTTACCCGTAACATTTCCTGCCAACCAAGCCCGCGCCTTCTGTATAACCATCTCCCACACATCCTTCTTGTCCTTCAACACAGTCTCGAAGTACGCCACAACCAGCGCCGTGGTTGCCACATCTCGATCAACTGTGCCAAACCCTTGCAGGACCTTGTCACCATCCTCAATGGCAATGAGATCCAACAGCTCATCGCTATACTTCCATGATCCGGAGAACGTCTGCAAATCGATGAGGTCGTGAAGTGCAGATCCACTTCCGCTACTCTTTGCACGCTTTTGGTCCCGCTTCAGTACCTTCTCCGCCATATTGCCCAAAACTGATTTACGGTCACGAGGTTTCAAAAGCATCCTTCTCTTCGAAGTAGTAACAGATTCATCACTTGCAGGAGGAACAGACTTGCAGGTTCGGACTTTATCGTTTTCGTCCATTAAAGCGAAACCCATATCTTCGTCGGATTCTTCTGCTTCTTCTTTTGCTTCATCCTCGTCCGCCAACGGCATGGAAGATCCAAAAGCTGCGTATGCAGGGGCCGAAGGCATTGGCGGGGGAGGTGGAAGAGGTGCATTGCCGAAGAGTCCTCCAGAGGGAGCTTGAGATGCATTCGTGCTGAAGAGTCCCCCTGAAGAAGCTCGAGAGGCGCTTGTGCGACCGAACAAGCCTCCCGAGGGTGCTTGAGATGCGCTCCTACCGGAAAGTGGTCCCGGGGGAGGTTGAGAGGGGCTCGTGCTGCCGAACAGTCCTCCCCAGGTACCGCCACCGCCAAACGCATTGCCAAATAACCCTCCCGCTGGAGCTTGGCTGCGAGCGCGAGTCGCAGGAGCGGATTGCTGCTGAGACATTTGCATCTGCATGCCCTGCTGCTGCAGGAGTGCGCTGCCACCGCCCCAAGAACCAGATGGCGCTGGCGAAGGAGCAGCTCTTCTCGCAGCCATGGATGCTAGTTGTTTCCTCATAGGCTTGAGCGATGGTGGATGTCGTTCTGGTCCCTCATTCTGCTGTTCCTCGGAAGTATCTGTCTGGACTGCCACGAAAGAGGTCCACTTGCTGGCGACCTGGAAAGTCTCGCCAAGACGGACAGCTTCTCGTTCCACAATCTCGTCGAAGCGACTTGCGTATTGCTCCTTGACCAAGGTCTGCTCGGCGTCTTTGAGCTTAGCGGCATGGAGCCAGCCTCGGCCTTCTTCTAATTCTTGAATCGCTTTGCGAGCTGCCATTTGGTGAATGTTGACACCCTGTGTCCTCCCGGAAATTGGTATCTCGAGTTCGAGCGGTCCTCCTTTGGCAGTAATGGCGCGTAACGTAACAGACTTGACTTCTTTATGTGCGGATATCTCGTCCATGAGGATGTAGACGGTACTGCGGTTGAAAGGAAACAATGGTGGGATCTTTGACGGAGTCTGCAACAGCTTCGGTGTGTCGACGGAAGGGAGGTGGGCATAGCGATTTTTGGGCGTTGGTGCCTCGTCCACATTTACAGAGGTATCGAAGAAGGACTTGACTTTCGGTGGCTCGGTCGTTTCCGGCTCTGTAACTGTGATCTTGAGGCATTCTTGGACCTTTTCGATGATCTCAAAGTCGTCATCATCTTCTTGCTCATAGTTGACCTCCAGCTTGTAGTCCTTTGTGTGAGCGTACAGGGCGCCTTTCAGCATGCGCATGACTTTCTGATCGGTATCCTCGTTTTGAGTGACGAACTGCGCAAAGCCATTTCCTGCACGAGCAAGTCCTTCAACTAGAGTATGCGAGACATCTTCGCCAATGCCAAGGGTGAAGATGCGAGCATCAGCTCCACTCTCAACTTCTTGGTTAATGCACTCGAAGACCTGCTCCTCGCCCCAGATCTGCCCGTCCGTGAGCACAAGCATCTCGAAAGGCATGTCTTTCAAGCGCCTCTTGAAGGCAGCTTTGATCGGCTCCAGCAATTCTGTGCCTCCGTACTGAGCATCGAAGCCAGTGACGAATTCCATGGCGCGATTGACATTGTCTTCGTTGTACGCCTGAGAAGTCTCCCACAGAAATTCGAATCTGTTTCCGAACGCACAAATGTTGAAGCGCACGCCGATTGGTAGGGACTTCAGAAACACCTTCAGCGCCTTTACCAAAGAGGCATTCTTTGACCCGCTCATACTTCCAGACTGATCCGCAATGAAGACGATCTCCGGATATGATGGATCGAGGACGAACTTAGGTACCATTGTTGCCATGATGGCCCTCTGGTTCGGGATCGAGGGATGCACCTCCAGGATTGCCTGAGGCCGACTTAAGTCATCAATGACAACCTGAAGTATGAAATCGGTGCCAAGCTCGGTGGATCCCTGGGTCAGCGTTGCAGACGCTTGCGCTGGTGAGTATGGCTTTGTGCCGCCGTCGCTGTTCGTGAGTGAAATCTCGCCCATGGTCACGGAAATAGGATGGCCGGGCGATTGCACTTTGCGGAGGGCAGACTTTTCACCCATGTCAATGTCTACCGTGATCTTCATGCTCGTGGCGGTGACGTTTGAAGAAAGCACTGTTCCGGGATAGTTGCCATATCTTGGTGCGATGGAGGTTGGTAGTGTGTAGCGTAGTCCATCGATAGCTGCGTCATGCTTCAGCTCTCCGCAGTAGGTAATGTCAACCAGAAGTTCTGTTTGCGCAGGGACGTTTCCGAGTGTGACTCCAAAGACGCCTGCAGGTAGAGACTCGATTAGGCCGGCAGTCTCGCCGCGATCAACTGCGTCCTGATAGGTCTTCTTGGCATCATCTTTCTGCTTGACCACACCGGTCAAGACCTTGTCGGCGTAAGTGATTGTGTATCCAGAGACCGTGACTCCATCGTAGAGTGGGAATGTGTATCGGAGCTGTGGTACTGCTTCTGTTGTTTTGTACGTCTGTCGGAGTTGTGTTGAGAATGAAACCGGGCTGACGATGGTATGGGATTCCAGACTGAGGGGTGACAGGTATGTTCGATGATAGTTCGTAACGAAATACACACCACAGATGTGGTCACCGACTCGAAATCCTGACATGTTCAGGCGCGGCCTCCTCGCGGACTGCTTTGTTCGCGCCAGATTCTCGCGTGTCGATGGGATCCCGAGGTGTTCTGGATTTGCTGATGCTGTGCTGTGTTGTCAATCGGGTCTTTTAAACGAAAATGAGAGATGGAACAATGAAAGCATTTATGTTTGCTGGAGCTGTAGTTGCCTGCATGCTCGGCAGCTGCCTTGTGCATCGTGGCGCCGCCGCCCCCTCAGCAGCGCCCAATGGTGGCACACTTGACCTACCTCCACGTGCGGTGACTCCCTTTCAGGTGCGCCGGCATCCGAGTTTGTGTGCAATGAGGACTGTCTTGATTGCTCGTTTCGCGTGCTGTGACGGCGACCTGCATTGTCGCGTGGCGTGACTCAGAATTGGAGGAGTGCCTGGAGCAGGCAGGATGGGTGCCTGAGGCTCCAGTCCTGTGCGAGATGTCTCTCTTGCCAATATTCTGCCCGAAACAATGCTGAATACTATGCGTCCTCGGATTTCATGTCAATAGATCAGTATAAGCTGGAGTAGCCTATGCTGGGTCCGACCGATGAGCAGCCAGCGGGATCGATTGACTGTCGTCCCACGAGCTTCGAATCGCCTTGTGATTCTGCTGTGCACGAGACAACGTGTGTATCACCGCGTATTGCCTCCAGGTGCGAGTGGGAGACATTGGGGGGATATGAAGGGCAAGCGTGATGTTGAGAGCGGTGCATGGAGCAATCACCTTGGGGCTATTTGTCTCGCTGCGGTCAGCTATCGCGGTCCACATGGCGCATACACGATAAGGGAACCATGTCGAGACCAGTGTGATGGTTGGGAGATAACAGAGATACACCTCGAATATATGTATCTCGAACCTGCGCTGTGCTGACTGCAGTTCGGTGTATCTTCTTGCTTCCATCGCCGCAGGAGTCAACCACCTGCACGACTGCTCCTGCTTCTGCTGTACTCTTACCCGGTGGAAATGCCGACGACAACATCGCGATCCGAGCACGCAAGGCAGGACGATTATACTGCATCCGTCGTGGCAGCGGAGCGTCGAAGACTCATCATGGCCTCACCACGGCCTCGCATTCCGACCACGCAGCTCACCGATGGCGAGACGGCTTGCGTGATGGCCGGCCTCGGCGTGGTCGTCAACCTTAATGAAAGTCCATTTTCGGCCTCCCGAGGGAACACGTTCGCTGTGCAGTGTCTCAAAGAGGCAGCAGTATACGGCGGGAATGAGGCTGAAAGAACACGTTCGACGGGCGAAATCTCGCATCATCGTTAGCACATGAAAGGCACCGGAGTGTGGCCCTGCCAGCGCTATTTCCAGGTCCACGTGCTGGAAATTTCTGCCCATCACCGCTGGCTGCCCTTGCTTGGCACGCCGACCCAGGCCGCTCTGGATCTCTGACTTCAGCGTTGCGTGTGGATTCCGTGACAAAACTGCCGCCCTCCATGGACTGCATTGCCGCATCCGGTTTCGCGCCTGACGTGCGAACACGCAAGACTGCTCGCACGCTGCCAGCCTGGTAGAGCCATTCCAGTGCCCGTGTGGAAAAGGGCTTGTGAAGGGCCTGTACACAGCGAGCAGAGAGTGCAGAAAAGCTCAGCAAAGCAGGCCCAGGATGGCAGCTCGAGCGCCGCAAAACTTCATGCGAGCTTGACACAAGCTCAGCTGAGCAAAGAACCTAGCGTGTTGATCATGCGTAGTTTGCGATAAGAAAGCTGCTGACACAGCAGCTCGAAAGTGGTATCCCCAGGATCTTGGTCGTTTTGCTGTGGCGTCGGCGTTGGCGTGCGAGGCGCCAGCCATCCAATCACGCCACGATCGCAAGAGGAACTTGTGGGGCCTCTCTTCACCCTCCCCCAGACCAAATTCGGTATCAAAGTCCATCTTATGTTGAGTCCTTGCACAGAGAATGGCGACGAACAGACATGACACGGGCTTGACTCAAAATTTTCTCACCAACTTACGGTCAACGCCCTGCGCAAGTATAAGAGTATTCCCATCTCATTCCGTGCACCGTTTCATCAGATCCTCGCATTTGCATTCCCTCAGGCGTTCATCATTTATCAGCATCTCATCTCAGCGTCCAGCACGTCACCGTCGCTACCAGGTCACAAGAGAAGATCATTCCCACCAAAGAAGCAGTTCAAGACGACTTTGCAGCGGAACAGGCGATCAGCTCACGCCTTACGCCCTTCGGTCCCCCAAAAACAACACCAGGCCCCGCACTTTCCACGAAGCCGAGGCGCTCATTGGTCGATACGAGTGATAGTCACCGCGGTCACCGCGTGCTTTGTAACGTTGAGCGAAGGAGTCATTGGTCAGGCGACACCGGACCGGCAACCTCCAGAATGGTAGATATGTCTGCCATTCGACACACCGTCAATGACGATGCAGCAAACATGGAGACACTGCGAAAACTATCGGGCTTTGGCCAAAAGGTCAACATTGATATCAAGATCAACAACCCACGAGCGACATATACTACTCTGGACCGCATAGAGGGCACCGTCTCCATTCTCGCACCAACGGATATCAACTTCGATGAGATTGACATCGAGTTCATTGGCACCTCAAAGACATTTGTCGAGCGCATGACAGCAGCAGCGGCAGTGTCTGGTCGATCAGAGGCATTCCACCAATTTTTAAAGCTACAGGACCGCTCGGTGCAGGATGCATACCCAGCAGGTCAGACCTTGAAGGCTGGCGTCTTGTACACATTCCCTTTCCTCTTCGTCATTCCTGAACAACTCCTTCCAAAGGTCTGCGGGCACAAGTGCAAGTCGATGTGCGTTCGTGAGGCACACCTTCAGCTTCCTCCGACTTTCGGTGACCACGATCGCGAGGATGGCATGGACGAGAAGGCCCTTGACGACTTCGTGCCAGAGATGGCCAGCACTCGCTATGGCGTCCACGTTAGAATCTGCAGAGTCAGGAGAGGAGAAGATGACGAGGTAATTCGCAGCAATATTGCCAACAAGGCTAGGCGAGTGCGCGTCATTCCAGCAACCGAGGAGCAGCCACCACTCGACATCGACACCGACGACAAGGAGTACTGCATCCGCCGAGAGAGAGTCATCAGGAAGGGCGTCCTACAAGCCAAGGCCGGTACACTGGTCATGGAGGCTATCCAGCCTCCAGCCATCCTCATGCGCGCCCGAAGCAACTCCAGCACACCAGCAATGTCGAGTGCCAGAGTCAGCCTTCGCTTCGACCCCGCCGACAAGCATGCCCTCCCACCTCTCCTTGGCGACATGGGCGCCAAATTGAAAGTCTGCACCTTCTTCGCCAGCACCGCCCGCTCCGGCTTCCCAGACAAGAAGAAAGCACTCCAAGACCCATCACAAGGCATGCATAGCGAACAAATCAGCCTTTCTTCGCGCTGCATGGCAAGCATGACATCCGACAAATGGACTGCCTACGAGTCTGAGAAGGACTCTCACCGCGACTCGGGCTTCTCCACCGGCTCTTCCATCCCAGCCCCAAGCAAAGACTACAAAGGCGCTCGATTCTTCGTCACTCACCTCGACGTCCCCATTTCCCTTCCAACGAACAAAGCTTTCGTCCCTAGCTTCCACTCCTGCCTCATCAGCAGGATGTACCAACTCAAACTCGAACTCCATCTCCAAAACAAGGGTCTCGTCGGCACCATGGACCTCAAACTTCCCATCCAAATCTCTTGCACTGAAGGTGACGGCGACTGGAGTCCTCGACGAGGTTCCGTCGTCGAAGGCATGGAGCAATGTTCCGAGGAAGAACTCGTCGATGGCTTCTTCGATGAGCGCACGATGCAGATTCCGGCTGAGGCGTTCGTTGGACATAGCGATATCCGCCGGGCGAGCCCTCCTGTTACACCACGACATGAGTTGCCGCCGAGTTATTCTTTCTTTGCGCCTGCGACGGGTGGGCAGACTGTTCCCGCTTATTAGGCCAAGTCTTTTTCGGCCACTTTACTTATCTGAATTTCTGGATTTCGTCACATTACGACTTTATGATTTTCTTTTTCTGATCAGCGCTTTCGGCAACATCAAAGAGGTTTTAGTTGGGAAGAGATTGGGAAAAAGACTGCTTGGCAAGATACCCTATAGATCTGGCATTTTTGTTTTTCATAGCGTGGAGTTTCAGCGATTGTTTGTGAGAAGGAAGAGTGGGGTTTCAGCATCAAGACAGAACGAGAGATTCGTGATACCAAAAAGTTCAATAGAGAATGGTGTAATACATAATTCTGAGCGTCGCATGAACAACTCTTTTTCCACTCCACTTCTTCGAGTAGTGCTCTCTCATGAATCCACCAACAGATGACGCTTATGGCAGAATGAGAGGGCAATGTGAGGAAATGCACTCTTGCGCATTAGTTCCAGTGTTTCGGCCAATTGGTAAGGCTTGGTTCAGGTCACTGCATGAGGCAGAGTAGAAGAGGTGCAGTCGTCTTCAAAACACTGGATCAGCGGCTTAGTTCCAGGTACCCGCAGCACTCATGCACAGAAGTGTTTAGTCTCGGACCCAAACCGATAATGAAGATGGAGGTGTTTGGTTGTCCGCCCGCTTCCGAACGAGCGACTGCACAGCCTCATTCTGATCTTAGTCAGCCTGCGATGATCCGATACCGAGGATGTTGTCAATGCAAGCTGACGACAATTCCTCTACAGGCATCAGTATTCTTCGCGCAAACCTTGTCCTCAGCGACGCTCACTCTTGCTGTCCGCGACATTCGTGTGAGGGCGCAGGCTCATCAGGATTCGAGGAAGGAACGACCTGTCTACGCATTCTCTCCGGCGAAGCAAAGAAAAAGCTGAGCAAGAGCCAAGCTGCCTGCCTGCCAGCCAGCCAACCCTGCCAACGCAACAAGCCCCATCTCGAAAGTTCCCGACTTCAGAAACCAAAACAGAACACGTCAAGCGCAAAACATCACATCAAGAACCATCTCCACTATCCCCTCACCCCAGTTCTGCCGCCTCTCCAGTCCCACCCCCATCACCACCCATCTCCTCTCGCACAAATGTCCTTCTACAACCACAAAGACCCCCTCCCACCCGGCGGCTTCGCCAAATCCTGGGCCGAAAGCACCGGTCTTGGCGGCATCAACCACTCCAGCTCCAGCATGCACGTTAGAATCGTGTTAGACGCGCAACAAGCTTCCGCGAGCGGAAATGTGACTTATACGAATTTGGATCAAATCTCGGGAAGTGTGCTTGTGAGGAATCTGAGGGCTGAGCAGGTGAATTCGATTGTGGTCAAGTTGGAGGGGGAGAGTCGGACGAGGTTGATGACGGCTTTTGGGGCGAATGGGGAGAGGCCGAAGGCTGTTTTGGAGTATCATAAGGTGAGTTTTTCGTGGGCGAGGGTTTGGAGTTGGAGGGGAGGAGACTTGGTATGGAAAGTATCTTGCTGACACGATGTGGATTTAGCTATTGTACAAGGTGCAGATGGTCTTCCCGGATACGAAGATTATGCAAGGGCGAGTTACTTCTAGCGGGAAGACGGCATATGCGCTTCCTCCAGGAGAGCACGTCTATCCCTTCTCTTTCAAGGTATGAGAAGCATTTGAGGAGTGACGACTTGCACTGATCAGAACAGCTACCTTTCAACAATGACTGTCTAGCGAATGGGCCCCAACAACCAGTGATAGTCGGCATGGAATTTGCACGACCGGCACCTCGACACGTCAAGAAGACACTGCCGCCTACACTGAGTGGATTCCCTGGTGAGGCGGAGATCAGATACTATGTCAAATGCACAGTCGGTCGACATGGCTTCCTCAAGGAAAACGCCAGAACACAGGCACCTTTCAACTTCTTTCCAATCGAGAACCCGCGGCCGCCTATCACCGGAGCTGAATGTTTCGCACGGCAAAAGCACCGCTTCGATGGGTTCGAGGCACCTTCAAGTCCATCAGTCGGAGATAAAATGAAGGGCATGTTTGGGAAGAAGTCTGGTAGCACGCCGAGCTCACCAATCGTCGGCAGCGGCTCGCCTTTCGTTAGCATCGATGCGCGACTACCGGAACCTCCGATTATTACTTGTAATCAGGATCTACCACTCCGGCTGATCTTCAAGAAACTGAGCGAATTTGGCGACGAAGTCTTCATGAACTCGTTACAAATATCTCTCATCGGGCATACGAAGATCCGTGCTCAAGATGTGTTCCGCACAGAAACCAACAGCTGGATTATTTGCTCAACCAGCAATATGAATGTATTGCTCGGTCGACCTTCCGATCCAGTCGACACCGAAACGGTCGTGGATGACCGATTATGGAGAGGGCCCTCACATGTTTTACCGAACACTGTCGCGCCCAATTTCGAAACCTGCAACATCGAACGCACATACCAACTCGACATTCGGATAGGTCTCAGCTATGGCGATCGAGACGCCAAGGTACGCATTGGCCAATGGCGAAGAGTGGTGAGACTGCGTGAAGAGATCTTCCCTTTCTATCACTACTTCGTTGGTTTCATGAACTTGCTAACACTTTCTCTTTCTACAGCCTCAACAGATCATCCTTCCACTTCGCATGGACTGCCAGATATTCTCCGGCATAGCACCGCCAGCTGAGGTTATCGCGCGAATGGAAGACGCAAAGGCTGGTCTTCCACCCCGACGGACATCGAATGCTAATGGTCTGCATCAGAAAATGCAGAACGAAGGACGAATGGATTCCGACTTTGGCTCGAATCAAATCCCTCCGACTCCGATTGAACATTATGGCTCTGCACCCTGGCCTGGACAACCTCATCCTGGGAGTAGTAGTGCTGCGCCTAATTATGATGATGCGCCTCCGCCGAGCTACGAAGATGCTATTGCGCAGGGTGCTGGGCCTGTGACGGCGCCGAGGCCGACGTATGCTCCTCCGGCGCAAGTCGAGGATCCTTTGCTGGGTGGTGGTGATGAGAAGAAGGGGTGGCATTGATGACGAGCTGACTGCATAGATGTATAACGAGGCATAGATGGTACGATATGAGCTTCGGAATTGTTGCATATCCATCTGGCTACAATTCTTCCTCGCAGGTGCGAGGATTGAATCACGGTAAGGAGCCTGAGAGGGATTGTTGATCATGCGCAGACATTCGGATCCGACAATATGTCTTAAGCGACCGACACCTGACATTTTGAACCTCGCCAGCTCTTGATAGCAGCTCGACACAGCCTCTGGCCTCAAAACATGGGAGCAGAAAGTACCTCTCGGCACGTGCCGAGCATGAACTACCCTCTCTAGGCGGGGAAGCTGGAATAGACGAGCTCCGCCACATGATGACCAACGTCATGTCTTGCGCATCTGGATCCCTTATCTCTAACATTCCATATCATATTCACTCATCATTCCCGATACCCTGCTACTCCATTCTCGCCGTTGCGAAAATGCCCTCCTATCCAGAACCCGAACTCTACTGGACACAGCCTACGCAGCATTGTCCGAACTCGAAGTTTCCTGTTCTGGTCTATCGAAATGTCTTACCTGAGGATTTGAGTATTGAAGCTGTAGAGAAGGCTTTGGGGAGGAATCAGTGGAGGAAGGGAGGAGTGTTTAAGCATTATCCTACTGCGCATTTTCATTCGAATACGCATGAGGCTTATGCTGCGGTGAAGGGATGGACAAGATGGGTGAGCTTGTTATCAAGCTTGTTAAGTGATCTAGGGCTGACATTGAGGGAAAGTAATCACTCTTCATCTTTTGATTCCAGTCTGCTGGAGGCTCATGCTGACATTTCTTGACTTTTCTGAATCGTAGTATCTATGGCATCGGACCTCTTGACGATGAAAGCAAGGGCATCTCGTTTGATATGAAAGCTGGAGACGTTGCGGTTCATGCTGCGGGTGTGGCACATCGGAATGTGGAGAGTAGTGAGGATTATGAGTATGCTGGATTTTATCCAGAGGTATGACGGAGCGAACTTGGACTCTGTGCGAGACTTGCTCTTGGTCGAGGTCAATATTGATGTTTGTATAGGGTGCTCCGCACTGGGATAACAACTTTTGTAAAGCCGACAAGGAAGAGACCGAGATGAAGAAAGAGGCTGCGCGGAAGATAGCTGTGCCGGATTGTGGTATGCTATGTCGCGTTGAAGTCATTGAGGTATGTGCTGTGCTGATATGTTGGACTAGATCCGATTTATGGCAAGGATGGGCCTTTGCCCAGGATCTGGAACAAGGTTGACAAAGGGCCATCGTTTGCTACTTCATTCTTCAACAGTCTTTTCGCATCGAGTCTCAAGAGTACGGGTTGATATTGACTCCGCATTGAATGATTCTGCATGACCAGGCTCGAACGATCTCATAGCAATTTGATTCGACTTCCGTTGCCAACTCGAAGGTGGTGCAGGGAAGGTGTTGAGAGCACCGCTCATCAGAGGTACTTGGAAGTGGTTTTGGACACTTGGAATCTGATCGAAGGTTCATTGTATGGTCTTGCCCTGCCAGTTCTCAAACTAGTCCGGTCAGAAGCCTCACGATTGGCTGAGCGTGCACAGCGTCTCCAGGATCAGTCGGAAACACTTATTATGCCAAGCCATTCGTCCGACTCGTCATTCAGGATCGTCATAGCGGACCTCCATTAATGATATGAGCCCACATATGACATATTAAGTTCTTTCTCCAGTTTTCACATCATCTGCTACACTTCTTTTCAATACTATCAGCACCACCGAGACAGAGCAAAACCTACGAAGATCCCGTGAAGCCCTCGCCACTAGGGAAAGAAACATGGCGCCGTCTGGGCCAGAGTATCATACTGACTGGATTTGGTGTCGCGGCTCGAACGTGCATATCGCAAATCACCGGAATTGGTTTACATCGTTCAAGAAGATCAAGTCTCGAATTGCCAACCCTTGCTGCTGCGAACCTGGAGGCGAACCTTCCACGTTCGCGGTTCGTGGTATTGGCGATGTCGAGCTTAACGTCGTGAGCTGCGAGAAACGCACCGGGCCAAAATCACAAAAGAAACTCGTCCTCAAAGATGTGCTATACGCACCAGATATACTCTGCAACGTCCTCGGAAAGCCCATGCTCAAGACTCATTACAGAGACTCACGCTCGTCGAAGAAGAGATCTTGGCTTGACGACAAAGCGGGCGCGGGAGCCATCATTCTAGACCATCCACTACTTCCTCGCCTGCGACTTGTTGGAATGAACTCCCGGGAGACCTGCTTGAGGGAAGCACCGTGTTCCCTGGACTGGCGGTGGAGCGACAAAGAACGCGCCAAGTGGACTCCACCGAGGGCTCCCGGCTGGTTTGATCTTACTCCTGAACAGGAAACTTGGATCAAACCCAACTACGAGACAGAGTGGAGATGTCTCTTCTTACATGATTTGAGAATCGACGGCTTCGCGCAGCGCCTTGAAGGGCGCTGCCTCATGAAACACTTGATGCACAAGGAAGCCGAGGCCAAGCCATCCGAAGACCAGGAAGAAGCCGATGATGGTACCGATTTAGACGAGTTGTTCAGCGACATGGTGGAAGAAGACCCGTGTGCTCATTTCCTGGATCATTACTTTAGCAAGACTCAACTTGATCTGATCCGGAAGCATTATGGTCATTCTGGTAACCTGATACGCACTCTGGGTCTGAAGCCTTGGAGTCCCGGGAGCTCAGAGCGAGCAATGGAGGCTGTGAGGTCAATGGAAGCAAAGACTAGAGTGCCGATCACAGCTTAGGGATGACTGACACCGCTCACTCGCTCACCTTGTCTTGTGGGAAGCTTCAAGCCGCAATGTGAACATAGCTGCAGTGCTATAGGTAAATTAGACTTCACGATTCGAATGCTCCGGACCTCACCAGCAAACGAATTGTATCATCCCGGGCAATTGAGCACAACTATGCTCAGTCTTCATTCAATCTCTGAGGCTTCGAAAGCCAGAGAGCTGGAACGTACTCCGGAGCTCACAGTCCGCAGACATCAATCATTATGGACTACAGACACAGCCTGAGTACTGTTGCTACCGCGATCGTCAAGCTCTGCGAGATCCATCGTCTGAGATTTCGGGGATGGTATTTGCCCTTCTCTACCAAATTCTAAATACAAGGCGCAGATATCCATCCATAGCCATGTTCTTCCACTCGCAAGTGCCAGAAGCAGAATCTTAAATATTTCCGTAGGCGATGAAATCCATATCGCGATGAGGAACTCTCAAGCGCAAGAATGTTCGACATTTCGTTCTTCCATCTGCAACTCCGCCTCTTGCTCTCCCAAGACGTAACAGAAGAAGAGTCCAACTCTCTTGAGCTCAGTCAAAGTCACTCTGTCCTGCTCTGCCAGTGTGGTATCCAACGAGCCCGACACATATCATGAAAGCAAGATTGCAATAACTGTCTCCCCTGAGTCAGTGTTAGAGCTAATACAAATTGATCTTTCAGCCTACGTAGTCTTCGAGATTGAATCACAGGCTATGCGCAATTATAAATTCCGCAGCCTGGGGAGCATAGCCTGAGTCCGGGCGAGCAGCAGCACTGGAACTGTCGTGGGACGAGCTGTATAGGCGCTTTGCCGTTTTCGTCGAGAGTCGTTGGTGTTGCCATGACGGAGAGGCTCGAGAGGAGCATGAGAACAACCGTGATGAAAATCTTCATGTTGGGCAAGAGAGTCCTTGCGGTTTGAAAGACAGCGTGTCTGTGGATGAAATGATTCAATGGAGTGTATGTGTTAGAACAGGCCCTTGAGGTGCGACGGAAAGTGGCGAAGATATATACTCAGAAGGGCGCACGGTTTTTTGCTTGCCTTGACGTGTCCGAGCCTACAAGCACAGTCCTACGTGCCTGCCGACTCTTTTCGTCGTTCTCGAATCCAAATGGTTGGATTCCGCGTGTTTTGACTTTGGAAGTCGTCCGAGTGAATGAATTGATCAACGACTTCACGTTCATTTTCCGTGACGACTGGCGCTGGCACCTGCTTTCAAGTAAGCGCCAGTTTTCCTCAAGAGTACTGCCTTGAATAGGACAGTTTCGGGTGGTTCGTATCTCCTTTTCGCGCCGTCAGTGTAAATACAGTCTCCTCTGGCGCTCCTATTCGGAGCCGAAATCTGCCTTAGGGCTTATCATCATCAACGAGATTGGACAGCCCTAAATGTCAGCATATGCTTGCGCGTGCGCGGACAGATACGGAAAACAAGGTGTCTAGAAACTGTATTGGGAGATTCGTTGACGTTGATCTTGGTGCTCCCAGCACGTTGGCATTCAGAAGCAGTTGTTGCAGAGTCTGTCGTCCTTGCAGCCACTAGCACGGACCGCAAACCAGAGGGCAAGGATATATCCGCGTCGTAGTGACTGCTATTCCCAGGTCGGAAACGATAGGGCATCCGGTGGTTGGTGTGACTCTTCTCCAAGCAGCATCTGAACAACACGCTCGTGGCCCCTGATCAACGCTTCCTGCTTACAGACAAGGCTCGAACAAATCTCGACCCATCAATCATCGTGAGAGTGGGCAAGCATAAGGTATCGTTCGATCCACAAGCTGAGTACTGCGCAATCTCAAGACGTATGTCTCGGTAGCACGACTAAACTCCGCAGTAGACTCTCTGCGACAGAGTCTCGAAATTTCAAGCACAGCATGTCTAATCTGTTGCAGTCGACGAAATGTTGCCCAGCTCCCAGCGATCCAACATGGCGTCTGCCAACCCTTTTTTGACTCTTTTCGCGCCCTCACCGAGGGGACCGATCAATGCCAACACCAACCAAGAATCCTCCGTCACGACCATTCTGGAAGTTGGACACATTCACAGTAATCTTCGATTCGGCCTCCGAACTCTTGCTACCACGATCATGAAATTTCATTAGAACATCATGCTACTCACTAAATCCATTCAACCTACCCAGATTATGACCTTGATCTCCAGCGATTGCGCAGTCCTAATCGCACAGACGAGACACGGTCCACCCTCGCGCACCACAATAGCATGCTTGCTTCGCTCACTGCACCAAGCCCGAGCAAGCACTTCTGCGCCTTTGCCAGTCGCATTAATCATCATGCACTTTCCACCTTCCCCTTCATCATCGTCATCCTCTGGAATGTGATCATTCAACTTCTCAGCCTCCCATGCCGTGAGCTGGAACTGCTTCAGCTCGCGACGGTGGACCTTGTGGGGGCCATTATAGCATACTGGCAAAGTGATGAATATTGGGTTGGTGTAAAGCGTGTAAGTGACCGGATCTTGTTGTTGACCAATTGAGAATGTGATACTTGCTCGGTATTCTGCTTCGACGTCGGTTTCTTCTGTGGTTGTGCTTTCTCCAGGCTCTGCTGTTAAACGCTTCAGCGCAATACTGGTTACTTCGACATTGCTCTGTGATTTGGGTGGTGGCTGCGGAGCAGTATAAGCCTCATTTGAAGTCATGTCTGCAATATACGCATCGGTGTCTTCTTTCACGTCTGGTTTGGTATACTTGTAGCGTTCATGACGGCCGCCGATGTAAATGGTGTTATCGCCGGCTTGCACAGGTCTCTGGGGAGGTATTGGCCGTGCCGTGAGTCTCACGAGCAGTGGATTGAATGGCCCGGGTGTAGGTGGACTGATTTCCACCGCAGGCAGAGGACCCACCCAGCCACCTAGTGATTTGACGCCAGGCATTGCGCCGAGGACTCGACCGACAGCACTTCGTGCTCGCCAGTAGCTCTGCTTCTCCAGAATAACGTTGCTGTCGAGATACTTGGCGACACCCAGCGTTTTTGCCACCGAGGGCGAACACTGAATCAATGTAGCCATAATTTTGAATGCAAAGTGCTTCCCGGGTAGCGTAAGCCCGTATAGCCAGTCCGCAACGTATCCGTTCACTTGGCCGCCATTGTGCATCTTGGTGTAAGCTTCTTCCGCATTCACACGTGCTTCGTTAGTATATGGCCAGCGCATCCTCTCGGCAAAGCGAAGAAGACCATCCACTTGGCTCTCATGGACTTGCGAATAGAATTGTATAGTGTGTCCCATTACGTTCCATTTGTGATCTCTCATCTTGACGGCCATCTCGTGCTTGAGCTTCTGTTCCCTGGTGTTGTCGAAATCAGCATTCCAGTCCTGTATTCTTAACTTCACATATTCCAGGTTCGATTCCATCACAGCCTTATATTCTTGATCGGCAAGCTGTGCAGCTGTCGTGTAGGCCTCAAGTGCCTGATCCAGTTGATTCAACAAAAGTCGCGCAGCTCCCATGCAGCCCCATGCCTTTGCGCTTTTCGGGTCCATTTCCTTCGCATTCCACCCATCGTACAATGCCTCGGCGTGCTTTGATAATTTCAGATAAGCGCCAGAACGGTTGAGAAGGTAGACGAGATTTCTACCTCCAATCTCAATTGCTTTTGTAAACAAATCCACGGCTTCTTGATCTTTTCCTTGTTGCATAGCCGTTTCACCTTCGAGGTTGTACGCGTCGGCCTTGGCTGCGTCCTCTGCGGAATTGGGTATCTTTTTGAGTTCTTCGGGCACAGGGGCAGGCTTGAGCACAACCCGCACGTTCTTGATCCATTGATCACTAATAATGAGCGTGGCTAAAACACGTGCCGTGAGACCAGATATCCAGGAGTTGCGGTATTGCTGCATTCTTCTGGCCAGTTCGACACCGAGGATAAACTGCAGAAGAAGATTCCAGACCTCTTGTTGATTCATACAAAGTACGAAGATGGCAGATTGGTGGACAAAATGAGTGAAGATGTCATCCCGGTTAAGACTTGCGTACAACTCGCTAAGCTCGTTTGCAGGATCAAATTGTCGAGCAGGATCTAACCATGTCGTGGTGCTCTTGAGGAAGTCGTGAAGGTCATAATAGTCTTCTTGAACGTTCTGTCCCAAGCGATGAGTCTCAGTGCGTAACTCTTCCAAGCGGCGGAGCAGTCGTTCTGCGGGAATTGCCATCGTGGCCGTGGACACGAGAAAGGTATTCTCGCGCTTGATGCCGTAGACCTCCTCGTAGTCCCACACCTCTAGCGCAAAGCCTTCTAGCGTCACTGTACCTGGATTGACGTTCTCGTACTTCGGGCTCGTTTCCGGGTCGAAGAAAACGCCATCTTCTTCTTCATCATTGTCGTATTGACTCTTCTTCAGCTTTTTGATAAATTTCTTTTTGTGGTACGCATCGAGAGCAGCATGCTGCGACTTGGTGAAGCCTTTCTGTTGACTTTCAAATGGGGAGCCCCTCGCATGCTCATTACTACCTTGCCAACTCACGTGGGCGGTTGTTTTGGCACTCCACGCCGCTGGACCGATGAGCGAGACCACGAGTGCTCCTGTACCAAGGTCATCCTCGAACACTTTGATTACGTCAAGACGCTTTTCAAGAGCATCAAGCGCCGCATCCGGATCTTTGGAGGCGGCAGCGGCTTCGATGGTCATTGGAACAGCCGGCTTCTTCCCCGGAAATTGAATGCTGCTCTCCGTTTTGCGATGGCCGAAAATGCCTGACAAACCACTATTGCGTTTGCTCGTCGGTCCTGCGACCACCGTGGATGGTTCGCCGCCACTTTGAGATGGGCTTGGTTCTGGGGCTTGCGTTACGCCTAATTCGACGAGGCGCTCAGATATGATGTCGGAAATATCGGGATCCTGCTCTGCAGATGCTCGAGCAAGCAGGGACAACAATCGAACGTTCGATTCTCGCCCAATTTCTTTCTTGGTAGCATCTTTGAAATTCAAGTTTGGGAACAGGCGTACCAGAATATTGTTGAATTGGCGGATCTCCTGCACCATCTGTTGGAATTTGGTCTTGTCATTGACAGCCCAGACTGTCATATTGCCAGGAGTCGCGGCCTGCTGGCGATCTCTTCCTACTTTGGCGCCAGCCTAGATCCTCATTAGTAGCTGCAGAAGCCCTTCCAACACAAGTGCATATCTCCTTACTTTGCTAAGCCAGCCTTTCATGCCGGAAGATGGAGCTGGGTCACCATTCGGGGATACCTGGACCAACCCATAGCGGCTTCGCAGCTTTTTGGTATCATTGAAGGTCTGCTGAATACCACCCAGCGCCTGAAAGACGACCTTTTTGATCTGATCCTCTTGCAGACGAGGATCCCATTGCCCTAATCCGGCTTCGAATTCTCTGAAGCCAACAGCATCTCCCCAAGCCAGAAGGCGAAGTCTTTCAATTTCAAGCTTCGGCCGACAAAGCTCAAATTCAGGTCCGTTCCTTTTTGAATGGCCAACGATGTCGAAAACATTCACACATGCCCTCCAGGCTCCTGCAACACTTGGTGAAAAGCTGATTGCCATTGTTAGATCATTCGACAATGCTTTTCCGTGCCCATAGAGATTTCTTCTCCTCAGATCCAGTCGTCTATGCTGGCCCAACAAGAGCTCCGTGCAGCGCTTCGTTTACCAGCGCAAAGAGTGCGCAGAACACCTGCAGGATGTGAGAATGGTGAAAGCAGGCGCAGCAGCGCGAACTGTTCGTGCTAAGCCTCAGTCATTCGTGCTTTCGAAGGATTGCGCTGCCATGAAGAGGGGCTGGCTTGGCACAGCCACGGTCAAGACAGCCTCAAGCCAGGCGCAAATGCGAGCTGTTGTTTGGATGCGCCAAGAATCCTCCGTGATGATCAGACTGGTCCTTTGCGATGATCCCTTGGCATGTCGATACTATCGTAGCACGAAGTGCTCCCGCCCATGGGTCTCAGGAAGAGTTTGACTATCATGCTGTGAGACCGCATCGCGATTGATATCATCAGTCTACTTGGAGCAGTTACAGCAGCTCCGATTGGGGAGAAAGACCTGCTGCCTCGGCCGCCATAGCTTTAATGGGTCTGTACACTGAGACTCGAGAAAACCCCGTTTTCTAGCAGCGTTCTGATGCGCTAGGATCTCGTGTCTTCGAGAGATGTACCCCATTGCCAGGCCACTTCACACTGGTATGCACACTGTCGACTGCGACATCACAGTCCCTGACGGGTCTCATGTTGGGGCATCGATGTAGCTTACGACAAGTTCCACAAGTAAGGGGTCCAGAGAGCCGGCGACGATACGAAAGCGGAATCAAATTGGCACGAATGTCTGTGTGGCAGGAAGAAGTGATGTGGGAACAGTGTTCATGTTGGTGTCACCATCGGAAAAGTCGGCCCGAATCTTTATGCCTCAGGCATAAAATTGACATGTAACTTCACCGTCGTGTCATCGTGTCCGACGTGCTGCAAGCCACGTCCAATATTGTCCATTGTCCTCAGCCTCAAGAAGCTCAATCGCTTGGAGATGTGTCCATAATTGCCTGAATTCTCTGACAATGATGGCGCCAGCCTTAATCGCCCTTCAAGAGCACGAAGTCCATGCTACAACCACTCTCTGATCCCCCCGAAGGCCCAGGATGCTGGCAGTAGTCTGACCACGAATGAGCCGGATCTCCTGAGTCCTTACTCCATCCTAAGCGTCAGCCACAACGTATGAGATCTCCGTCGGCCACTCCGTGTAGTCACGATGTTCATCCTGCATGTGGCTGCGTCGGAGTGAACCTACTCGCTCTAAAGGTGGCGATCTCAAGATCAGGCCCGTCCATGATTCGTAGATATCAGTCTTTGGAAGATGCACTTGCCTAAGGAGAACCAGCCCAAGCAAGCTCAAGCGACAAGCACACCGACAAGCACAATTACGCCGCTCGTGACTACGACGCCGACCTTTCCATGCAACTATCAACAGCGACAATTTCAGGAGAGCACTATACCCCAACCCTGACAAAGGCTCCAAGTACGATAGTCACGCCACTTTTTATACGCCCGCAAATGAGTAGACCGTGAGCGAGTTTGTGACGCCACTGTCCACTGTCTCTCCCACTGTACAGGAGACGTTCACAGAAACCACAACATCTACGGAGACTCTCTCTTCGACGTCTTTCTCAACGCCATATATAGCAAGCACACCTGTCGAGGTCGTGACCCCAACGACTACCACAACGAAAACAATCACATCTGCACCACTTACGACAACGACTGTCTGGACTACCATCTTCACATCCACAAGTACCATCACACTCCGCGCCACAGTCTATGAAACAACGACCATCACCAACTCGGTCAGCCCTTAACCTATCCAACTCATCCGCAATGGCAATTTCAACGGCAACAGTCTCGACAACTGGACTAAGAGCGCAGCAGACCAAGCAGCCGCTCTTGGCGCTCAGAATGAAGCTGGCTTCGTCCAAATCAACAATGCCGGAGGCTCTGGTACTGTGCGAAGTGTGGGCCTGGGACAAGATTTTGCATTCACCCGAGGGCACAGTTTCACCCTCACTGCCAATTTTGCTATCATCGTGATTTGCAGTTCCGAGCTCAGAGGACCGCAAGCTGGTGTACACTGTTATGACAATCAGTTTACGGGAAGCAAGAACCTGGTCTTTGATCTGAAGAGAGCGGTATCTGCGATGGCCACTCATTAATTGCTTGCTGCTCTGATCTTTGGTCGACCAGCTGGAACAGCGAATGTCGCGGTGTCATGCAACAGTATTTCCTTGCAAGTCTTGTCATGAGAGATGAGTCGGAGATGGAAGTTTGGAATCGAAGACGATACAGATCCATTCAGCCATCACTAGAGAAGTAGTTTGAAAGACGCCATGATGCGTCAAGACTGGCAAAACGACGACGATTTCCTCAAATTTTGGACTTGATCAATTCATCTCCACCATACTGCATTTGCTGGTCATGTGAAAAAGTGTAGGTACTTTAAGCTTGCCACCTGGATTGCTAATCAACAGAGTAGGTCGTGGCGTTCCTCTGCTTTGCATGTTGATGAGGAAGGTCATGCATCCCTTTGTCATCGCCGGTACTGACAAATCAACATACATGAATTGGTACTCTTCTCGTCACTGCGCGTGGTCAATGCATTGTGGGGTAATCGCAGTCGTTGGTACAGAATGTTACACCGCAGGACCTGAAAACCTTTGAAATGCTCGGGGATACTTGTGAAGTAGTGGTAGTGGTAGATGTGGCTTCGGGCCAGGATGAGGATGCTTTGCTAACGCGCTACAGATGTGCTTGCAGTCGATCGGCGAGCGCATCGGAGGGACAATGTGAGCCATCTTCGATTCACGCGCTAATAGCTCCAGCACCATAAAACTGAAACAAACAGCCTAAGAGCGATGCTTCCTATGGCTGTCCGATCTTGTCTACATCATGTGATACTTCATCCCGCTCCATTGCCTGGATGTGCCACTTTTTGCGCCAATCTGCAACGACATGGAAACTGCGTCGTATCCATCGACCAATGCTCTTACGCGCGACATATACATCCCTGAGCATGCTGCTTCACAGAGCTACTCCGCTCTCCACATCAATGCACAATCAAGCCCTCGTTGGCGCCAAGCCGGGGGCATGGAGGCGTCCAGCATAGGAAAATGCACTTCGTGCATATGAAGAAGGCTTCAAGCAGGAATTGTTTCTTATTCTTCTCCTCATACTTCTCACATCACCTTTATCGAACCGTCACAACGAACCTGCAGCAGACTTGTCAGCCTTGACGATTAAACGTTTGAACCATATATTGGACGCAATGTATATCAACAGTCTCATCACATTCATTGGCCTCGCAACTGGAGTTCCCGCTTTCCAACCAGTAAGTTTGATTGTTATCTCATCTGTTTAGAAGGTGCTCTTGCTAAAATGAAGATAGAATGAAGTATGTCAAAGCCTCAAGTGTGCTGTGTCTTTCACGGAAGCTGATAACATGCAGGGGCCAGAATGCAAACTCACCTGTGTACGTTGAATACCGGCTCAATTGAGCTACTTGACGCTGATGCATAATGTGCAGCGCAGCCGTCTTGGAGCGGTAAGCAAGGAGTTTCCGAAAATATAGTCGCTACAGGCTTGACTTAACTGTATTGCCGGCAGGAGTATTGCGTAAGCAGCATGACCAAGTCAATGGTCGAACGTTATCTCGGGAGAAGTTTGACCCATCCATAGCCTCCATACCATTGGGTAGGTGCGAGAGAGAAGGCTTGTAGTCGCACACAATATGGTTGTACGGACGACAACGGGGTGAGTATGGTGATCGATGCTTAACAGCACGAACTTCTAGCTAATCCTATCGGATCACCTCCAGCGAAATTGCGAAGAGCTCCTTCAGCGACCACCTCTCTGTGTAGTGAATGGTCCATGCATGGCAGGTCCGGCAGGATGCCTGGAAGACAAGACAGGAAGGCATGACGGATTGCCTCCTGGAGAATATGTGGGCCACTGCCCAAAACCACAATCGCAGCTTCAATGGTGTCAAAACTGCCGCAACTCTTGCGCCATGAGATATCCACCCGGCGGAGCAGAGTTCCAAGAGTGTATGCGAGATCGATGTGTAGGTGCAATGGGAGTGAGGCCTCGGTGGTTTTGTGGTAGTGCCATACTGATCCGGAGTGCATTACTCAGCTTAAAGAATGCCCTTCTAGTCTCCTCGATGAAATACAATACGACGATGCGAAAGCCCGGTGTGTTCAGAAAGGTTTGCTAGATGGGGACGCCGACTTTCAGACCTGCGTGACGAATTCATTGGTAAGAGAGACCCGACTTCTTGTTTGGCATTCAGGTAGTCTTACTAATCCTGTGCTTATACTCTAGAACGGGACCGTGGAGGAAGAATATCGTTGCCGCTTGCAATTTTTCGACACCAACACCTATTGTACCGGTCTCAATTATACAAGCGGCGAGTACAAGTACCAGGACTGCATCACAAAATCAATCGTATGTAGCTTCATCGAGAGGGGCGACTTCCCTCTATCGACTTCTGCTGGTTGACTTACGTACATGTCAGGGAAGCAGCTGCTCTGATGAAAACCGTTGCCCATACCAGATTTACAGAGCCCGGAAATATTGCGAACGTGACGATGATGATGATGACGACCGCTTGAACCTCCACAAATGCATTTCTGATCAGCTGGTACGTACTATAGTTGATAAGCTTGGCTCATGAACGTGGTCTAACGAGAATTTTGTGTCTAGGCTGGCCTTTGCTCGAGCGATACCCTATGTGAAGAGCGGTATCCTGATGCACAAAGCTATTGCGCGCCAGAGAATGGCGATGAATACGGAAACCCGGAGTTCCAAAAGTGTGTCGCAAAGCTACTGGTAAGTCACTTGAGATTTGACAACGCGGGGCTATCTACGTTCTCGTGAACCTGCATTGCTGACAACGTACTGTAGGACCCATTCTGTCGCAAGGACTTCGCCTGTGATAAGAGAAAAGAAGATTCCGAGGACTATTGCCGAGACCACGATCATGAAGACCTTAAGGAACTTGATACAAAGTTTGACAAATGCATGAAAGATTGCCTGGTAAGTCTCCAAGGTTGCCGGAATGGTGGAGCTGCTTGGGGACTGATCTTGCTACTCACTATCCATAGGGTGCAATATGCCCAGAATACTCGGAAGCCGCCCAACAACACTACAAGCAGTACGCCATGGATTTGTAATGTTGTCGAGCAACCTTCAAGTGCAGTAACAATAGTGACAACGAGAAAAGGCGTTCTGTGGACAGCAAACAGATTGAACAATGATCAAGACACAAAGGCTTGGAATGGATCGAACTGCAGGATCGTTTCATCACGGCATTTGGTGGAGCAGGAACTATCCCAACCCCTTCCCATTCTTCCAATTCTTCCAAAACCTCCTAATCTTATTCTGCACCTGGTGATATTCCTCCTTGAATGCAACCCCATGCCCCGCTCCCGGCACAATCATAAAATCAAAATCCTTTCCCGCCTTATTCAAAGCATTCACAACCTGCAACGTACTCGAAGGATCAACATTCCGATCCAACTCCCCCACAAGCAACAACAAAGTCCCATTCAACTTATCCGCATGCACCACATTCGATGCAGTATCATACAAAGCATCATGCACAGGCCATCCCATATTCAATTCATTCCACCACAATTTGTCGATTCGGTTGTCGTGACAGCCGGCGTCGGCTATGGCGGCGGTGTAGAAATCGCTGTGCCAGATGAGAGCACTCATGGCGTTTTGGCCTCCGGCTGAGGCGCCGAAGATTCCGACGCCGCCGGTGAGGTCCATCCATGGTCGGTCTCTGGCAGCGGCTTTGATCCAGGTGATGCGGTCTGGGAAGCCGGCGTCTTGGAGATTTTTCCAGGCGACGTCTCGGAAGGCTCTGCCTCGCCAGGCGGATCCCATGCCATCAGATTGCACGACAATGACATCATTCTCATCGGCAACTTTTTGGAAGCGTGACGCCAGATATTTTTGCGTCTCATTGTCTAGTTCTTTCGGCGTATCGGCATATTGTGGTGAGGCGTAAACATGTTCGAGCACACGGTAGCGTTTGCTCGGGTCGAAGGTCTTGGGGCGGACTATAATTCCATAAATCTCAGTTTTACCATCACGACCTGGAGCGGAGAATCTCTCTGCCAGTGTGACGTTATCCCAGAGTTGGATGTTCACGGCCAATGGTCCAATGCGGTTGCCTTGGAAATCTCGAAGCACGCCTTGCATAGGCTGGTCGACACGGGACCACATGTCCTCAATCGTACCGTTGTCGTGGACGACATTGTGATGAACACCGTCACCATCAGCTGTCAATATCTTGAAACCAGTACCATCGTAGTTGATGCGGGCCAGATGCACATGATATGGACTTTGCTCTTCCACCATGCCGTACGCTTGGAAGTACAAGACCTGCGCCTTCTCATCGACATAGATGACATCGGCTACATCGAAGCCGTCTTGGGTCACTTGTCTGATCGAGTCTTGGCGGGGAGAAATCCGTCCTTCGTTGCGAGTAGTGTTGACCAAGTATATTGAGTTCCAGCCATTCCTTTCACTGAGCCACCACATCTGATCGGTCTCGTTCATATAGTCCCATCGAATCTTGTGCAAGAAATCGATGCCCTTCTCGATGTGCTCTTCTATCAATATTCGGGTATTGCCATTTGTGTCGAGTTCCACCATCCTTAAGGATTTGTAGCCCCTCTCGGCGATCATGTAACGGTATGTCTGATTTCGAAACCCCCATTGTGCGTCCTCTATCATTGCGTTAGTATCCAAGATGTAGTCATTCCCGATGTCGATCTGTTTCTTCGCGACAAGGTCATAAAGTCGAGGTTGTTTGATAGTGATGTTGTCACCTGGCTTTTCGTATTCAAATTCGATCAGCCTAGGCTGAATTTGATCTGTCGGACTCGATTCGACCAATGTGACACTGCGGTTCTGACCAGGTGTAGCGACCTGATAGACCACTGCATACTTGGCGTCCTGAGATTTGTATATCGTCTTATTGTCAAATTGCGTTTCCTCTGTTGCAGTCGTCGAAAGTGCCGTCTCTATCCCAGCCCCGTCGGTCATGTAGAGATTGAAAGCCTTCACTGACAATTTTGGAAACGTCTCTTGGGTCTCAATGGGATTGACATTAAGCCGCAAACAAAAGGCATGCCCAGTGTGACAGATCAGGAGCCATAGGAAAGTGGACCAGGCCATGGTTTACAACAATATGCAGGAGTTCTGTCGCGCCGTCACATTTGAACGTAGGTTCTATTTTATATGTCGATGGCATAACCGATTCTCCCGGCGTACATCAACAAGGTATCCGGTTCTCCCAGTGTATATCGATGTCATGACCGATTGTGCCAGTCTAGTGGTCGAGATCGTCGTCTTGTAGTGCTTACTGCTGCAGTGCGAGTGTGCCACCATTCTGAGGTCGTAGCATTATAGGTGAGAGGTCTCCAGCACTAAGTAGTCAGTGGTCGATACGTACTGTAATCCGAAATTAGTCCATTACAATCAGACGGATTCTACCGTGAGTGGATTGCTAATTGCTGGAAGTACACGTGGATTGACGAAGAGTGAGCCATGAATACATATCGCTATGATGCTCTCCTGATGGCTTGTGTTAGTCAATATGCTTGGGCGAATCCGTTTGCGACGTTCGTGTCGCAGTGCCACGATGCCATTCTACGCATTCCGCACAAGCAGAGGATGAACGATTGACCGATCGCAGTCTTATCTTGCCAACGATTTTTTCCGTCAGGACGCGGGCGCGGGCGCGGTACCGCTGTGTTGTGTCCAGCTACTGCGTCAGGCGCGCCAAGACTCGGTCACACGTAGCGTCACGACCATCGCCTTCCAAAACAAACCACTGGGTGTAAGATGGAGATGAAGCTAGGTGGTCAACAAGGTGGTGTCGTGGCTGCTGCACGAGTTGGTGTTTGCACGATGTATCCCCGAGGACTTCATCGAATTCCTAATCAAGTTTGAAGGTCAATTTCACGGCGAGTCCGTGCTCGGATCGCATCGACCAGCAGGCCATGACCTCGACACACCAGACATGGCAGAGCAATCGCCCTTCTCAGAAGCCTCTCCTGACGATGCAGAGGGCGTCGCGAACGATGATCAGTCATCATCGAATCGTACAGCTTCCTTTGCCCGTGCCGGATCTTCGCCCGCCGTAGGACAATCGTCGGACACCCCGGGGTCGACATCGAATACACATGCGCCGCCGGGGGCGCACGAGCAGGGCGGAACTCCGGCACCGAGCACGAAGCCCACCGTCGACGCGCATGGCAGAGCGTTGAACCCCAGGTCGTGCGTGACCTGCCGGAAGCGTAAGGTCAAGTGCAATAAGGTCTGGCCATGCAATCATTGCAGCCGAGCGCATATCGAATGCGTGTTCCCGGCGCCTGGAAGGGCTCCTCGGAAACCACGAAAGCTAGGTGAAGGGAGGGACAAAGAGCTGCTGGAGCGATTGCGCCAGCTGGAGAATGTGGTAAAGGGACTAGGCGCGGAAGTGCCAGGAGATGAAGCCAAAAGCAAAGATGAAGAGAAGCAGAAAGAGCACCCAGCTGGCCGCGAAGTACTTGAACATAGCTTGAATGGAGGTACGACTGCGCTGGCCTTGAAAGACTCGGAAGAGGAGTTCCGCAACAAGACCAGATGGGTGGAGGACCAGCAGAAGGGCCGCTTCGAGACGAGATTCGGGCGCTTGGTCGTGAACGAGGGCAAGTCGAGATATATCAACAACTCCTTTTGGGCAAATCTGAGCAATGAAGTTGAAGATCTGAAAGGTATCTTGAATCAGTCCAGCGATGATGATGAGGACAATTTGGCAGTCTCGCCCGGATCAGGTTCGATTCAACTGCCGCCAAGCAATTCTCAAGCATTCGTGTTTGGCTTCACTTCGCAGAATGTGGATATGCTCTCATTACATCCCCTTCCAGGCCAGATCAAAGACTACTGGGACATTTTCAAAGACCGCGTCGATCCGTTGTGCAAGATTTGTCACGTTCCGACTCTCGAAGGGACAATACTCAGCTCCGCCGCACACCTTTCCAATCTGTCGCGAGGTTTTGAGTGCTTACTCTTCGCTATCTACTATGGCGCAACCACGAGCCTGGTAGCGGAGGATTGTGTGAAGATGCTGGGAGAGGAGAAGGCGGTTTTGCTCGCCCGGTATCGTTTCGGTCTCCAGCACGCTCTCGCAAGGGCGAACTTTCTGACGACCGAGGAGATCGTCGTGCTCCAAGCCTTCGTCATTTTCCTTATATGTTTGCGACGGAACAGCGATGCGCGCGTCATCTGGACTCTTACCGGCCTCGTGGTCAGGATAGCTCAGACGATCGGGATTCATCGTGATGGATCACATTTCGGACTTTCACCTTTCGAAATCGAGATGCGCCGGCGCTTGTGGTGGCAAGTATGCATTCTTGACACAAGGGCCAGCGAGGATCATGGCTGTGACCCGACTATTGTCGAACAGTCATTTGATACGAAGATGCCTCTGAACATCAACGACGAGGACATGACACCAGAGATGGAGGATTTCCCACCTGAAAGAAAGGGCTGCACAATCATGTCATTCTGTCTGCTGCGATTTGAGGTCGCAAACACCTTCCGCCGACTGAACTACGTCCCTCCTGGCCCACCCAAGGCGTGTAACGAGTTCTATCAATCTGTTACGCTGCAAGACAAGGAGCGTTGGATCACAGAATGCCATCAGCGGCTCGAAGAGCGATATCTCAAGCATTGCGATATGAGTGTGCCACTATTTTGGGTAACAGCGACAGTGGCCAGGCTGATGATGAGCAAGATGTGGCTCATAGTCTATCATCCATTTCAGAGACAAAGCGGAGGCGCTTCACTCCCACCAGAGATCAAGGAGAAACTTTTCATCACCAGTCTGGAGAACATCGAATACAGCTATCTGCTCGAAGTTGAGGAAAGAACGAAAAAGTGGGGCTGGCTGTTCAGAACCTACATTCAATGGCATGCACTAGCATTCGCGCTTTCAGAATTATGCCACAGGACCACCGGAGATATGGTTGAGCGAGCGTGGAAAGCAATCGACGAAACCATAACTGGCCGCTGGGGTCTAGAGGAGACCAATACCAACCACCTATGGCGACCACTGAAGAAGCTATATAAGAAAGCCAAAGAAGCCCGCGCCAAAGGCCTCCGAGAGGAGCTTCTCCTCAAGCATCGGGACGGCGCGCCAGCGAGACACTACAGCCCGAATGCGAACCCCATGTTCGGTCACCCAAATCGCTCCACAGTGACCAGAGCGCCCCTCAGTGCAGCACAATTGCAACGCTTTCATCAAGGCCCATCATTCGGACAGACACCACTTGACAAGCATGAATTGTTACGCTCGCCGAAGCTTGGCGAAGTCGGCCCAGACGAAGTACAGAACCCGGCGTATATCACTACAGACATGCTCGATCAAACATGGCAACCAGATCTCGACACCGATATCATCGGAAATTTGCCAGCATCAACGGCAGCACCGTTAGCAGCACCTGTACCGCAGCAGGAACTCGCTCGGCAAGCAGCTCTTGCTGAAGCATATTTCACCCCAGTCTCTGGCGCCACGTTCGGCGAGCTCGCGCAGGGCTTCCGGTCTACTTCGCCCGCCACGACTACGATGAATTTGCAACAGCAGCAACAGGACTTATTGCTGAACGATGCGTCTCAGCGCATGAACTCGCTCGATTCGATGGGTAATGATTTCTCGCTCATGGATACTTCTGGTAATCTAGATTGGGAGAACTGGGATCAGCTTGTACGACAGGTGGGAATGGATGTTGATTCTGGCGTTAGTGGTATCGGTGGCGCTGGCATGGACTGGAACGGCATGAATTTTGATGCTACGAATGGGACGAATAATGTGAATATGAATCCTGGATTTGGGATGTCTGGTGGAGAGTGGTTTTGAGCATTGGCTTCGATGCAAGATATCAACCAAAAATTCAGCCGCGGACATGAGTTCATCTTTTTGGTTTCCAAGCATTGAGTATAGCCATTTTCTGGTCACGGAAGGGTATCTCATCTGCCAATTCGGGCGGCCATTTCTCGAGGCCCTCCTCCCGCAGCGGCTTCACATCGTGGAGATCAAGCTTTGTGTAATCAGCTCCCGATACCAGAAGGAACTCAAATATCTCCACGCTTGCACACTGCCACGCATCGAGTAAGGGCGCCCGATCTCCGTAATTCAGGTCCGCTCCAGCTTCGACTAGACAGCGAACCACTTCCAGTGAGGCCCACGATCTGCGACAGCAGATACTTAATGCTGTACACGCTCGACGGCCGTCCTGGTACAGGCGATTCAGATCGACGGTCCATGCGATGAGAATTTCCAGCGCTGATAGCCCGAATTCTAATGATGCAAAGCATGCGCACAATAATGGTGTGTCCTTGTTGCAACCTGACAAGCCTTCAACCTTCGCACCCGAAATCAGCAGTAGACGCATAGCGTCTACTTGTCCGGCTTCAGTTGCCCAGCAGAGCGGCGTCCCACCGTAGTTCTTCATGCCAGTGGTCCCAGCATCTATCACTGCACCTAATCGTATCAAAATGTCGATGATCTCCAATTTACCAGATCTTGCAGCATGGTGGAGCGGGGTGACGCCGAAGCGACTGGCGACTTTCACTGGTGCCCCTTGGTCGATGAGCACTTTAGCAATTTCGTTATATCGATGCTCTAGTGCAAGACAGATAACCGGATCAGACGATGTCGTACATGGTGCCTGCAAGTCGCAGCCAAGATCAATCAGATGCTTGACTGTGTCGATATTGCCCGAGTCAACCGCCACGGCCAACGGACTTTGGTTCTCGAACTCCCATATACGACAATTCAAGTCGGCACTCTTTACTCGCACAAGAAACGTCATGACATCCTGGTGCCCATTCCTCACAGCTCGATGCAGTACTGCTTGTCCATTCGGTATATCTTCGAGCTTCTGCCAAGGTGATGATAGATATTGAAGCAATTCCAGCGCTCCAGACTCTGCTGCGATGTCCAGCAGGGAAATTGGTCCTTGATGGTCCGTCCATTTCGCAGTTTCGAAGCCGTACAGCTGCTGGAAAGCTTCGACTGTAGCATAACGCAGCACCAGGCAGCCCAAGAGCTCTTCTAGAGCTTTCAAATCATTCTTACGGACAATCCGCTCCGCGGTTTTGCACAGAGTCGTGAAGCTCCCCACAGTTCCATGCACAAACTGTGCAGGCTTCGAAAGACCAGCTGTCTGTGTCTGATACTGCAGCTCTCTTGCTTTGCTACACTCGACGCGCCAGTCTTGAATTTGAACATTATTGGCGTTTTGTGCTGGATGTATGCCTTCTCGCTCGTCTTGACGGCGCATGAAGCGTTCCCGGCATGCCCGAATGTGGGTGTCAAGATATCTTCGACCAAAGCCACGGCCACAGTCCTCGCAATGCTCCAGATCATTTCCAGTGTGTATGTTGAAATGACGTGAAAGGCCATCTGCTCTGGCAAATATTCTTCCGCAGGTATGACATTGGTGCTTGATCCGCTCGTTTGATGTGGCGTGCAGTAAAGTATGTCGTCGCAGACTGGTTGCACGGCTGAAACTGGCACCACACACTATGCAAGTCGCTCGTCCCATTGTCGATGCAATGATATCAGATCTGCACATCACACGACGCTCTGCCAGGCGGTATTATATCGTGTGCAAGCTTGCAGCAGGACTAATAACGAGATGGAAGATAATGAAACTGGCACAGCTGCACCTCCAAGTTCCTGCTGGATCGAGCTCACGCCACACTAGCTAGCGGAGTTGCACCCCCAATTTCCTGCTGCATCAAGTCTCTAGGATCAGCCACGTTTTCGTCACCTGCAGATCCATGCAAGAGGAAGATGCCTTCTGGTCCTTAACAATCACGCTGCATCAGGAAATCAGTTGGAGGTGCTCGAACTGCTTAGCCTTGCCTCCACACTGGCACAGAACTAGGCGAGCACCTTTGCCTGCCTGATGAGTTAGCCGCTCTTCGACACCTCCATATGGTTTCCACTGTCGTATCGGAAGGATTGAAGTAGAGGCTCTTCGCCTCCAGACTAATCTGGCCGCGAGCGCAACACCTCCACATAGAGACTCAATCAAGATGCTTAGACACCTCCATATACAATCCCCTTCCAAGGTGGCCAAGACCGCCTCCGAGCCATCATATATTCACACAACCCTTCACCGGAAAATGCAACCTTCACAAGATTCGTCCTTCGTTCGTCGACAGCATGCCATGCTCATTGGGCGTCAACCAGACACTCACACAAAACGTTTCGATGCCATCCAAGTCGTCAACTGGCCCACCAATTGAGGCTCAAATTTTGAAAGCCATACAAAATAACGACAATCGCCACCAAACAATGCTAGCAATCACTTTCGGAGTCATCGGAATCTTTCTCGCCCTCCTTGCAGTCGTCATCGCATACCTGCAACTCCGGAGACATACGAAGCACACTCGTGACATTGAAGCCAATCAAGCAAGGGTAGACACTGGATCATCAAGCGTGATGTAAGGGAAAATCAATGCCAACGACATAGTTGCTAGCTTAAGCTTACACTGCGTAGGACGAGTAACGTGAATATAAATGCTGGTTTTGGAATGAGTGGCGGCCAATCGTATTGATGAAGACGCTGCAGTGAACAGAAGTGTCGGTTGAAGTTGTACGATTTGTATGAGATATCATGCATCCGACAACATGTCACATTTCACGACTCCAAAGCGTCTCGCATAGCTTTGATGACTACCACGGCAGCTTTGGAAGGTTTGATAGCTCCATACTAACTCAGCCCATGAAACTTTGCTGTTCGCAACAGCTCCTCGGCCAGGCGTCCGAGAAAGGAAGCTCAGCTGGCAAATCCACGGTGTCGGTCGAGCGGACCGAGCTGCGTACTGACATCAGCTCGCATTCTACGTACACTCCACCTCATCAACAACAACACGGTCAGTCAATTTCAGCCCAAATCGAGCCCCCGAGAACCAAGACCAATATCAAACTCCAAGCAAGAACAACCAGCAACTATGTCAACCTCAAAACAAACCCTCGCAATCCTCCAACAAGTCATAGACGAATTCGGCCCTCGGCTCAACATCCACGGCGGCTCCAAAGTCCTCGTCTCCGACTCCAGCATAGCCCAAGCCCTCTACGAACTCACCGAACCCGTCCGAACACCCTTCGGACCAACCCTCACAGTCGCCTCCCAAGAACAACCCGATCAATCCCAAGTCTCCCAGATCCCCAACGCCACAGTCCTTGCAGCGGATAAATTAGCCATGGACCACTATACCCACGCCGTATTTGGCGTAAGTGGCGAAGACCCAAAGTATATTTTCGGTGGGATTAAGCATACGATTTATGCGTTGCAGCCGAAAGGGTATGCGGTGGTTATTGCGTTGAAGCAGGAAACGAAGCAGGTTTCTGCTGGTGAGGGGGAAGGTGAGTTTCAGGTTAGTTTGGATGATAAGATGAAGTATCAGTCCAAAGGGAGAATTAATAATTTGGAGGATGCGTTGTATTATGCTGGGTTTGAGAGAGGGCGGGTGAAGAAGTTGGAGGATAAGAAGGCTGTTGTTGATGGGCAGGATGTGGAGGCGCAGGTTTTCCTGGCGATGAAGTGGGATCAGTTGACGGCATGAGCATGCGGAGCTTCTAGATTGGCAGCAAAGTGTGGTGATGTTGTGCGTCGTGATAAAAATTTCCAGTTTCGACCATGAGAGCTAGACCGTTGCCATTACAAATCTGCTATGGAGAACTTGCAGCCCACAAGAATGACATCTGTACATCCGTTGTTTGATGGCGTCCTTCACTCAAACTTGCCACCAAGTCCCTTCCCGAAGCCGCTGCTAGCGTTCCTCCGCAATTGGGCAATCTTAGCAGTGTTCTCTGCTCTTCGTCTAGCGCTTTGCTCGACAATGGCTTTCCTCTCAGCATCTCTCGCCTGATACGCCAGCGAGCTCTTTTTCGAACCTCCCATCTTGACACCAGTTGCACTACCTCCGCTGTCTTGACGAGAAAGACCAATGCTCGTGCTCACTCCGCGATCATTCGCTCCTTGAGCAGCACCATTCGTGGTAGCTCTGCGCAGTAGAGAAGGAGCCCTGAAGCCGCCGCCTTGCGAGCCAGAACCCCAAGCTGTACGCGAGCCTGCCGCAGAGTTCTCCGACGTGCTGCTAGCACGTTTGAGGCTCAGACGGTTCACGACAGAAGGCTTCGCCGCTGTTCGACGCTGCGAAGCTGGAAGACGAGGAGGTGGCATGGCAACGCGATCTGGAGCATATCCGCCATCGTTCTGGCGAGCCATCTCTTCTTGCACACCATCACTTTCTTCATCCTGCTCGGACCCGGCAGCATTGTCTGCGCCTTCCTTCTCGTGCTCTTGCTCAGAGTCAGAACTCAAGTCTACAGCGGTTGGTCCTGCAAGTGGCACATTCGGCTCTTCGAGGAGGAAGCTGACAGAATCTTGAATCTCTAAAAGGGACGCCGGCGCCCTGAACGCAGAAGCTTGAGTGCGGCGCTGCTTGGCAGGAGGTCTTTCTGAAGGCGCATCTTCCATGCGACGCTTGTTGCCGCTGACCTCTTGCAGAGGCACTTGCGAAGCGTCTGGCTGTTGAGAAGCTTGACTGTCCGATAAAGAGGCGGGTACCTGAGAATCATCCTCGACATCAGACAGGTCCAGGACATCATCGTCACGTTCATCGTCATCGGCAATGGCCTTCAAGAAAGCGTCCTTGCCTACGCTGTGTTTACCCTCCGCTAGACTTGCGATACTCTCGTCTTGCAAAAGCAATTTTCGCTTCCTCGCTTCCTCGCGTTGCTTCATTTGCCGCCGTCTTGCCGCAAGGTCGTCTTCATCCTCGTCAAGGTCGAACATGTTGGCTTGCTTCCTGCGTAGTGCTCCAGTCATCAGATCCTTGTACAATCGTTGATGCTCTGCTTCATCGGCGAGCCGTTGCTTTTCGGCGAAGTGTGCAGCGAGCTGGCGCTCATCGACATCGATCAGGCTCGAATCGATCATCTCGCGATCCTCCTCGGTCTCTGGAGCAACGAAGTCATCACCTCCCAGACCAGCATACTCGTCCTCGGATTCCTCGGCCTGCTCGTCCATCATCTGCTTGGCTTCGCGTTCAGCTTCTGCCAGCTCTTCGGCGCTCAAGGCCTCTTTGCGCTTGCGAGCCATTTCCTTGAAGGCGTCCTTTTTCGTGGCCTTTTGGGATGTTTCCACCCTGTCATCCTCATCCCCGCTATCCTGCACAGCATGACGTGGGCCGCGGACAAGTCGATTTCGCTTCGGGGCTGGGGCAGGCGACTCGCTCACGCGCAGCTCCACCGTGGACTGGGTCTCCTGGTCGGGTAGTGATTGCAAAGTGTCCTCCCGTGCAAGAGCAGGAGCCTGCCAGGTGGCAGGCAAACCAGGATCCTGTGATGGCACCCAGCCCGGGGTTTCACTCGCGACTACAGATCCCGCTTTGCGGCTGGTTTGAATAGGAGTCTCAGGAGCTTGAGTTTCCCATGCGAGGTTGACTTGTTGACTTTCAGGTAGTTGACTGCTGGGCACCCGATCCGGTTGGCTACCGTTGCCTTGAGTGAACTGAGGCTGGACAGCGAATGTTGGAGGTGGCCTCGTCGACGAGCCTGGTGGTACCAGATGATTTAGCACATCCATGGAGTCTTGCTGGATGTCTTGTGTTGGGGTCTGCATGGTTGCGTTGAACATCTGTGTAGGACTCATCAACGAACTCGCTTGATGTCCCGCATCGAAGTTGAAGGCTGCGAAGGGATCGCTGTCCTGTGTCTGAGTCGGTGTCTGTGCGATGGTCGGCGGAGGCTTCGAAATCTCAAGATCGCTCATGTCCTCGTCGTCCAGTACGACTCGGGATTTTCGAGGTTTTCTGCCGATCATGGGCGTCCGCGATTGATTCAGCTCGTCTTCATCGCTGGCTCGGTCGGGTAGGTCTTCGTTGACAGTCTTTGCCCCAGCCATTGCGCTGCCGGCAGTCTCTTCATCCATGCGCTCCTCTACGGACGCTTCATCCTCACCATCCTCTTCCTCTTCATCCTCGTCGTCTTCCTCTGCAGCGTCATCCACCATGTCGTTGCCATCTTTCTCGGCAGAGGGCGCCTCGTCTTCGCTGCCAGAGACATCAACATAGTCTTCGTCTTCGCTCTCATCCGCGCTGATGTCGGCTCCACCGTTGTTTTCCTTTGCAGCTGCCTTCTCAGCTTTGCGAAGCTCAACGGCATCAATCCTGGCCTTCTCGAGCAGGTTCTCGAACGCCTCTTGCTCCCGCTCGCGCTCCTCTGTCGTCTGGACTTCAATTCCCTTCGCTTTCAACTCCGCAATCCGTTCCTGCTGTTGTGCTCTGGCTTGTTCTTTAGCACGAAGACGCAATTGGGCTTCAAGTGCGGCAGGATTCATCCCTGGTCGGGCTTTGCCGTGCTTTCGTCGGCCTGTGTTGCTGTCATCCCCACCAAGATGTGCTAGATGCTTCAGTCGATGGATTGCTCTGGAATCTGTATTATGCTTCTGCATGGTTCCTTTGGCTCGGTCAAAGACGCTCAGATGCTTGGGCATATTCTGCACGATCTCGAGATCATCATCACTGCTGTCATCTGAAGGCGGCGCCATGGCTTTTTTGCCCAACCTTGCCAGTTTGAGGCCCCTCTTTGGCTCAGTCCCGAAGCTCGGCGTCTGGACAACTGTAGCTTCAAGCTCCACAGGCCTGGAATTACGCGCGGAGCTCATGACAGTGCCGATATCAGGTAGGTCCTCATCATCGTCGAGATCTGCGAGACTATTGAGGCTGTCCTCCCTGACTGGTTTCAATTTGCTCAATGCACCCTGTTCCACCAGCGCTCTCTGGCGATCCAGTGGTGTGGGCGGGCTTGAAGGTGGAGTGCTCGGCGGTTCTCTTGATGGTGCGTCAATAGCGTCACTGTTGGGTGCTGAAGACGCAGAACTGTCGCCAGCTTGATTTGCTTGTGCCTCAGTAGGTTGTCGGAAGTTGAATTTGGCGAAAAGGTCGCTGGTAGTGAACTTCTTCTTCGTCTTCATCTGATGCGCAAGCGCCTGCTGACGAGCAATGCGCTGAGTCTCGCGCTCCATTTCCAGCAAGGCTCTTTTACTCGCTTTACGAGTTGGTTTCGCGGCATCGGATAGGATACGTTCAATCTCAGGATTGACCGGTTCTTCTGCGCCCTCCACAATCTCGTCCGGAAGATCAGATGTCTTGCTTGCCGCCTCTGCTTCCTTCTCCAGCCTCTCGGCGCGCTTCTCAGCGACCAGCGCTGCTAATTTCGATTTCATCCCGGTCGGCCGGGTGGGGAGGTCATCATCGCTGTCATTCTGTGTCGTCTTTGCAGGGCTCACAAACAATGTGGACCGAGCCGCGCTTGCAGGAACAAATGGCGGTTGGCTGCGGAACCGAGAGTCCAGCTGAGGAGTGACAGTGTAAAGCTCGTCATCGGACTGTGGGTCATTCGAGGGTTGCTTGTGCTCAGGTGCTTTTACGCGACGTGGCTCTGGACTCCGGTATGGACTCTGGTCGCCTCCAAGCATACGTCTCGCAGATCTACCCATTGGTCTTCGAGGTTCGTCGTCTGAATCTTCGTTGACTTCTGGGTCTGCTACTTGTGGCTGATCGCGTGTCTCTGGGCTGTTCGACGCCGACTTGCCGTGTTCTTGGCTCGACGCGTTTCGTGAAAAGACATCGAAATCTGAGCTTCGGACTGGAGATGGAGTGGGAGAGCCGTCGTCTTCGAACACGTTTCTCGAGATAGCTGGCCGCTTCGCTACCAGCGCGTCTTCTAGTCCTCTCGGAGAGCTTGACATGATTGCTCGTAGGATCTGATGTCTCGTGTCGGCGATCCTCGTCTGTCAAAGAATCTGATCCAGAATGCTACGTATACAATGAATTCATGATCCAGTCGCGTGAAGTATAGCAAAGCAATGCGTCGTGGAGTGCGGGTAATGTGAAAGTGCAATGGGTGAAAGTGGTGAGGTGGAAAGCAAACGCGAGATTGGAGACGCGACGCGCCTTGATGATCGGCGGCTTGGCGCGGATGATGCAAGGATCGCGCGGGTTTCGGCTCGTGGCCGAACTTTCTTTGCGGAGACGGCGAGCAGCACTCCCGAAGCAGCAACATTTCCCACTCCGATCAAGTACATTGCAGACGATGACATTTGGCGGGTAGATGCAATGCAATCGTGGCACTCTGAAGAGGCCTCTTCGCGACATCATCAAGTCCATCGGACGCGCCGAGAACTCGACACAACGCACCCGCCTGCAATGCCAACATCCGACCCAATTCCCTCGCGGCTACACCAGCTTTAGGACTTCGGGAATAGACACTGTCGGCAGCAGATCTCGCTCCGGTCGCGATCACATACCTCGGAAAGCCGTCGGTGCGGCAGTGCGCAGCTATGCGGTGGCAGCAGAAAAGCAGCAGGAAGGAGAGTCTGCTGCTGTTGCGGAGGATGCTCTGATAGGGTGTCAGACGACATCTCAATCTGGTTACAATGCTCCTTCGACCGCAAAGTCGGCAGCCACTACTGAAACATATGCGCCAATCTGCGCAGAGGATACCGGCACGATAGAGCCTCGTTTGAGAGATGGCGCGGACTACTCTGCCAATTATTTCAAGCAACAGCTGTACAGGCATTATGGGGACATCGACAAGGCAGCCAGGCGCGTTTCGCGACACAAACAGCAAAGTCCTGATGCTTGGAAACGCGTGCTGCATATTTTGGACCAGGCCACGCCGACGAGAGAAGGTCACTACAAACGTGTCAGTGAGGTTGTGACGCTGCCAGAAGGCGTGGCTGCTGTCTTTCGCCCTAACAAGGAGATGGCGATTTTGGAAATCATGCAACGCACGGGATGTCATCTACAGATGCGCTCGAGCTATTCTGTTGAGGGCCGATCGGGTGCGTTCACTGGTCTTGTTTTGCAGGGAAACGTGTCTCAGAACTCGTCCGCTCTCAACTTCCTGCCCAGGTACATTGAAGTCTCATTTATTGATACTGCCGAGACAAGATCTCGGTTGAAGAGGGAGGAACTCCGTCGACAGATCGAACCTGACAACGCAGGCGAGCTTGAGCGTGACCACCCGTTCGGCACTGGCGAGCACGAGCCTGACGGTGCAGCCAATGCCACCCATGCTGATAATGGGCTGATTCGTTCAGTGTGGTCTACGGCCCGTGAGAAGAGGGACCTGAAACTACGACATTTACCCCGTACTCAACCAAAGCTGGAGACGGTACCCGACTTCACTGCCTATGTTATTGATCTGACTTCAATCGAGCACAAAGTTCTCTACGACCCGGATCATGGTGGCTCAACTCGTCTGGACACCGCTATTGTTGTCGCGGAACTCATATCGCTATTCACCAATCCGGTCACCTCAAAGCTCTCTGGAGACCTGTCTACGAGTCATGCTTTCCGGTACTTAGCAAAACACGAGAGGCTTGATGCAATCCGCCGAATATCCAAGGCACTGAATGAGGCAGGTCGCATTCTTGGCCAACGCAGTTTTGATGCGCTGCTTTCTGCGGCTTCACTCAATGCAGATTGGTGCAACTTTGAGCTCGTCCTGAGGACAATGCGCCGCCATCGCATACCTGGTCCCATGATTTGGGCTCGATTTCACTCTCTGGTTTTCGAGCATGTACCTCATGAGGCAGACACCGTTATTTCGCTTATGCGAAAGAAAGGTCTGCTCGACGACAATGTTGCACTGCTTACTATCATCAGAAGCCGGATACGCAAAGAGCTCACAGCGTACCTACGCGATAAGGGTGTAGCAGACGGCTTCCTAGAAATGTACGATGAGAAGGTTGCACGTGACTTTGGACGCCCTGACTATAACTGGCTGACAGTCGACGCCCTTAATGGGATGCTTCACGTTCTGCTATCGCTCGGCAAGACAAATGAAGCGGCCACGCTGATGGAACAGTTCCGAAAGAGAGGGACTGAGCCGCCGAACACAGCGACCCTCAATACCTTTCTGAGTCCGACACTGGTCAATACTGACGCGGGTTCGGCCATAGCTACGTTGAAGATGTTTAACGTCGGCAGACCTGGAGCCCTTGTCCCGGATGAAATCACTTATCAGTCACTTTTTATGATAGCTTGGCACAGGAAGTACTACAACATGCTGAGAGTGATATGGCGATACGCATGCGTAGCGGCACAGGCGTCGCAAGATCTGCGTCACAGACTTCTCACGAGCCTGCTAAGTTATTCGCCGACCGAGGCAGAAGATATCAATCGGTCCAGGTTGTTCAAGGCTTGGGCTGGCAAGTTCGTCGTGGGTATCTCACGAGACTTGGTCCCCGGTTCCTACGTGCCATACGACACCTCGCCAACGCGGCCACTGAGTGACGATGAAAGGAGTCTTGTCGACTTGAGCTTACAACCTCGGCTCGAGAAAAACACGGCGGACTCCCTCAAGAGGCGACGAGGGATGAAGGGCCTGATGAAAAAGGATTTGCAAGAAGTCGGACAGTGCAAGCCACTGTTGCCGCTCACGATAGTCCTCGAAAGAGCTTGGCAGAAGGACGTACGATGGCAAAAAGCAGGCCTCGGCCATCTCGATAAAGATCTAGCAAAGGATCCTGGGCGAGCGATGTTCGAGGAGATGCTCTTACGCGGGATCAGGGTTCCCATGAGACCTGGCGACTGCACTGCTTTACGAAAGTGGGAGATTCCGTGGCTGTTGCAGCGGGAACTTCAAGCAGCTTCTCGTTGGGCGGAAGCCAAAGCTCAGCAAGACAGTCAAGTGAGTAATGAGTAATCGTGTAGCATTTATTGATCAGCATAGCCAAGATGTACAGCCGAGAAACGTGACATCAAGTCAAAAAAAAAAAAAAAAAAGTCCGGCTCTG